GCTATTCTAACATGTGGTAAAGTACAAGCTGCGCTGGAGTTATACCCCTATATGAAAGGTACAATTGTGACACGACCTCAGAGGAGTGTGCAGTGCAGTCGTCATAGCATATCATAGCTCCATAGTACAGCACACTAGATAGGGCAAATACATGGCAAGGGAACAAGGGTGAGCAGGCCATGCTAGTTATCAAAGCATGGGAGGGGAAGGGTGGGCAAGTTGGAACAGAAAAATGCAAATGAGACTAGGTGGCAGGTCTGAAAGACCTGCCGATAGATGAAGGAGTTTGTCTCCTTTACAGCAAACTCCTCTTCTAGTCGAATCACAATCTGTAAATTTTTTACTACAAAAAAATTCTCATATTGTGACACGACCTCAGAGGAGTGTGCAGTGCAGTCGTCATAGGTCAAACGAGACATCAAGTGGTAGGTCGTCGGCGGGTGGCGCTCGAGGGTGGCCTGGTACCGATCGGTCGCGCTCGAGCGAGTAGGATCTTGTAGCGCGCGAGAAGCAGCCACTAGCTCGCGGTCAAGCTGAGTAATGTAAAGCTCCTTGGCTGTATCACTTCGCCAGCGACCTAGGGCCTTGAAAAGCCGGTCGGGGACTCCAATATCAACGGCGACCGTCGCAGCCGCCTTGCGGAAAGAATGGGTGCCCAGGAGGGCCGGGTTAAGGCCTACACAGGAGAAAGCATCTCGACACCAACCCGAATGGCGGCGTACGAGGGAGAGCGATCTGAGGGGGAAGCTCGGGCACCCGGCTGAAATATACGAATAAGGGGGCCAAGGGTCCGCGGAGAATAGCCAGCCAGGAAGAGGAATTGTTGGACACGCGACACCGGACAGTGGCGGGCAGAAGAAGCAGCCACTGGGACCCAAACACCGGTGCCAGCTTGGTCGGTCTTCGAACGAGGGATGACAACCACATGCAGTCCCGATCGAACTCGATCTGGTGCCACTGGAGGGAGACGAGATCAGAGAAACAAAGGAAGGCTGCGAACATGAGGAGGGGAATAAGGCCCCGCTGGAATGTGGCCGGATCATGCGATGAGAAGTAGATGTCACAGATATCGTAAATCTTGGCTGGGAGGAATGGGCTCCTTAGCTTGAGATGGCTTGCCACAATGACGCATGGCATAATCCTTGACTTGCGAAGAAAAGGGGCCGCGAATCGGGGAGGGGTGGCCAACCAGCCAATGGGCGCAGGATATGGCGGAACACGCAGTGCGCACAGCTGAGACAGTAGCGCCGTGACGGACCGAGTGCAGCAGAAAGAGGGACGCTGTCAGGTCGGTGGCGGGAAGGAAGGGAAGTGAGTGCGCCAAACAGAAGGCTCGAAACTGTCGCCAATAGGGTTCGTAAGTGCGAAGGGTAGACTTCGCCCGAAGATCAACGGTGAGTGTGAGAAGGTCCGACAATAATCGACCAATATATGAGCCTGCGCAGTGAAATAAATTGATACATTAGTTGAATGCAAAACGAAGCGCATACATCGGAGAGTTCGGAAGACCAGCACCGCTAAAGGCATGACGGTCACTGCCAACGCGTAAACAACTAGCACCAAGGGTAAGGCGAAGGGCCATAACGACCTCCGCGCCCCAAGTAGAGCCATCCAAGCTTAGCAAAGGCCACCAAAAGGCACTGGGCCAATATGGGATCACGAGAGTGAGAGAAGTGCGCGAGCGACGGGCATGAGCTAGGACAGCCGGGATGAGGGTGGGTGGAGGAAAGGCGAAGCAATTCTCGTGGCCCCAGGTGATAGAAAAAGCGTCTTGCGCAACCGCAGAGTGTGAGAACTCGAGGGAGCAGAAACGAGCGAGCTGCGCATTGGCAGGGGATGCAAACAAGTCGATAGTATGAGGCCCCCAATGCCTCTCAAGCAGCCGGAACCAAGGTCGTGTCAAGGAGTAGTCGTCGTGGAGCTCAATCTTGGACAGAGCGTCAGCCTCGGTATTCAGCGCACGGGGAATCCATTGGACCATAAGACGGATCATATGGCGCACGCACAATTGAATAATCGCGCGGCATACGAAGGTACTGTAAGCTCGGGACGGCGAGAGCCTCCCTTCTGGAGGATGTAGTAGGCCGCCTGACTGTCGCTGCGGAGCAAGATGTGCGAACGTCGGATTTCGACAGAAAAGGCCGAAAGGGACCAAAAGATTCCGGCCAGCTCGCGAAGGGTACTGGACGAGCCCAAGAGGCTAGAGGCAGCGGGGAGGAGAGCGAGCCGACACGACCATCCGGCGCTGAATAACAAGCCCCCAAGCATGGTCGCTAGCATCCACGTACATGACCACGTCGTACAAATGCGGGTTGTGGAAGCGGGCGCCGTTGAAAATGTCGAACTGTGTAAGCCAAAATCGCAGTTCTTCAACAGACTCAGGGGTGAGGAGAATGGCCGCCCCCCATGAGTGGCATTTGGCGATCTGCGTGAGAAGGTGGTGGGAAAAAGCGCGCGCGACAGTGCCAAGCGCCAAGGACATGGAGGCCAACATGCCGGTGATGCGGGCAGCGCGGCGAACAGGGATGCGACGCCCGTTAGTGCCGAGTGTGCCTAATTCATCCAGCTCGGCAAAAAGCCGGTTGCGCCGATCCGCATCGACCGAGAAGGTGGTGGTGCGCGTGTCCAGCAAGAGGCCCAAGAACTTCAAAGATTGTGCCGGTGCGAGTTGTGATTTTTTGAAATTCACAACAAAGCCCGCAGCTGCGAGGTCGGCAATGATTATGGAGCGGTTGTGAAGAGCCTCCGCTCGAGTGGCACTGATGAATAGGATATCATCGACGTATGGAATAAGGCGGATGCCACGGCTACGCCAGCGTTTGGCGAGTTGCTTAATTAACTGGGTAAACACAAACGGCGCTGTAGCCAGCCCGAAAGGCAAAGAGAGGAATTGGTAGTCCTGCCCTTGCAAGGAGAATCCGAGAAACTGCCAGAAAGCGGGGGTGAATGTCGACGTGGTGGTATCCAAATTTGAGATCGATCGTGAATAGCCAATCGCCTTCTTGCACCAAATCAGGAACGCGAGTAAGTCCTTCGTATCGAAAATGAGGTACTGAGAGGAATGAGTTGACATGCCGCAAATCCAATATCAGTCTCTTTTTTGAGGGTTGGACAATCACGTTTAAGGGGCTAACGCATGTGAGGGTTGTGGAAGGAGGAACGACCCGAGCTGCACCGGTGGCGAGAAGCTCGGCCACTGCGCCTACGGCGAAAGAGGTGAATTGCAAAGCACCGGCATGGTTCTTAGTACGAGACGGAGGAGCTCAGAGGCAACCCATGGTAGGCGATATCCAGATGTAATCACCGATAGAATCAAGCGGCTGTCGCACCAGGCGGACCACCATGCAGCGCGGTCACGGAGGCGGCCTTGCATGCGGGTAATCTTGGTTGCGTCATCGGCATAGGCCGAGATGGTTCCGAGCTCTGGTAGGAGAGGGAACACAAATAGGGACGGTAGAGAATCAGGAAGGTACCTCATGTAGTTCCGAAACGCAACGACTTTTTTTTTTTTTTTTTTTTTTTTTTTGGAAGGAAGGCAAACGCTAAATATAGGTGCCCGCTTGCTCAGTATTATTCGGCCACGTCATCCCTTAAGTGATAAACCATGGGTTGGGAATGTGAACTTGGCATTTTGGGCTGTAGTTGGTCGTCATATATTCCTTGTCGTGAACCAAAAAGTGTTTCGAGAAATGTTGCCAAAGCATTCGCCAAGTGTTCTAATCTTAGTCCGCCAGGAGTGTTCACCCACATGTTCGCAAAACGTTTGCAAAGCATTTGCGCAAATGCTACGCAATCGTTTTGCGAGCATACGTTTTTTGCGATGGACATAGAAATATTGTCATGAATCTTATCAACGTCAGTCTTTAAAGGACGCACACACATTGTGTATGCGTCTTGTGGGCACGTTCACGTCTTCTTGCACGGGCCCAACGTGCAAGACCGTGTGGCCGTATGACGCGCGTATTAATCTTGCTTGAATGCACAAATGTGTGTGTGTGTGTGTGTTTTTTTTTTTTTTTTTTTTTAATTAAGAACGCTACAACATCGGAGAGGTTAAGCAAACTTTACACAATCTTAGCTGGCCGATTGGCCCCTTGGCCCCTTTGGGGGCAATTAGCCATCTCATGCCCGGGTTCACGGCAATAGAAACAACGGCCGTCGCCGTCCCTACGCCATGTGTTCCAAAGGCGCTCCCCTTGGCCGCGAGGGCGAAGAGGGGGTTCAGGACGGGAGGTGGGATGGGTGGGCCGAGTGGGCCTCTTCTTGCTGGCCGCTACAATCTGAGAAGCGGCCTTCACATTCTTATCCTCTACCACTTCCCCATACTTAATCTTAAGGGCCATATTGGCCACTTCGAAACCGCGTTGATCCGCGGTAAACAAAAAATGAATCTTCTCTTCCGCCTCCTCTACTATCTGCTGGAGATAGTCGGCGGCTTGTTCCCCACCGTCAAGTGGTAAAACCGAGATAGCATGACGTGCAATAGCTTGAATGCGCTCAAAACTAAAAAGTTGCGTACGAATTCCATCGCTTTTAACTAAGGAAGAGCGCAACTGAGGACGTGCAGGTGGAATAGGAGCGAGGGTGAGCGATGCAGAAGCGGATTTCGGGCGGGCGGCATTACCTTCGTCGAGCGTGGCATGGGGTGCTTCCTCGTCCATTTCGTCGTCAACGGGCTCGGGGGCGGGCGCCGGGAGGCGAGAGCGTGGGGCCACCGTCGCTGCGACGCGTGCTGGTTCCGGTGGCGGTGCGGGATCGGCGCCATTGCCCCGCTGGAGCGCCGCGAGAAGGCCAAGAACGTGGTGAATGGCCTCGTTGTTGGTGCCGGCGTTAACATTGTTGTCGGTGTAGCGAGCAGAATTATGTTCTGCAGAATGAGGCGCTGTAGATGCAGTGGAGCGCGCTGTAACGCGTTCGCTAGCAGCTCCTGTGAAGATTCGCTGGAGATTGCGCTGGGCTGCAGGATCCAGGCGCGCAATCATTTCGGCGATTTCTGCTGCTCCAGGGGTCGAGATCTGCGGAATCCCGCGCGGATTCACTGCGGCAGGAGGAAAATCTGTGCGGCGATCTGCGCGATCCCGGTCCCGATCCTCGCGATCCTGGCGAATCTGGGGCGCTGGGGCGTTGAGATCGCGCTCATGATGACGCCCTGCGCGCGCAGGATCACGATCATGATTGTGGTCCTCACGCGCAGGACCGTCATGATTGCGTTCGGTAGGTGGGGGCCGGGAGGGGGCGTTTTCGGCAATCGGGTTCGTGTCGACGCGGTTCTGCTCGTTACGCCGCTCGCCCTGAAATCCGGGGGGGAAATCGCGATTGCGTGACGTGTTACGATCCGCGTCCCCTGCCGCGTTTTCGACGTGCTGAACAGGGTCTTGACGCGCGCCACTCAGCAAATCCAAAGCGGTAACTGCGCCGTTACCTCCGCCACGACGAGGAGAACGAGATCGTTCTCTATGCTGAGATGAAGAGTTTCGGTCCCCCTCACGTACAGGGGACCCACGCCTTCCACCACTCCTAGTATTCACACGAGGAGCAGGAGGCCTACCACTTGCAGCGGAAATGAGTCCGCTAACCATTGTAGAGTATCTAACAGAAATGACGTCTTGCAGCAAGAGACTTCTATGCCCAGATCTGGGCATAGAGGTTTAGAGTGTGCTGGTGGTATACAAGTTGGAACAAAAAAATTTCTCGTATTTTGTAGGACCCTTATTACGAACAGCATAAAAATATACCCTTACAAAAAAAGTAGCAACAAGCGAATACCCTTATGACAAAGAGTACTTCTAATCCCATCCAGAGGCCTGCTCCTCAGGACCCCAACAGGACGCTGGCATTTGTTACACCCTGTCCCTGCTTGATTCCTTTTTCATCAGCATTTTCATCACGCCTGATAAAAAACATGGATTTTATGGCTGTTTTCAAGGCCCAGCCTCCCAGTAGAAGGATTCACCCCATCATTCCACTCAGTGACTCGGGATATCCCTTGACAGCTGGGGCACTCTCGGCCCTCCTGCCCCTACCATCCCCTGTGGGCCACCTGGCACCGTCTCATTCGACAGCGCAGCGAGGCGCTGAATCAGTACGGCCCGCTGCCTCTTGAATTCTTCCAGCCTGGCAGTCAGCTCAGCAAAGGCAGCAGCAGCAGCTGCTGCTGATGGCGGCTCCCCAGCCCCCCCTGCTGCAGCCACTGCTGCAGCAGCAGCAGCAGCCGCAGGCGACGGACCAGCAGGTCGAGACTCTCCATCAGCTGCGATTTGAGCGTTAGCCTCGGCCGAGCCTTGCTGCCCAGCCTGGCCGGCAGGTTCGGCTGAGCCTGAGCCTCCCGAACCTGCTGAGCTGGCTGTAGCTGCAGCGGCGGCGGCAGCAGCGTTGGCACTGGCAAGGGCAGCAGCAGCGGCTCTCTGCTGGGCGAGCTGGAGCTTGCGCCTCAACTCCTTGCCTCTCGCCATCTCCGCTTCAAAGGCAGCCTGGGGGGAAAACGAAGAGACGAGACGAGCACAGGGGAGAGAAGGGGGAGAGAGGAGGAGGGGGGAGAAGGCAGTGTTAAGACAAGCACTGCAGCAGCAGCCCTCTGCTGGGCCAGCTGGAGCCTGCGCCTGAACTCCTTGCCTCTCACCATCTCCGCTTCAACGGCAGCCTGGGGAGGGTGTGGGGGAAAGGGAAAGAGAGAGGCGCGCAGAAGAGCATACGTAAGTCAACGTAAAGAACATTTTGCGGACGGATTGAGGATGGGAAGGGTGGGGGTGTTGGGAAGTGGGGGGTCTTGTTAAGGGAGGGAGCGGGGCACGCCCATACGCAGTATCTTTAACTATGAAAGCGTCAAGTGAGTGTCTGTCCCTAGTGCGCCGAGACCGGCAGAAATGGCGGGAAAATAGGCAAACACTCAGCAAACATCCGTGTCGGCACTTCAATCACGCGGCGAACCTCAGGGGCGACGAAGGAAACAGACAGCAGGGAGACAGCAAACTTCTTTCTGAACCTGGGAATTGAGGGCGTGCTAGTTGGAGGTTCCAACATGTCTTGGGTTCGGACGTTTAAAGCGGTGGAAAACGTTACGGTGTGGTGATACTGATCACTAACGTGGTACAATCTGGTGGAGGTTCGAACAGACCCCTCCGAACCTCCAACTAACACGCCCTCAGGGTGATACTCAATAGAACTGAACAAAACTAGGTGACACTCAAAAGCGCTGGAATAACGAAGTTCTACGGGCATGCAGGCACCGCATGCGAAGCTGCGCTAGTTGTGCATGAAGGGCAGAGTTGGGTTGGGAGAGAATTTCGTTGCTTGGTTAACATATGAACTCATCAGTCCTGCTCCTCTTGTCTCTCACCTGCGCCTGCTGCACCCCGCTGCCTTCTGCCACATTACTGAATGTTCCAACGCCACCAGGTCATCCTGCCTCTACAGCTGACAGCATTGCTGCATAACTGCTCTCATCCCCCCCCTCACCTGCGCCTGCTGCACCCCGCTGCCTTCTGCCACATTACTGAATGTTCCAACGCCACCAGGTCATCCTGCCTCTACAGCTGACAGCATTGCTGCATAACTGCTCTCATCCCCCCCTCACCTGCGCCTGCTGCACCCCGCTGCCTTCTGCCGCATCACTGCTTGCTCCAAGGCCACCGGATCATCCTGCCCTAACCAAAGCACATCCAGCCACCAATTACCTGCACGTTCTCCTGTGCCATTGGACCGCCAACTGTGTCCCTCCCTCCCCTCTCACCTGTGCATCCCTCCCCTCTCACCTGCGCCTGCTGCACCGCTGCCTTCTGCCGCATCACTGCTTGCTCCAAGGCCACTGGGTCATCCTGCCTCCGCCGCTCCTCCAGCTGACAGGAGTAAGTAGGGGCAATGAGGGGCAATGAGGGGTACAGAGGGGTACAGTGGGGTACGCAGGTCACACAAGGTAGGTGGCAGGGCGTCTGGTGCTCCAACGCCACTGGGTCATCCTGCCTGCGCCGCTCCTCCAGCTGGGGGGGTACACGGAAGGAGAGGAGGGGCGGCAGGGTGGGGAGGGTGCAGGGTTACAGGGGAAGGAGAGGAGGGGCGGCAGGGTGGATTTTAGGCGCCTCAAAACTTGCCTGCGCCGCTCCTCCAGCTGGGGAATACGGGAAGGAGAGGGGGGGAGGCAGGGTGGGCAGGGTGGGGAGGGTGGGGGGGGGTTGGTGGGGTTGGGGTGGAAGGCGTGAGGTAGTCGTGGGTGAGGGGGATAGATGGAGTAAACGAGAGTATTTGCGGGTAGCCGGAGGCTTAAGGGTCTACGGGCGGAAGGAGTGTGGGTGTGTGTGTGTGCCCAGGAGTGTGTGGTCACACCCACTCACCTCTGCGCTCTGCTGCTCCTTACACTGCTGTCTATTGCCATGGTTCTGTCTATCCCTCTCTTCCCCTCTGCTTCCCTCCCTTCCCCCCTCTCCCCTTCCTCCTCTCCTCACTTTCCCATCCCTCCCCCCCCCCCGCTTCACCCCGCTCACCTCGGCGTTCTTCTGCTGCTCCTCAAGGCACATCGCCATGGTTCTATCCATTCCCTCTCATGAGCCCCTCCCAACCATCCCCAGCCTCCCGCCCCCCTCTCCTCCCCCCTTCTAACCTCACTCCCCTTACAATTACCTCGGCGTTCTTCTGCTGCTCCTCCAGGCACATCGCCATGGTTCGATCCAGACCCACTCCTGAGCCCATTCCCCAAACTTCCCTCCCTCCCCTCCCTCCCCACCCTCCCCTCCCTCCCCTCCCTCCCTTCCCTTCCCTCACCTCGGCGTTCTTCTGCTGCTCCTCAAGGCACATCGCCATGGTTCTATCCATTCCCTCTCATGAGCCCCTCCCAACCATCCCCAGCCTCCCGCCCCCCTCTCCTCCCCCCTTCTAACCTCACTCCCCTTACAATTACCTCGGCGTTCTTCTGCTGCTCCTCCAGGCACATCGCCATGGTTCGATCCAGACCCACTCCTGAGCCCATTCCCCAAACTTCCCTCCCTCCCCTCCCTCCCCACCCTCCCCTCCCTCCCCTCCCTCCCTTCCCTTCCCTCACCTCGGCGTTCTTCTGCTGCTCCTCAAGGCACATCGCCATGGTTCGATCCAGCTCCGACTTCAGCTGAGCCCTCAGCGACCTCAGCGCCTCGATCCGCTGCCTCTGCTCCGCACTCGCCCCAGTCAGGGGCGCCCCCCCCACGCCCCCCCTGCTGCTCCCCCCGCCATCTGCTGCTGCTTCTGCTGCTGCTCCAGCTGCTGCTGCTTGTGCGTCACGTGCAGCAGCTCCCGCTGCAATGTCTCTGTTTCCGTGCGGAGAAGAGCCACGGACTTTTCCAAGGACTCGATCTCCTTGAGCTCTGCCTTGAGCTGGGAAGCAGGGGGGGGGAAGAAGAGGCGAGAATGGAAGGGGGGGGTGAATGGGGAGGGAAGAGGGAAAGAGCAAGGGACGGGGGAAGAGAAAGTGCGGAAGAGGGGCGGAGTGGGGGAAAAAAGGTCCAGCTGCCGCTGCTTGTGCGTCACATGCAGCAGCTCCCGCTGTAGGGTCTCTGTTTCCGTGCGAAGAAGAGCCACAGATATTTCCAAAGATTGTCCAGGTGTATTTTGAGTCGACTCAAAATACAGCTCCCGCTGTAATGTCTCTGTTTCCGTGCAGAGAAGAGCCAGAGATATTTCCAAAGATTCTATCTCCTTCAATTCTGCCTTAAGCTGGGGGGTTAAGGACCATTGCAGAAGACAGGGAGGGTGCGAGGTGGGGGGGAGAGGGGACGAGGAGGAAAGAGGGAGCAATGAGCACAACCACTTCACACAGACTACGCCCCCCACCGCCCTGCCCTCACCGCCCTGCCCCCACCGCCCTGCCCCCACCTCCCTGCCCCCACCGCCCTGCCCCCACCTCCCTGCCCCCACCTCCCTGCCCCCACAGCCCTGCCCCCCACCGCCCTGCTTCCATCGCCCTGCCCCTCACCCCCCTGCCCCCACCGCCCTGCCCCCACCTCCCTGCCCCCACCCCCCTGCCCCACCGCCCTGCCCCCACCTCCCTGCCCCCACCTCCCTGCCCCCCACCACCCTGCCCCCACCTCCCTGCCCCCCACCACCCTGCCCCCAACGCCCTGCCCCCACCACCCTGCCCCCACCGCCCTGCCCCCACCTCCCTGCCCTCACCTCCCTGCCCCTCACCTCTGGCTCAAGCTCTATCTCTGGCACAGGCCCCTTGATCCCCGTCTGCATGCGCGCATACAGCTCCCTCTGCTCCTCCAGGTCCCGCCGCAACTGAGCCGCCTGGTAACCAGGGGTGGGAGGGTGTCGGGGGTTAGTGAGAAAAGGGTTCTAGTCGGTGAAGGGTAGCGGATGTAGGGTACAAGAGAGGTTGAGTCGATCAGCATACAGCTCCCTCTGCTCCTCCAGGTCCCGCCGCAACTGAGCCGAGTGCAAAGCAAGAAGAAAGGGGGGAAGGAGGAAAAGGAGGGAAAGGAGGGGGAGGGGGGGTGGGGGGGAGTGGTAGGAGAGGAGTGGAGGTTCTGAGTGCAAACGGGCTTCTGGGTTGAGGTAGCAGAGAGATTGTTCCCTGCGTGCATTCAGCTTCCTCTGCTCCTCCAGGTCCCGCCACAGCTGAGCCGAGTGCTCTAGTCCCTGTACCGTCTCACATCTCGTTCGAGTGCCGCGTTCAGCTCTTGCAATGTCCTGCGGCGCTGGACTAAGCTCTCCTTGAGAGCATGTCGTTTGCCCGCAATTCCTTCCATCACTGCATCCTGATTCCCACACTCACATCTCTCTCTAGTGCTACCTACCTTAAACTCCTGCAATGTCTTCTTGCGCTGCACCAGGATCTCCTTGAGCATGTCGTTCGCTCGCACTTCCATCTCACACCAACTCACGCACGCCCCAATCCCCTGCAACTCACATCTCTCTCCAGGGCAGCCTTCAGCTCCTGTAATGTCTTGCGGCGCTGCACCAGGCTCTCCTTGAGCATCTCATTCACCCGAACTTCCTTGGCCAGCGAGGCCTGCAGCCCCGCTTGCCCTTGACCTTCAGCCAAGCCAACATCACCCTCTCATCTCAGCACTCACATCTCGTTCGAGTGCCGCTTTCAGCTCCTGCAGTGTCTTCCTCCTTTGGACTAAGCTCTCCTTGAGCATCTCGTTCGCCCGCACTTCCTTAGCCAGCGAGGCCCGCAGCTCCTGGCGCGACGCCTCCAGCACCGCCACCTGGGCGCCACTGTCCTCGTCATCGTTGTCCTCATCCACGTCATCATCGTCCACCAGCTCGCCCTCCTCGTCGTCCTCGTCATCCCATGCCGCCCCGCTGTATACTCCCCGTGCTAACCCGAGGGCCTCGCCCTGGGAAGGAGGGTAGGAAGGGGAGGGTTGTGATAAGGAGGGAGGGGATGGGAGGGCGTAACAGAGAGAAATTGGGGGAAGGACCATAGTGGGAGAAAATGAGAGGAGTTTCATCATCGCCATCCACCAGCTCGCCCTCCTCGTCGTCCCATGCTGCTCCACTATAGACGCCCCATGCTAGCCTGAGGGCCTCGCCCTGGGAAGAGCGAGAAGTGGGGTGGGGAAGGAGCAGGGGGGGGGGGGAGGTTATTGGGAAGAGAGGAAAGCACCACCTTGTCGTCATCATCGTCCGCCAGCTCGCCCTCCTCGCTGTCCTCGTCATCCATGGATAGAGGAATGGTGAGAGGCATGGATAGAGGCATGGTGAGAGGCATGGTGAGAGGCATGGTGAGAGGCATGGATAGAGGCATGGTTAGAGGAATGGTGAGAGGCATGGATAGAGGCACGGTGAGAGGCATGGTGAGAGGCATGGATAGAGGCATGGTGAGAGGCATGGATAGAGGCATGGTGAGAGGCATGGATAGAGGCATGGTGAGAGGCATGGTGAGAGGCATGGATAGAGGCATGGATAGAGGCATGGTGAGAGGCATGGATAGAGGCATGGTGAGAGGCATGGTGAGAGGCATGGTGCGAGGCATGGTGCGAGGCATGGTGAGAGGCATGGATAGAGGCATGGTGAGAGGCATGGTGAGAGGCATGGATAGAGGCATGGTGAGACCAATGGGAGCAATGGTGAGAGGCATAGTGAGAGGGTAAACCCAAAACATGAGGTAAATCGTCATGGTAAACGCTCCTCACATGCTCGCAAACCACTCACCACGAACACCTTGTCGATATTCTCCATGAGGAAAATCGTCATGGCCTGTGCCTCAAAGCCGCCGTGGTGAGAGCCATGATTTGAGCCGCAGCAGCAGCAGCAGCACTCTGCTCCCCATCAGTATTATTACAATGCCCACCAAGCACTCACCACGAACACCTTGTCGATATTCTCCATGAGGAAAATCGTCATAGTCTGTGCCTGGTTAGCTGCCATGGTCAGAGCCATGATCTGGGCCGCAGCAGCAGCAGCGCTGTCCTCCCCATCCTCCTCATCTAGACCCCCCCCTCGGCTGCGGGACCTGGGAAACCCCCCTCCCCCTCCTCCTCCCCCGCGGGACGAAGTTTGAAGTTCCCCGCTGAAAAGAGGGCGGAAGAGCAGCGGCGCCATGCATGCTGCAACAGCAGACGCGTTCATCCTATTGACCGCCTCGTTGTTGGTTATGGCGATCATGGTCTGCAGCACACTGTGGGTTGAGGGGAACGGGGCAGGAACATGACAGGGGGCGGGAAAAGGAGGGTAAAGGAGTGCCATGCTCATGATGCGTTCATCCTATTGACAGCCTTGTTGTTGGTTATGGCGATCATGGTTTGGAGCACACTGCGGGTCGAGGGAACAGGGAGAGGAGAGGGGGCAGGAATCAGGACGGAGGCAGGGGAGTATGGGAATGATGCAAAAAGAAGCACCCGTAAAATGTCAAGAAATGCCCAACCCCCATGCCCCATGCCCCATGCCCCATGCCCCATGCCCCATGCCCCACGGCCCATGGTTACCGGTGCAGCAGGCGTCTATTGGGCTCTGGCAGGTTCAGCATGGCTGTGCGCACTGCCTCTAGCTTTGCCTCCGCCTCCTCTTGCTCTGCGGTTGTGGGGGGGGAGAGGGGGGGTGTGGGGGGGAAGGGGTGGGGTGTGGGGGGGAAAGGGGGGGGGCGTGGGGGGATGAGTGGGGTGGTTTGTGAATGATTATTGAGGGACGCACAGCACAGCAGGGCTCTGCGCACTGCCTCTAGCTTCGCGTCCGCCTCCTCTTGCTCTGTGGTTGTGGGGGGAAGAGAAAGGCGATAGGGGTTATTAGGCACGGAAATTGAAGGAGAGGGGGAGAGGGAGGGAAGGGGGGGGGGGGAGAAACTGTAAATGTTTTTTGGGGCACTTCATTGTCGCATAAATGGGAAGGACACACGCACGCACGCGCGCACGCAAGCACGCACATGGAAAGCTCCTCTTTTACGAGGGAGAGCGGGACTGACGAAATGCATGCCAAAGACTCACGGAATACTTGCTCGAGTGCAGTGCAGGCATATGGCAGCACGGGTGACGTTGGCACGAGCCCTCCAAAGGCTCATATGGAACAGGTGCTTTGCTTTGGAGGTAGGGACTCACGGAATGCTTGCTCGAGTGCAGTGCAGGCATATGGCAGCACGGGTGACGTCGGCAGCTCTCGAAGGACAAGCTGCAGACACAAATGGTCGGATAGGGGGCAGGGAGTAAGGGGGGAAAAGAAGGGGGCGAGGGGGGGGGAGAGGAATAAAAAGTGAGTTTGTATTGAAGGTTTAACCATAGGGAAAGAAGAGGACAGATGGTTGTGGGAGGAAAGGGAGGGAGAGGAAGGAAGGACGTCCTTGCAGGGGGGGGGGGACGACAGTCTCAAGCTTATATCAATTTAACATGCTGGCACTATCTTAGGAACCGAGAATTGAACCTTCCACCTTGACTCGGTCAGGTATCCACCATGAGTCAATCAGCTATCCACCTTGACTCACTCTGCCACCTACTACACGCAATTCTCCCCATCCTCATACTCCATGAGCCTCCTTCCCACCTGCTTCAATCAGCCCATCGCAACCAACAGCCCACCTTGAATCAACCAATGGTGTTTGGTCAAAGACTCGCCTTGACACAGTCGCCCACGACGTGCGGGTTCTCCCCGTCCTCAAACTCTCTGTGCCCCTCCTCGTACTCCTCAACCTCCTTCCACCCGCAACCCTTGCCCACAACCAGCTGCCCACAACCGACCGCCCACAACCAAGTGCCCACTCTGACGCAACCACTACCAGCTCACCTTGATGCAGTCGCCCACGACGTGCGGGTTCTCCCCGTCCTCAAACTCCGTGTGCCCCTCCTCGTACTCCTTCAACCGCCTCTCCACCTGCTCCTCCTAACACAACCAGCTCACCTTAACACAGTCGCCCACAACATGTGGGTTCTCCCCGTCCTCAAACTCCGTGTGCCCCTCCTCGTACTCCTTCAACCGCCTCTCCACCTGCTCCACGTCCGCTGCTGCGCGCAGAATGCCCTCGAGCTTCACGCCTGCCAAAACAGCGGGGAGAGAGGGCAGGGATGGAAGGGTTGACATCACAGAAGGGGAGCATGAGAGAAGGGGCAAGCAGCCGCCTCTCCACCTGCTCCACCTCCCCTGCTGCACGCGGGATGCCCTCCAGCTTCACCCCTGGGGCCATGAGGCGGGGGAGGGAGGAGAGAGTGAGAGCAACATCAGAAGGAGCGAAACGCTAACGCTGTCCTTCAGCACCTTCTCAACCTGCTCCACGTCCGCTGCTGTGCGTAGGATGCCCTCAAGCTTCACGCCTGCCAGCACAGTGGGGAGCACGGAGGGGACGGAAGGAGCAACATGAGAGGGGAGCAAAAAGCGCACTCTCCCGGTGAGCCGCCTCTCCACCTGCTCCACTTCCACTGGTGCGTGCAGGTTGCCGTCCAGCTTCACCCCTGGGACCATGAGCGTGGGGAACGAGGTGTTGAGAGCAAACCAGGGGAGTATGAGAGGGGGGCAAAGAGCACACTCTATTCTTGAGCAGCCTCTCCACCTGCTCCACATCCGCTGCTGCACGCAGAATGCCCTCCAGCTTCACGCCTGGCAACACAGGGTAGAGGAGGGAGATGGGGCATGGAGGTGTTGGCAAGAAAGCAGGGAGGGTATGAGAGGGGAGCAAGCAGCAGACTCTGTCTATCACCCGCCTCTCCACCTGCTCCAAATCCGCTGCAGCATGCAGGATACCCCCCAGCTTCACCCTGGGACCATGGGGGAGAGGGAAGGAAAGGGCAGGGAAGGGGTGCAGGGTGAAGGATGGAGTGACGGGCTGAATGAAACTGGCTGCTTGAAATTTCAGAGCAATCAAGCCAGAATCCCGGCCCTTGAGCTCTTTTGAACTGGAGAGCCTCACCTTTTCCACGGCTCACCATTGATCTCTATGAAGCGCAGCTGCGCAGGGCATTTTTGAGGAAGGAGGGCGAGCCATTGAGCCCTCCAGGGCACTCAAGCAACCACAAGCCTCTGTGAGCCTCACCACAAGTGCCTATGGAGCTCAGAGTCAGCACGAGTGGCTATGGGGGGGAAGGCTCACCGTGAATCTCTATGAAACGCAGGGCCTTCTCGAGGAAGGAGGGCGAGCCGTTGACGTCCTCCAGGGCGAGGGAGAAGGGGCGGCACAGCAGCATGGAGCGCAGGCGCCGCTCCTTGCCTGGTGGGGAGGGGGGACGGGAGAGGAGAGGAGAGGGGAGGAGAGGGGAGGGGCGAGGGAAATAGGTGAGAGGAGAAGGGAGAAGGGGCGGCACAGCAGCATGGAGGGCAGGCGGCAGGCACTCCTTGCCTGGCGGGGAGGGGGGGGGGACGGGAGAGGAGAGGAGAGGGGAGGAGAGGGGAGACAGGGAGGGGCGAGGGGAATAGGTGAGACTCATCATCACGGAGGGCCGATGATGAAGGCCCATGCATGCATGACTAAGCCGCCTATGCCCAGCAAAGCACAGCTCTTCACCTGGCCCTGGGGGCCCGTCGTTGTTGCCTATGTCGAGCCCATCCCTTCTGAAGAGCGTGTCGTAGGGCAGACCCATCATCACGGAGGGCAGAGGGTTGGCCCAGGCATGCCATGGCAGAACATCCCATGCCCCAAACCCACCTGATCCTGGGGGGCTGTCGCTGTCGCCTATATCCAGCCCATCCCTTCTGAAGAGCGTGTCGCGGGGCAGACCCATCATCACGGAGGGTGGAGGGATGGCCCAACAACGCCCTCTGCTGCCCCAGACTCAACGAGACCAAGCAGCCTATGTCCAGAACAGCGGCCCACCTGGTCCCGGGGGGGGCGTCGTTGTCGGCTATGTCCAGCCCATCCCTCTAAAGAGCGTGTCACAAGGCAGACCCATCATCACTGAGGGCGAAGGGGATGGTTCAAGCATGCCGTGCTTGGGCCATCCCAGGAACATCGCAGCCTTTCACCTGGCCCTGGGGGCCCGTCGTTGTCGCCTATGTCGAGCCCATCCCCTCGGAAGAGCATGTCACAAGGCAGACCCATCATCACCGAGGTCGGAGGGGTGGCCCAAGCATGCCATGGCAGAACATCCCATGCCCCAAACCCACCTGGTCCTGGAGGCCCGTCGTTGTCGCCTATGTCGAGCCCATCCCCTCGGAAGAGCGTGTGGCGCAGCAGACCCATCATCACGGAGGTCGGAGGGGTGGCCCAAGCATGCCATGGCAGAACATCCCATACCCCAAACCCACCTGGTCCTGGAGGCCCGTCGTTGTCGCCTATGTCGAGCCCATCCCCTCGGAAGAGCGTGTCGCGGGGCAGACCCATCATCACGGAGGGCGGCGGGGCCTTGGAGATGGCGTCCTCCAGGGCGTCCCTCCACTCCTCCAGGTCCTCCAGCGTGTCGGTCTGAGAAAGCGCAGGGGGAAGGCACAGGGGGAAGGCACAGGGGGAAGGCACAGGGGGAAGGCACAGGGGGAAAGCACAGGGGGGTGATGGGAATAAGGGATTGAGAAGGGCGGAGGGGCATTAGAGATGGCGTCCTCCAGCGCGCCACTCCACTCCTCCAGGTCCTCCAAAGCATCGGTCTGCGACGGGGCAGAGAAGGGACGAAGAGACGAGGTTGGGAGGGGGAAGGGGGGGATTCGGTGAAGGAAACCGTGGAAACCTTGGAGATGGCGTCCTGCTACACGTCCTTCCCCTCCCCTCTGCAGTGTTGGTCTGAGATCGGAAGGGGGCGTGGCCACTGTGCGTGATGAGGGGCAGCAGTGTGAGTGAGGGGCAACGCAATGACTGTGAGCACGTGAGGGGAGGGGAGTGACGGGAGCATGAAATCTGGACTGGACCTTGTAGGTGAAGGCACGGTGTTGGAGGCAAAGCGACGGGCTAGCACGGATGTTGACGGTGCAGGCATAGACCGTACGGACTGACTGATGGCTCACAGAGAAGGGAGGGCCGACCTTGAAGGTGAAGGCGTGGCCGTCAGGGACGGTGAGGGAGAGGGAAGGGCGAAGGGAGATCGCATGGCATGGCACGGACCTTGAAGGTGAAGGCAGGCCGTCAGGGAAGATGAGGGAGAGAGGGAGGGAAGGAGGGAGAGGGGAGAGGGCATGGCACGGACGGACCTTGAAGGTGAAGGCATGGCCATCTGGGAAGGTGAGGGAGAGCTGCTTCTTGTCGGGCTTGATGTGCACCCTGGTGGGCCGTGGCACATCAAGGCGGCACATATGGGAGCGTGTGGAGAAGGTTTATCGACATGGGCAAGGAATCATTGGATCGAGATCAGGGGAAGGTGGGGGAGAGGAGAGCTGCTTCTTGTCGGGCTTGATGTGCACCCTGGTGTTGCACATGCACGCACGCACACGCACATTGGCGCACGTGGAAGCACATGGAAGCACATTGACGCACATGGAAGCACATGGACGCACATTGACGCACATGGACGCACATGGACGCACATGGGCAACATGTCAACCACGAGGCAAGGAGCAATCAGTCTATGACGAAAGCTGAACAAGGCAAAGCCGGTTCCGCAGGGTAAGGGCAGCGAGAGTGGTTGGGGGGGGGGGGGAGAGGAGGGGGGGGTAGGGTAGAGCGAGAGGAGTGTAGAGGCAGAGAGAGGGAGAGGCAGCCTTACTTTCCAGCGTTGTTGAATTCGATGCCTCCTATGGCCGATGAGATGTCAATGCGACCCCTCTGCGTGGAGAGGAGGGAATAATTATGAGGAAGGGTGGAGAATCACTGGGACTAAATAAACCAAGGGGGGTCGTGCACACACACACCCATTGGCTCGTTAATGTCACACTGATTCACTACAGTCACGCGCTTACTGGCTCGTGCTTGAAGAAGATGAGGGAGGAGCGCGTGAGGAGGAACCAACGCCGCTTCCATGACTTCCACCCCAAACCTGGGAGGGAAGCAAAGCGGGGAAACGGGAGAGCAGGGGCGTAAGGATCAAGAGAAAATGAAAACGAGTGAGAAGGAACCAACGCCGCTTCCATGACTTCCATCCTAAACCTGGGAGGGAGAGCGGGGGGTAATGAGAAAAGGGGGGGAGAGAAGGGAAGTTAGGGAAAAAATGGATAACACGCAGGTTCAAGCTCTGGGTACAATGTAGGGCCTTGCCTTGCTTCTCGAAGTGCATTAAAAGACGGGATTCGTTGAACGAAAGTCGCCTTTTGAAGGAGGCTCACCTTTAGACGACACGGATAGATGTCCACTCTTGTACACCTGTCGGATGGACGCATGCAACGCCGCAAACGAAACGCGGCAACATAGAAGAGAGAGATAAAAAAAAACTGAGCAAGAGAGGAGCCGAGCTATTTCTCTCTAAAAACAGCAGCCAACGGCGCCATGATCAATACAAGCGATCGTGAGTATACCTCGCCCCACCGATCCCCGTCCCCGTCTTGTGTCCTGGATCTACAATGCTTGACGCCGCCTTGAAGGCGCACACACAGTTTATCCCCTGAATTCGCCGGAATATGGGAAACTCACCCCTTGGTACCTGGGCCTCGGAAAGGTCGGACCATCACGGAAACATCTATCCCACTCAATGCGAGAAAAACTATTGGAATTGTGTCAAAATCAATGCTAAAAGCATTAAAAGAAGGGTCACGTCGCCAACTCACCCCTTGATACCTAGGCCGTGGAATGTCCATCACGGGACCGTCTAAGCCACTCATTGCGAGAGACACGCCGAGAGCACTCTATGCGAATGTTCGAATGAGCACGATGCGTCGCGTCGATGTTAGAATCGCGAGCCGTCCGAATGAATTGCGTCGTCGCCAGAAGCTACCAGGAGCCCTGAGGCTGAAGGCTAAACGAATAGCTGACGGAATGGAACTAAAGCGGTAAGGCTCGGGACCGGACGCCTCAACAACGGTCAATAATGGCAGGAGGGGAGGTCGAGAGCATGGAGTAACGACCAAGGTGGAGACAGAGCGTAGATGCAGGCACCAGTGAAATCGCCTGTAAAACAGTTGGTTGGGACCCAAGTTTACCAACTGTAGAACAGTTGGTTGGGACTAAAACTACTGATTGGCCAGCGAGCTGCAGGCACTAGTGAAATCGCCTGCGAGTGTTGCAATTCACGCACCCTCACGACACAAAACCTGGGTTCTCCCAACCAACTGTAAAACACTTGCCCCAGGTTCTAGAAACTTGGGTCCCTGGCTTTAAGCGTGAATAAACTACTGACGAGCTACATAAGCTCCTTAAATAGCGCTGTTGTCCGGCGCACTTGAAAATGATTCAACCACGGCGTTCGCAGTCACTCAGAAAAGGAATGCGTGGTTCTGCTTAGTCAACTAGGGCTGCACCTGAAGCCAAATGATTATTTATCGGTTGCAGAATGAGACACCAGTTCGACCGAGAATACGGATTCGTTCTTCGCACAATGCTTCACACTTTTAAACGAGAACGGTCCGTCGACAATGACTCCGGCTAATAACTATCACTGCAATTGCCGAGCCGAAGTCAGAAGGTTCAGGATCCCAGGCGGCATAACCTAGGCTGCCATGAAACAGAGACAGTAAAGAAATGAAGTTTCCTGATGGATTGGATGGCCTCACAGTAGACAAGTGCTTTGGTTCGTTGGGGTGGGGACGGAATTCCCAAGGTCGGCTGCTTTCTGATCATCAGCGAGAATTTCGCGAGGTTTCAAATCAAACTGCTGTCTCGACTCGAGGTTGAGAACTTCATGCGACAGATCCTCGTGCTCCAACGCGCGCGAGGAACAGTATTCGCGAAGAGCGGTAACCATGCGAGCACGACGATTCACTGGTCACTGGTACTGTATCTAGCATCAGAGTGTGGGTCGTGGTCGCATCTGTGGTCAAGGAGCGTTCAGAGAACGTTTTGCCAGAAACCCACCTGCATCTGTACCGATAAAAGGGACTTCGTTATATGCAATACCAGTAACGTACAGTTGATAGCACTCATATATGAGGTGATTAAACACAATATAAGCGTTACAATAATTTGGGATGTTCAAATGTATGTACACGACCATTGCCATAAGCCCACCAACCAGCTTGAATATCAGCCACGAGACCCTAGTAGAGTCCACTTCACGTTCCACCAAAATCCTACAAGTGCCACGACCGTTAGCACAAAGAGCCGCATCCAGGCAACCATATGTGTCTGCGCAAGCAGATACATGTTAACACAGATGCCCATAAGAGGCACAAATGGGACCCATGGACACGCAAACCCGGACGCTGGCACACTGAAACGCTGAGAAAGGAAAATCGGTGCAGAAGAAGCCAGCGACAGGAGGAAGAGAGGGACGAGCAGCAGCCATGATGCAGCAAACCGGGTGGCAAATCCCAAGGACAGGACGCATGCAACTAAGACACAGACGTACACCACCGCCTCATGCCACTTGTCACCACCCCATTGGGCAATCCAAGGAGGGGGCGGCGGAACACGTGCGTGTAACATAGTTGCGGGACCATTGCTTGTTGTACCAATAGTGGAGACTAGGCCCCTCTGTGCCAGAAGTGCATCTCCTACTTGGTCTCCACCCCCACCCTCCACACCAGCACACCCCCCTTCACCTCCATGGCAGCGCTCCACTCTTAAAGCCAGCACGCACATACACACTATAGAGTAACTCAGTAACACGCCCACCGACAGGATATGCGACAGCCTCCCGACATCGAATCCTGCTGCCATCACCGCCGCCACACCTCCCACCCACCACTGCGCATGCACCGGCACATGGCTCCGCCCATTCACCTGCAAAAACCACCCCGGCAGCATGCCATCCCTCGCCAGTGCTAAATACATGCGGGACTGCACATACAGCCCCGTTAGGAGCGTAGTCGTGAGGCCCACTACCGCCCCTATGTCGATGATCCGCTCCATGAAGTGGAGTCCGAGCGAGGAGAAGGCGGAAGAGAGGGGTGCGGAGGGGTCGAGAAGGGTGAAGTGGACCATGCCAGTGAGGACAAGAGAGACGGAGATGTAGAGCAGCGAGCAAACGGCGAGGGAGAGGAGGAGACCGCGGGGCACGTCGCGGCGGGGGTGCAGGGACTCCTCAGCTGTGTTGGCCACGGCGTCAAAGCCGATGTACGAGAAGAAGACGAGAGAGGCGGCTGATAGCATGGCCTGGACGCCACCAACGCTGCTGCTGCTGGCTCCACTGACGGTGGTTGCAGCAGCAGAGGCAGCAGACGCAGTGGCAGTGGCAGCAGCAGCAGCAGGGACGGCAGCAGAGGCAGTAGTAGTAGCAGCGGCAGGAGCAGCAGAGGCCAGGAGGGAGTTCAACGATGGGGGGAAGAAGGGGCTCCAGTTCGCAGGGTTGACGTACCGCGCGCCCACAGCCACCACGAGCACCACTATGGCCACCTTGGTAGACGTCATCACGTCGTTCACCCTCGAGGTCTCCCTCACCCCACGGCACAGCAGCCACGAGATAAGCAGCAGGACAGCTGGCGCGACCAGATTGATCGAGAGGTCTAGGGTCAGTACGGGTGGCACCGGGCTTTGTCCCCCGGACCACCAGTCGGAAACCCACCAGAGGAGCCAAGAGGGGGAGAGAAATGGCAGGGGGATGGAAATAGGCAGGCCTCCTGGTGCCAGCACTGCAGGTAGCCCTACCCCAGATGCCACCTCCACCAGAGACGCCAAATAACTCGCCAGGCTCCTGGCAATCGCTGCCGCCCCCACGTGGTAGTCCAGCACCAAGTGGCAAAACAGGACAAACGACGCGAGCTGCCCGAGGCAGGCGTGCGCGTAGAGGTATGCGCCGCCCACGCGGCCGGGGAAGCGGGCGGCAAGGTCGGCATAGCAGAGCGCGTTGAGGAGCGACGCCAAGCCGGCCAGGAGAAAGGATAACGACACGGATGGGCCGGCCAATCGCGCGGCGACACCTGTCACGACGAAGATGCCCGAGCCAATGGACGCGCCGATGCCGAGGAGGATGAGGTCGAGGAGGGAGAGAGAGCGGGTGAGCGCGGGGGGCTTGGGTGGTGGCGGCAGCATAGACTCTGACAAGTGCTGGGCGGAGGAGCTTGCTCGTTCCCCCGCTACCTCCCCTGCTCCTTGCGAGATCTGCCGATTGCTGGCCCAAGTTTGGGCCTCACCTTGGGCCTCATCTTGGGCCTCACCTTGGGCGTCATCTTGGGCCTCACCTTGGGCGTCATCGTGGGCCTCTCCATCCCTCCCTTCTTTCTCCCTGTCTTCTCCATCTCTCCCTCTCCAGAGTCCTCGTCCACCTCCTGCCTTTCCTGCGCCCCCTGTCTCGTCAGCCTCGCGGATTGGGTGGATCCCTGACAGGAGCGGGTCGGAATCGGTATTTCCAAGGCTCACGGACTCGAAAGGGTAAATTACTCTCGACGGAACGCTGCTGCCGCCGCCGCCGCCGCCGCCGCTACTGGCGCCGTGAATGCCGCTCGCGCTGGTGCTGGTGGTTGCAGCCGTAGGAGGCGTGGAAACGGCGATGCCGCCAGCTAGGCCTGCCACGTCAGCGGTGGAGGGAATCTTGACGTGGACAGCTGCTGTCACGAAATTCTGCCACCAGGAGGACGAGGAGGGTGGGGATGACGACCGCCACGTCATACCACCAGATGACGTGGCATTTTCGACGCTCTGCTCATCCCGCGCGCGCTGCCGTTGAAGCCGGTGCTCGGAATTAAGATCCGCCATCAAGCGTGCCGACTGAAAGGTTCTCAATGACTCGTCGCTCCTGACCTACTAGTGAAGGATCTAGCGCGAATTGCGGGCACAAATTGCGTGTAGTGCACGAATCGAGTGGATCTCGGAGCTTGGAATCTCTTCCTCTGCTATCCTCAGGGCGGCGAATCGGCGATCGGTCAACTTTGGCGAAGCAACAGCTGTTACCCTGCCTCTCACAACTCCAGATGAGCGCTATGACAAGCAAGGAAAGAGCTGCAGTAGGAGCCCTTAGTGGGGTAGTGCTATTTTCGCGGTAGAGGGGAGTGAGGTGTGGTTTGAAAGGGTGAGGAGGGCAACTCGAATGCGGGCAACACAAATCCCAGGGGAGAGAGGAACGGCGGAGCGAAGTTGCAAAGCGTGTAAACTATAAGGTGCCAACCAGCACTTCTAGGTGGATGTGTGGATCATTATTTAAATTCATAAAAAGCATAAGTACAAGCAGCATAACAAGCATGGAAATGCCTGGTCAGGATAGCACCCTAATCTATCCTGGCCAGTAATTTCAATGCTTGTTGAAACAAGCACAACAAGCACAAAAACGAGCACGCATCAACGAGGCCATGCAATAGCCATATGCAAGTGCAAATGGTTGGCAATGAATGAATATAATCATTCAGTGCCAACCATTCCCAACCAGGAGCCATTGATGCCCGGCCATTGCCCCCAGCCATTGCCTCCCTTGTCTGCACCTCGCCCTCTTGTTCCACCTTGTCAGTGGATGAAGTGGTGGAGGGAGGAGGGAACCACGTGGAGAACGTCATGGAGATGCACAGAGGAGAGCAGCTGATCAGGTGCGACCGGAAGCACGCTCAGCATAACCTTGGGAACATGGTGCACGAGTGGCATGTTGCTGCTGCTGACAAACGACGAGATCTCCATTCCACCGCCAAGGGAGGAGAGCGCATCTACCGTCCCTCCAGCAGCAGCAGCAGCCGCTGCAGCAGCAGCATCAGCAGTACCAGCGCCAAAGCTCCCGCTTCCCACAGCCGACGTCAGCGCGTGAGACGCACTGTACGCAGAGGCAGCCACAGCTTTGACCCCTACTTTCCCTCCCAGCACCTTGGCTCCAGCCACCTTGGCCTTGAGCTTCAGCTTCAGAAGGACGCTCTTGGCCTTGGCGGAGTAGAAGGGCACCTTGAGCTGGGAAGCCACCAGGGCGTTACTGACCTGCTCCACAGGCACTTTGGAAACTGAAGCATCCTCTTCCGCACCCGGCATGTTATTCTGTGGAGTGTAGCTGCCGTTACTATCTACAGTGCTGCTGCTGTTACCGCTGGAGTTTGCCGAGCCGCTGGCCTTTTCAGCATGGCCTGAAGCAGCACCATCGCCATTCCGGGACATAACTGCCCACGCGCCGGCGTTTACAGCAGCAATGACGAGCCCAGCCACACCCAGCCCAATCTCCGGAACCTCTCCCTGTGCCAGGGCAGAGAGCAACCCGCCCCAGATGGGGATGGATGTAAAAACCAGCATGAGGGCCGGCGCTGGCATGTCTTGCAGGCACTTCATCTCCATCCACGTGCCTAGTCCGGAGCACATGAGCCCGCTGTAAATCAGCGGCAGCAGCGCCGCAGTGCTGGGAACTGCGGGGCCCGCATGTGCCGCAGCAGCTGCAGCATCGGTGATTATGGGCAAGATGCCGTGTGGGAAGGCGGACGAGGAGGAGGAGGAGAGGAGGTGAAAGAGGAGGGAGGAGAAGAGGGAGAGGGAGGCGAGAGAGGAAGTCTGCACGGCGGTGAGGGAGAGCGGGTCGAAGCAGGTGCAGTGGGCCTCGCAGCGGAGAAGGGAGACGAGGGAGAGCAAGCACGCGAGCAGCGGCCACGGGGTTGATAGGGGCAGCGACTGCCCCAGGCCGGAGAGAAGGGCGGATGGCCCTGCGCCTGTGGAGGCCCCGCTCGCGGCAACGAGGGCCACCATCGCGACGAGCGCGGACACGATCGGTGCACGGGATGTGCGGCCGCTTCCGACTCCGCTGCTGCTGCTGGAGCCGTTGGTGGCTTCGCGGTGGAGGCGGTCGGCGAATTGGAGAAGGGGGAGGAGTAGGAGCTGCAGGGAGAGCAGACGAGGGATTACAAAGGGGAGAGACGTGGAAGACAGGGGTGAGCACAGTGGACCGGCCGTGGCGGGCAACAGCTTGAAACGAAGCGAAACGGAAACGGAACGAAGGCTTTGTCAGGGGGGTGAGCAGAACGGAGAGCATGATGACACATCGGATGTGTGGAGAATGATATGGCAGGCCCAAGGCACGTACCGAGAGCACTAGCAGCAGCGGGGTGGAGGCGCTATCGGCGTCGGTGAACTGCGACAGCAGGTCGCCCAGGAAGCTGTACGACGCTAGCTCCACTCCCGCCGTCACCACCGCCGCCTTCTCCGCCGCCTTTTCCGCCACCTTCTCTGCTGTCATAACAGATGACGACGCTTCTTTCTCCGATGGCGGCGAAACCCTCCCCTCGGCTGGGCCCAGGTGACCCCCGACTGGCAGGGACGATTCCAGTTCAGGTTCCAGCGGGCCTTTGGCGGACGTCGTCGCAGATCGCACACTGTCGCCCAGGCGACCCGCTGCTGCGGCTGCGAAGGTGCTGACGGCAGTAGGGGCGAACGGGAGCGCCGCTGCGGCGAATCGGATGGGTGAAGCGTATTCGGCGGGAACGTGATCCATGAGGGGCGCCAAATGCGGGGCGATATGACTCAACGGATGGGTTGATTCCGTGGCGCGTGCCACGGCGGACGCGGAGCCGTAAAGCGCGGCGAGCCCGTTTGCGACGAGAAGCCCCTTCCGCCAGCGCCGCCTGCTGCTGGGGGAGGCGGCCGCGGAAGCCGCTCCGCCGCCGCTTGGGCGCGGGGAAAGAGGGACGCGCGGGCGCGGTGAGGGAGTCGGGGGAGGCCTTGGGGAGGGGGACGTGAAGGACGGCCACGTGATAGCAGAACCGCCGCTAGGAGTGCCTGCAGTGTTCGATGGAGGCAGGTGGCTAGTAGTACTAAACGAAGATTTACCGCCCGCCGATGCGGCGGAGGAGAAAGCCGTGGAGGCTGTTACTTGCGACGGCGCGTGGCGTTTGGTGGTCGGAAGGCCGCCGCGGCCGAAGCTAGCTGGAGGCAAAGAGCGCCTGGGAATGGAAATGGAGAGACCCGATCCAACGGCTGTGGCTGCTTGGGAGGAGATCTGAGTCAGCCCGGAGGCACACGCCATGGTGCTACTAGAACGGCGGTAGACCTAGCGACTCTAAATCGAGCGGAATTTCGGAGTCTAAGTCTCGGGCTGCTGGAGCTGCTCGCGTTTCTTTCGCAATTTGGAAGAATTTGAGTTCGCGTTGCTGCTGCGGGGCTGAATGGAGCTGGCTTCTATCTCGATGCGAGAATGCTCGCAAGGGCCCTGGGCTGCCTTGCTCGAGAGCAACGCAAAAGAGAGAAAGGCGTTTCGTGCTGCTAGTTGGAAAGGAAAGCGCGCGCTGATGTTCGAAAATCACAGAAAGTCGGAATTTGTAATCGGGCTGATGTACTAGGGAAAGCTGGGGCAATTTTTGGTCACAAGGGGAAGGGCCTGTGCGTGGGTGACAGTAGTAGGAGCACAGCACAACAGGAAGGTTGCACCCAGTGCAGTACTGTTCCCTCCCTCCCCTAGATTCCTCACTCCCCTGCTTCCTCCCCTCAATGCTCCAATAATTTCGAATGTGCGACTCGAGAGACCCATGTCACGCGACGCGGCTCCGCGAAGAGTGCATTCTTCTCCGCCAAGCTGGCTGTGGTTGGCTCTTGTTGAAAGGGCATGCGTGACATGCGGCAGGTTCGGGGCGAATCTCGAGGACAAATCACGGTGAAGTCGGTGGTGAGCAGCCGAACCGCTTTTTGCCGAGAGCCTGAAACATTGCTGAGTCACGTCCTAGATTTTGGGCACTCACTCCACAAGGGCCACAACTTTTTTCGTGGCTTCCCGCATTCGAGGAAAAAAACCCCATGATGCAGGAAGAATCGTCTAGCAGCTCGTGCGTTTCTGGAAAAATCACGTGTCTGGTGGCACGTTGATCTGGGGGGGGGGGCCTCTCAAGACAATCCAGCTGGCAGCTTGTCGTGCAGGTTTGAGCTTTGACTGCTCCAGCCAGCTGCTCCAGCCAGCTCCACCTCCTCTCGCGTGAGGCGGTGAAGGCATTACCAGGGCAGGCTGTTCTGAAACTGCCACGAGGCCAGTTAGCTGCTACGTTCTGCGAAAGGCACTGGTTTCTCCTGCGAAGCAGGGGCAAACTTCACTCCGTCGCCCGTCAACCACCCGTCAAAGCGTGAGTCATTATGGAAAATAATGGGAGTGAAGAGAGTTTCAACTTGCACATGATTGTATAACTTCGTGTGCGTTGAAAAGCATGTTAGCGCATTTCACCTACACATTGAAAGGTGATGCCAGTCAGGGCTTATCTTTGACTTTTCTGAACTCTGATTTTCACCAGTAGCTCATGGGCTAACTCTGAAATCCAGGGTGCCCTGGACCGGAACTCTGATTTGCCAAGGTTTTTGTGCCTTATCAGAAAAAAAACCCTGTCCGCCTAGAATTTGGAAGAGATCTAGAATTTGCCCAGCAAAAAGTATTGTCTCACATCCACATGGCACGGTAACAGAGCAGCATCTCATCAATCATCATCATCATCATCATCATCATCCTCATATGAACCCTCACTAGCTGCACTGCAATCTCCTCATCCGAATCCTCGGCTGCACTCTTGCCTTTGTCGAGGGGAGTCTCATAGGCCACTGTCTTAGCCTGCTTTCGCATCTTCTGTTTCCTCCAGATGTCAACGATCTCGGCGTAGTCCATGTCGTAGTCCAGCATGTTGATCGTCATGAGTTCGCTCAGCCTTGCATCGCACAAGCTCGTCCGCAGCCACGACTTGATCACGTTCTGTCTGCTGAATCCTCTTTCACACTCCACTGTGCTCAGTGGAAGCACAGCCATGGCCTGCCACAATGCCATCAGGTTGGGATAGCTCTTAGGCCAGTCGCGGGTCTTGAGCATGGCAGCCAGCCCCTGGTTGAAGTCATCATCCGCCTGGTGGTTCTTCATGATGTGAACAAAGGTCTTGAGCTCCAGCTCGGCCGCCCTTTGGTTCACTCCTGGAATTGGGGTTTGGTTGGAATAGAAGCAGAGGACAACGGTTTAGTATCCATCCTAGGGCAAGGCAAACTGACATTTAACAACGAATGATACGGTTGTGTTAACGGAACTACTGACTTACCTGGCAGCTTGTGGTCGAAGAGGGCGACGTTGGATGCGAGCCAGGAGAGATGTCGCCGCTCGCGCACTTCTGCCTTCTTCGGCCAGCACTCAACTTTGAACAGTCCCGCGCCGCCCATCCGCTTCAGATCCCACAGCCTCTGCTCCACATTCGCCACCATGTCTTTGGCGAACGCAGAGCAAAGGTCCTCACAGTCCGACATGCTGCCGCCGAACTTGTGGCCGGGTAGCTTTTCCTCCGAGAGTTCGAATGCGTGCGTGCAGGGACTTCCGTCGTTGTCCATGCCATCGACGACGATGCTGCGCTTGCCGCTGGCATGCCGCTGCAGGAACTTGGTCAGCCTCTTGCTCATCCCCCCCCGAATGTCGCACCGTACTCGATGTAACGGTGCCGGATGTAGGTGACCGTGCGGTCAACCTCCTGGGACACCAGGGTGATGTCCACCTGACGGAAGGGGCATAGGGCAGGCGGAGGTACAAAATGCAAGGAATTAAACTCACGCACATGACTACCAAGTTAAATACATAGCAAGACTGTGCAACAGTGCAACGAGATACGCCAAACAAAAGTACGTCCCGTTAAAACCACCACTTACAGAGCGCCTCTGAAAGAACCTGTTGAGGGTGTTCATCTCGGCGAGGACGTCAGCGAGGAAGTACAGGCAGTAGTGAAATTTCAGCGTCTTCACAACCGGTGCCAGCTTGTGGTTGTACTCGATGAGGACAACGATCGCCGCTCCGAGAATGCTGCAGAGCCTCTTGATTGCATCGCCACGTGAGAGCCACCGGATAAGGTAGAGTCCTTGATGCTCCAGGTTGGTGTTGTGGATGACCATCTGCAGGTGCTTGAAGCGCTCATACCATGGGGTGGAACGGCCAACAATCTCCCCCAATGCGCGGATGACGGCATCGATGATCTTGAAGTCCGGGAAGGCCGCGGCAGCATCCTTGACAGCCAGGGACTCTCTGCCAACAAAAACAAAACAGAGAGCATCAGCAACTTGACAAGATTTACCTGGAAGGGGCATGTAGCTATGCACGCATGAGCCATTAAAAGCACGTATGGGTGCAACAAACAAACAGCACCTATGGGCGATGCAATGGACGCCCACGAGGTGCGGGATGCGCATTCGTAAGCGAGCCACCAAGCCATGATGCTCGCCTGTCATCACAGAAGCCCCATCCGTACTGATGCCAGAGATCTTCTGGAGATCGACGCCGAGGGTCTCGAGGTGGGAGAGGATGATCGCCTGCAGAGAAGCCGCGTCGCACTTGTCCACGGTCAGCAAAGCTAGGAACTCGGTGACCACTTTCGGCTTCTTCAGAAATGTTGCAAACAGGATCAAGTGCTTCCCCCGCGTTCTGTCGGTGCTTTCGTCACAACTGAGGCCGATGAATGGAGATGCGTGAATATGCGACATCTGTTGCGCCTGCAAGAAAGCCACCATGGCTTTCACCATCTCCTTGAAGCCGTACCTGAATGGGAGTGAGAAAGGCATGCACACAACACTGGTGTTAGTAGTTGGTTAAAGAGGATCACAAAATCCAAAGGTTATAGGAAAACCCGAAAGAGAAGCAGTACAAGGGGATTAATAAACTTACTGTGTTATGTAGACACCGTAGCTCTGCTTAGGAACGTCCTTCACCCCTTCATGCGCCATGAAGCCTACGAGGCGGGTGAACATGCTGATGGGCGCATCTTCCTTGCAGATGAATAACATGGCGCGGAGTAGCCGAATGATGCGCGCTCCCTCTGGGTCATTCGCAACAAAGTCTTCCATCCTCTTCTGGTTCTCCACTTCTGTCAGCAGGTGTTGTTGCTTCCTCACCGCGTCTTCATGCTTCTGACTCTCCTGGTGCCAGCGCATCGAGCCGACTTGCAGATCCCGACCGCCACTGCCCTCACGCCCGTATCTTGCATGCACTGCACCATGCTCCATGCAAACACTGCAACGCAAGCACAGGATTCCGTCGTCATTTTTATCAAGGACCAGCCATGGGAATTTCGGGAGCCAATCATTGGTGTACTTATGTTGCGCCTTTTCGTATGCCCTCGCCGTCTTCTCCGCAACTGTCGGTTCCGCTGACGGTGCAGTGACACGCTCCGGCGGTGGCGGAGTGGGGGGCTTAGGAGGAGGCGGTGCAAATGGCAGGTGTGATTGCTCATAGCGGCGCCTCTTTTTCGACGTCACGGCGACCGATGTAGTCGTGGCGGGAGGAGTAGCAGCAGGGGTTGATGTGGCGGGACGAGTGGCAGCTGGGGTTGATGTGGCAGGACGAGTGGCAGCTGGGGTTGTCGTGGCGGGACGAGTGGCAGGCGGGGCCTTGGATGGCGAGTCAACCAGCTCAGTCACATCGTCCTGATTGCGCTCCCACTCTTCACTGCTGAGAGATGGAAGGGGGTTCGAGTACACAGGAGCGGCATGTGCACGACGAAGGAAATCGAGGCCTCTGAGGGGAGCGACCCTAACAAAACGCTCAGCGCTATGGTCGTCCTCCCCCCCATCGTCCTCGTCATCAGAACTACACATGACGGGCTCTGGTGGGAAAGTGGCTGCAAACAGGACTACCTCAGGGGAGATTGATACGCTCTGGTAGTTGTGAGAGGGGTACTCTCTCTTGCGTGGAGCAAGAGAGAGTTGGAGGGGAACTCGGTTTCCTGCAGCAAGCAGCAGAATGGATGAACGAAGGGAGGGACAAGCTGGTCTTGACTTGAGGTGATCGACAATGCGCTACTAGCTGTATGGTGCATGCGTGAGTAGCATCATTGCTACCCGCAGCCTAGCGTGCTGTCGATGTGCTGGCTGCTGTACCAAGCCAGGAAATGCCTAAGGCATGCAGCAATCATCCAGCGGTGACAACTTCAGCTGCCGCACGCGGTTGTGCTGCTGATGCCACGCGAGAAAATGCCCAAGTATCCAATGGGCACCGAGGAATCTTCCAACGGCAGGAAGTTTGGCAGCAAATGGCGAACAGTCAGCGGGCGGCTCGCGTGAAACCACCCAGGAATCCAGGCCACGCGTATGTGTGTCTATAGGGAGTACAGGTAATATCCGGGGGTATGCCCCCTATATGAATACCCACAAGGTGGTACATACACCAACTCTGATAAATCAGAGAAAAGAGAACTTTCAAAAAAATTACCCAGGACCATCAGAGTGACTTCCAAAAACGACTCTGATTTTCAGAGAAACAGAGTGATTTACTCTGATAAAATAAGCCCTGATGCCAGTGTTGTGGGTTGGTTAAAAAACTGGCATGAAATCAAGTTTTGTAAATTTAGACAGTGGAATCTAAATGGATGGGGAGAGAATGAAGAGCAGGGCATGATAAACACAATCATCTAGTGAATGACATTTTCAAAAAAACATTCTAGCAGAGGTGGAGCAGCCCGTTCTCAACAAATTACCCTTCTCCTGCGATATGCACCAAGTATGGGGGGGTGGAAAGGAGTCCCTAATCTTCTCTCCTGGGCTTAGTGCCTGCAAAAGCTGCATGGGGGTAGGAATTACTGGTACTACCTAAGAGAACGAGATTGTGTGGGGAAAAAGCACAAAGTCAATGCGGTGAGCGTGGATCGAACACGCGACCTTCAGATCTTCAGTCTGACGCTCTCCCAACTGAGCTATCCCCGCACGTGTACGAAGGAACTAAAAATGTATCTATAATTGTTTATTGTGCCTTGCTCCTGAAGCACAGACTCGTTAGCCATGTTGTGGTCCCAGCAACTGACAGCAACTGACGGCAACTGACGGCAACTGATGGCCGCAGACACTCTAAGCCAGCAATTGATGCCCATTTGTTGTCCGTCGCTTTCGTATCGAGTTTCCTTTTGTTAGGAGCTCAACCTAGGAGCTCAACCTAGGAGCTCAACCTAGGAGCTCAACTTCTGGCTCCGCTGCTCTACCGCCGTTCGATAGTGGTCACATGCCATGGTTCACGCATCTAACGGCTCAGATGGCAGATCAGCACAGCTTGCATCATTTACGGCCTTCCATTCAAGCCGCTCCGTCCCGAACCTCCAATCGACGCAGCCTTTGGCCTCCGCCGGTCCCGCTTCCATGACTCCGATCGCTTCCCCCGCCGCTACCCACCTCTCCGCATCCCACTCCGCCAACCCGCTTCCTCCCCCGCTCCTGCCCGCGCCCGCGCCGTCCGCGGGCTTTGCGCCTCCGCGCAGCTCCCCCGCGCCGTCCGCGCGCCTGTCGTTCGGGTCGGTGTGGCCCAAGGCGCGCGACGAAGTGGTCGAGGTGGCAAAAGAATTTCCCAACGGCGACACTTATTACGGAGGATGGTTACTCGTCGGCGGCGGGTTACCACACGGGCTTGGGTGTTACACCTGGTCCGATGGGAGCGTATACGAGGGGGAATGGGTCAAGGGGCAGAAAAACGGGCAGGGAATGTTTTTATGGCCGTCCGGGGCGAGATACCAGGGGGAGTGGAAAAAAGGGCAGATGCAGGGGGTAGGCACGTACTGGGGCGCAGACGGATCTTTTTACACGGGCAACTGGGCAGCCGGAATAAAGCACGGGCTGGGCAGAAAAATATACCCTAACGGGGATTCTTATGAGGGGTTCTGGAGCTGGGGGGCGGCGGAAGGGCCGGGGAGGTACAAGTGGCGCAACGGGAACGAGTATTTCGGGGAGTGGAAGGCCGGGACTATGAGCGGATTCGGGGCTTTTACCTGGGCGAGCGGGGATAGGTTTGAGGGGGAATGGGACGGCGGGTTCGAGCATGGGCCTGGGACGTTTACCTGGGGTGATGGGAGCAGGTATGAGGGGACTTGGTGCCATGGGCTGAAGGACGGTAAAGGGGTGTTTTACCCTGCGGGTTATAGGTCGGAGGATGGGGTGCTTGGAGGGGTTAGATCGGGGGAGGAGTGGGGGGACGGGGAGGCGGAGGTGGGGCGGTCGTCGAGTGGGGGGGAGAGAGAGAGTGTGGTGTGGGATGGCGCGGTGAGTGGGGATGAGGGGCAGCGGAGGGACGAGGAGGAGAGGGGAGGGGGGGAGAGGGGAGGGGGAGAGAGGAGTGCGAGAGAAAGGGAAGGGGAGAGGGAAGGAGGAAGTGTGGGTGCAGCAGAGGAGGGGAGGAAGCAAAGGAAGACACCTGTGCCTAGAGCCATATCGCATGACAGCTATGTCGGAAGCACCAAGCAGTCCCTGGATTTTGGTTCGGCATTGGTTGGTGCCGCAGGCTTGGTAGAGAGCGGAGGTCCGGCAGCTGGTCTGGTGGGTGGTTCGGCAGGAGGCGTGGCTCCTGGTTTGGCAGAGCAGGTGATTGGAAACGGCCAGAGTGGGAGTGAGAGAGGATGGGAATTGAGAGGGCGGGGGCGTGTGGAGTGGAGAGGAGACACCGCTGGTCAGGCTGATGGTCAGCTGGAGACACAAGACTCGCCTGCTGCCCCTGGAGAGGAGAGGCATGGGCGAGCCACAGTGGTGGGAGGAGAGCTGCTGGTGGGACGAGAGCTGCCGGTAGGAGGAGAGCAGCGTATGGACCCCCTCTCTCTCGCAGTCGCAAGCTCTAATATGGAGCAGCAGCAGCAACCGGAGCTGCCAAAGGGGCGGCAGGAGCACGAAAACGACCGCTCCCCTCTCTCGCTGGCAGGCTCTGATTTGGTATCCACCACCCCTCACACCCCTCCTCCTGTGCATCTCGATGCTACCCCCAACGCCATCCATGCATCTGCTAGCGGTCCTTCTCGTGCTGTACAAGTCAGCTCCAGCAGCGGCTCTGGTGCCACCTCGCACCGTCGCTCCCCCCATGGCCATCCCACGTCCAAGACATCGCCATGTGGTGCGGATTCCACTCCGTCCTCTGGGCCCTCTGTTGCTGTGAGGCTCAGCGGCGGCAGCCGCAGCAGCAGTGCAACCACGGACTGTCGCTCCTCCTCCCACCCCGCCACCGGGCAATCCCCTTCCGGTGCTAAATCCACTCCTGCCTATTGCCCCCTCCAGAGGAGGAGGAGTGGGAACGATGCAGTCACCGAGAGTAATTCTAACGAGGGGGGTGCTATTGAAGGTGGCGGGGAGTTGGCTCACAAGAGACAAGGGTCGGCTGGGTCTTCCTTAACCCACTCCGCCTCGGCCCCATTCCCCGTTGTTACACCTGGGGTTACACCAACAGTTACGCCTACCGGTACATCCACGGTTACACCTACGGTTACAACTTCGGTTACGCCTACGCAGCGGTTGGCGGAGTGGGCGCGGCGGGTGAGCATAGAGAGGCAGCTTGTAGAGGGGACGAGGGCATTGGACCAGGAGTTGGGGCAACAGGCAGCGCAGCAGGAGCAGCTGTGGAGCGGGCCCCTGCGCGCCCTTCGAATGATGCGCACTGGCAGCTATGGCAGCGGTAACGCGGCTCAGATGAGTCATAGTGGTAACTGTAACGGTGAGGGTAATGGTAGTGGTAACAGTAAGGGGGAGGGTAACGGCGACAGTAGTGGCAGCTGTGAGGGGTCTAGTGCGGGTGGCTTTAAGAGGAGTGACACAGACGGTGGTCTGAGACTCACAGGGGGGTTAGTAGCAGAGGGAGCGGGGGAGGGAGGACGGGGGATGGGGGCAGCAAGACGGGGAGTCGGGGGAGTGAGGGGAGGGAGTGGTGATTTAGAGGAGGGTTCAACGAGCCGTGGTGGGGTTGTTAACGGGGAGGGGTTGTTAATCTATTGTGGCTTGCCATTGTCGGCTAAGAGTATGAGTCTGAGAGACGATCGGCTGCTGAAACTCGAGCCTGTGGATGCCAGGAAGGTCTGGGGGAGCTTCAGGACCGGGCGGGAGGCTCGGTCCGAGGCTCGGCTGGAAGCTCGGATGAAGTTTCGGTCGGAGGTTCGGGTAGCGAGTGATTGGGTAGAGAGTGTGCTGGGAATTGAGGATGGGGGGGAGTATGAGGGCGGTTGGGGGAATAAGGGATTGAGGTGGGCCAGTGAGGAAAGGCGTGGTGCTGCTATTGAGGAGGAGGGGGAGAGTGTGGGTGGTGGAGAGGTGGAGGCAGAAGAAGAGGGGGGAGAGGAGGATGGGGAAGAGGAGGAAGGAGAAGAAGGAGAGGAAGGAGAGGAGAGAGAGAACGGGTTCACAGCTGCAGTGGAGGAAGAGGAGGAGGATGAGTCGGCGGATTCTTCTGTTGATGGGGATGGGGAGGATAGGAAGGGTGGGGAGGGGCGAGAGGAGATGAAGAGAGGTGATGGCAAGAGGGAAGGGGAAGGTGCGAGAGGGTCTGCCAGAGCAATGGAGTCAGTAGCAGACTCTGGAGGGGCAGCAGCAGGAGCTTGGGAAGTAGGAGAAGCAGGGCCAGGGCCCGTGACCGCTACTATGGCTGCAGCAGCAGCAGCAGCAGCAGCAGCAGCAGCAGCAGCAGCAGCAGCAGCAGAAGCAGCAGTAGCAGTAACAGCAGAGGAGGACTCAGGGGATCTTGGCTCTCTCCCTAGCCTTGAGCCGCAGCCTCGGCACGCAGTGCGACCGCCGAGCCTACAATTGCCGAATCTAGAGTCACCAAGCCTGCTGCAGAGCCAAGCCTCTCCAGGCCACGTGCGGGAATTGGACGAAGCAGCACGGAGGGAGAGGAGCCCTAGGGAGACTTGGCAGCACAGTCCCACTCGGGTGGGAGTGGGAGGAATAGGGGCGGCAGGGGTAGCCGGAGTAGCAGGAGGGGCTAAAGCAGCAGCAACCACAGTGGCGGCAGGAGCAGCAGCAGTGATATCAACAGCAGCAGCAGCAGTAACAGCAGCAGCAGGAGGTGCAGGAGCAAAGAGACAGCAGGATTTGAGTAAAGAGAAACATCAGAAGGACTGGTCATGGGGAGAGGGTGTGCTGAGAGCCGGGACACGGGGGATAAAACCAGCGGAGGGAGTGATCAAATCGGGGGAGGGAGTGATTAGAACAGGGGAGGGAGTGGTTAAAACGGGGGAGGGGGCGAGTGCAGCTAAGATGACAAGGCTGGTGACGATGGGGCCTGTGCCGGGGCGAGGCATGGCGTACCATGAGATATCTAAATCGGGCCCCATCTCCATTCGAGTCGCTGACACTGCGGGCGTCAGAGGTGAGAGACTGTGTGCGATCAGAGAAGGTGTGGTAGAATGCCCCGCATGCCCTGTGACCTCTGCCCCGCATGCCCTGTGACCTCTGCCCCGCATGCCCTGTGACCTCTGCCCCGCATGCCCTGTGACCTATGCCCCGCATGCCCTGTGACCTCTGCCCCGCATGCCCTGTGACCTGTGCCCCGCATGCCCTGTGACCTCTGCCCCGCATGCCCTGTGACCTATGCCCCGCATGCCCTGTGACCTATGCCTCGCATGCCCTGTGACCTCTGCCCCGCATGCCCTGTGACCTCTGCCCCGCATGCCCTGTGACCTCTGCCCCGCATGCCCTGTGACCTCTGCCCCGCATGCCCTGTGACCTCTGCCCCGCATGCCCTGTGACCTATGCCCCGCATGCCCTGTGACCTCTGCACCGCATGCCCTGTGACCTCTGCCCCGCATGCCCTGTGACCTCTGCCCCGCATGCCCTGTGACCTCTGCCCCGCATGCCCTGTGACCTCTGCCCCGCATGCCCTGTGACCTCTGCCCCGCATGCCCTGTGACCTATGCCCCGCATGCCCTGTGACCTCTGCCCCGCATGCCCTGTGACCTATGCCCCGCATGCCCTGTGACCTCTGCCCCGCATGCCCTGTGACCTATGCCCTGTGCCCTGTGCCGGGGCGAGGCGTGACGTATCTTGAGATGTCTAAATTGGGCCGCATCTCCGTTCGAGTCGCCGGCACTGCGGGTGTGCGAGGTGCGATATCCCACCCCTTCTCACCACATTTACGTGGCTTTCCCTGGGCCTCTGATATGTGTGGGCCTCTGATATGTGGGCCTCTGATATGTGTGGGCATCTGATATGTGTGGGCCTCTAATGTGTGTGGTTTTCACTTTGACCCTCCCCCCCACTCCCGCTCCGCTCTTCCATTTGTGTTGTTCCTGGCAGGGGGGGAAGGATCCCCCCCTGTTGAGCACCCACCACCCCACCTCCTCTCCTTCCCACCTCCTCTCCTTCCCACCTCCTCTCCTTCCCACTTCCTCTCCTTCCCACTTCCTCCCCATTTTGCATCCCTTGTTTTGAGGCGCCTCAAAACCCGCTTCCTCCCCATTGTTCCTCCTCCCATGTTGACACGTTTATTCCGTGCAGGTGGCGAGGGATCAGCATCAGCATCCCTCATCACGTCCCCCATGTTCAGCACCCCCCACCCCACCTCCTCTCCTTCCCACCTCCTCTCCTTCCCACCTCCTCTCCTTCCCACTTCCTCCCCATTGTTTATCCGCCCATGTGGACATTCCGTGCAGGTGGCGAGGGATCAGCGTCAGCATCCCTCATCACGTCTCCCATGTTCAGCACCCCCCACCCAGCTGCTCACACCGTGGGGCCCACAGGGGCGGGGGTGGGCAGGCGCCCAAGGGGGGGTGTGGTGATGGTGCGGGAATACGTGCAAGGCGTGCTCGTGTCCGAGACAGCCAAGAGCGATAAAACCGTGCTGCCTGTGAGTTGCTTCTGGGTTGAGAGTCAGAGGTCAAACGGTGGGAGTCGTAGGGGTGTTCGGAGCCCAAGGAGGGGCGTGGTGATGGTGCGGGAATACGTCCTAGGCATTCTCGTGTCAGAGACGGCTAAGAGCGATAAAACCGTGCTGCCTGTGAGTCACGTGTGTGCTGAATGATAGGTAATATGGTGGAGGGGTGTCTGGAGGGGTGTGTGGACAGTGGAGGGGCGTGGATTGGTGTTGTCGGGATGGTGTGGTGTGGTGTGGGAGTATGTGCAAGGCGTGCTGGTGTTAGAAACGCCTATGAGTGATTAAGAGACCATGCTGCTGCCAGTGATCTGGCCTTGCCTTTTTTTAAGTAATGGTCAATTGTTGGGGCTTTAGGTGGGCCAGGAGACTCAAAAGTCACCTCGGACAATCCTTGGGGCTTTAAGTGGGCCAGGAGACTCAAAGGGGGTTGTGGCGCGTAGGAGGCCACGGAAGGGACAACGATGGTGAGGGGGTCTCAGTGTGAGGAGCTTCAGTCTTTCTTAAGGCCCAGAGGCGAGGAGCTTTGAGATGTCTTACCTTTACCTCGCCTTCCCTTGCTGTCATCCCTTTTCCCCTTCCAAGGGTACAAGGGTCCACTGATGATTTTTGAGTCGAATAAAAAATTACCTTTCCCTCGCCTTCCCTTGCTGTTGCCCCTTTTCCCCTTCCAAGGGCACAAGGGTGCACTTCTGAGACGATGTTTGAGGCGCCTCAAAAATCCTTCCAAGGGCACAAGGGTGCACTTCTGAGACGATGTTTGAGGCGCCTCAAAAATCCTTCCAAGGGCACAAGGGTGCACTTCTGAGACGATGTTTGAGGCGCCTCAAAAATCCTTCCAAGGGCACAAGGGTGCACTTCTGAGACGATGTTTGAGGCGCCTCAAAAATCCTTCCAAGGGCACAAGGGTGCACTTCTGAGACGATGTTTGAGGCGCCTCAAAAATCCTTCCAAGGGCACAAGGGTGCACTTCTGAGACGATGTTTGAGGCGCCTCAAAAATCCTTCCAAGGGCACAAGGGTGCACTTCTGAGACATCCCAAATCTAAGCTATCTCTCTCTGTGCCCCATTCCTCTGCTTCTTCCCGTGCTGTCGCCCCTTTCCCCTTCCAGCGCGACAAAGGTCCCAGGAGGGAGGGAAAGAAGGCGGGCGAGTTGATCTACAAGGGGCACCTCTCGTACGACCTCATGCTCACCCTGCAGCTGGGCCTGCGGTGAGCATCACGAGGCCCTTTTCACTCAATATTCGCTGGGACTTGTGTGGCCTTCTGTTATTGCTGAGTAGAGACTTAGCAAGGCAAGCAAGGCAGGCGAGTTGATCTACAAGGGGCACCTCTCGTACGGCCTCATGCTCACTCTGCAGCTCGGCCTTCGGTGAGTGCTCATGGCTCCCTACACGTCTCAGTACTCCCATCCATCCCTCGATTTTTTAGTCGACTCAAAACTCACCGACAGTGACTCGTGGCAGGCAGAGGGTAACAATGCAGCTAGTCGCTGACAGTGACAGTGACATTGACATCACTGATTTCTCCTGTCCTCTTGGACTCCTCCTGTCCTCTTGGACTCCTCCTGTCCTCTTGGACTACTCCTGTCCTCTTGGACTCCTCCTGTCCTCTTGGACTCCTCCTGTCCTCTTGGACTCCTCCTGTCCTCTTGGACTCCTCCTGTCCTCTTGGACTCCTCCTGTCCTCTTGGACTCCTCCTGTCCTCCTGTCCTCTTGGACTCCTCCTGTCCTCTTGGACTCCTCCTGTCCTCTTGGACTCCTCCTGTCCTCTTGGACTCCTCCTGTCCTCTTGGACTCCTCCTGTCCTCTTGGACTCCTCCTGTCCTCTTGGACTCCTCCTGTCCTCTTGGACTCCTCCTGTCCTCTTGGACTCCTCCTGTCCTCTTGGACTCCTCCTGTCCTCTTGGACTCCTCCTGTCCTCTTGGACTCCTCCTGTCCTCTTGGACTCCTCCTGTCCTCTTGGACTCCTCCTGTCCTCTTGGACTCCTCCTGTCCTCTTGGACTCCTCCTGTCCCCTTGGACTCCTCCTGTCATCTTGGACTCCTCCTGTCCTCTTGGACTCCTCCTGTCCTCTTGGACTCCTCCTGTCCTCTTGGACTCCTCCTGTCATCTTGGACTCCTCCTGTCCTCTTGGACTCCTCCTGTCCTCTTGGACTCCTCCTGTCCTCTTGGACTACTCCTTCCTCTGCCTCAGCTACTCCGTCGGTCGCACGGGCGTGGGCGCAGCTCAGCGTGGGAGCTGAGGGAGCGAGTGGTTTAATGCAGTAAGCATCAATGTGCTCTTCTCTCTGCATCCTTTCCCCTGCCCCCCTCCTCCCCCCCTCCAGCTACTCCATCCGGCACATGGGGCTGGACTCAGTGAGGGAGCTGAGGGAGAGCAACTTCTTCCAGCATGCATCATTCACTTCCTTTTGTTGCGCCTTCGTTCCCCAACCCAACCCCAACCCCAACCCCAACCCCGACCGCAACGGTTCACCGCCCCTTGGCTCCTTGCAGCTACTCCATCGGGCGCATGGGGCTGGACTCCGTGAGGGAGCTGAGGGAGAGCGACTTCTCCCAGCAGGCGGGGCCAAGGGCCGTGCGCTTCCCCCCTGAGGGCTCTCAGCTCACTCCCCCGCACCCCGTGGCGCTTTTCAAGTGGCGCGACTTCTGCCCCGCTGTCTTCAGGTGACCTTGCCTTCAGGTGACCTTGCCTTCAGGTGACCTTGTCTTCAGGTGACCTTGCCTTCAGGTGACCTTGCCTTCAGGTGACCTTGCCTTCAGGTGACCTTGCCTTCAGGTGACCTTGCCTTCAGGTGACCTTGCCTTCAGGTGACCTTGCCTTCAGGTGACCTTGCCTTCAGGTGACCTTGCCTTCAGGTGACCTTGCCTTCAGGTGACCTTGCCTTCAGGTGACCTTGCCTTCAGGTGACCTTGCCTTCAGGTGACCTTGCCTTCAGGTGACCTTGCCTTCAGGTGACCTTGCCTTCAGGTGACCTTGCCTTCAGGTGACCTTGCCTTCAGGTGACCTTGCCTTCAGGTGACCTTGCCTTCAGGTGACCTTGCCTTCAGGTGACCTTGCCTTCAGGTGACCTTGCCTTCAGGTGACCTTGCCTTCTGGTGACCTTGCCTTCAGGTGACCTTGCCTTCTGGTGACCTTGCCTTCTGGTGACCTTGCCTTCAGGTGACCTTGCCTTTAGGTGACCTTGCCTTCTGGTGACCTTGCCTTCTGGTGACCTTGCCTTCAGGTGACCTTGCCTTCTGGTGACCTTGCCTTCAGGTGACCTTGCCTTCAGGTGACCTTGCCTTCAGGTGACCTTGTCTTCAGGTGACCTTGCCTTCAGGTGACCTTGCCTTCAGGTGACCTTGCCTTCAGGTGACCTTGTCTTCAGGTGACCTTGCCTTCAGGTGACCTTGCCTTCAGGTGACCTTGCCTTCAGGTGACCTTGCCTTCAGGTGACCTTGCCTTCAGGTGACCTTGCCTTCAGGTGACCTTGCCTTCAGGTGACCTTGCCTTCAGGTGACCTTGCCTTCAGGTGACCTTGCCTTCAGGTGACCTTGCCTTCAGGTGACCTTGCCTTCAGGTGACCTTGCCTTCAGGTGACCTTGCCTTCAGGTGACCTTGCCTTCAGGTGACCTTGCCTTCTGGTGACCTTGCCTTCAGGTGACCTTGCCTTCTGGTGACCTTGCCTTCTGGTGACCTTGCCTTCAGGTGACCTTGCCTTCAGGTGACCTTGCCTTCTGGTGACCTTGCCTTCTGGTGACCTTGCCTTCAGGTGACCTTGCCTTCTGGTGACCTTGCCTTCAGGTGACCTTGCCTTCAGGTGACCTTACCTTCAGGTGACCTTGCCTTCAGGTGACCTTGCCTTCTGGTGACCTTGCCTTCTGGTGACCTTGCCTTCAGGTGACCTTGCCTTCAGGTGATCTTGCCTTCTGGTGACCTTGCCTTCTGGTGACCTTGCCTTCAGGTGACCTTGCCTTCAGGTGATCTTGCCTTCAGGTGACCTTGCCTTCAGGTGACCTTGCCTTCAGGTGACCTTGCCTTCAGGTGACCTTGCCTTCAGGTGACCTTGCCTTCAGGTGACCTTGCCTTCAGGTGACCTTGCCTTCAGGTGACCTTGCCTTCTGGTGACCTTGCCTTCAGGTGACCTTGCCTTCTGGTGACCTTGCCTTCTGGTGACCTTGCCTTCAGGTGACCTTGCCTTCAGGTGACCTTGCCTTCTGGTGACCTTGCCTTCTGGTGACCTTGCCTTCAGGTGACCTTGCCTTCTGGTGACCTTGCCTTCAGGTGACCTTGCCTTCAGGTGACCTTGCCTTCAGGTGACCTTGCCTTCAGGTGACCTTGCCTTCTGGTGACCTTGCCTTCTGGTGACCTTGCCTTCAGGTGACCTTGCCTTCAGGTGATCTTGCCTTCTGGTGACCTTGCCTTCGGGTGACCTTGCCTTCAGGTGACCTTGCCTTCAGGTGATCTTGCCTTCAGGTGACCTTGCCTTCAGGTGACCTTGCCTTCAGGTGACCTTGCCTTCTGGTGACCTTGCCTTCAGGTGACCTTGCCTTCAGGTGATCTTGACTTCAGGTGACCTTGCCTTCAGGTGACCTTGCCTTCAGGTGACCTTGCCTTCTGGTGACCTTGCCTTCAGGTGACCTTGCCTTCAGGTGATCTTGACTTCAGGTGAGTCAGATGCTCGCTGCTGTTGCCTTCAGATGGGCCAGTCGCTCGCTGCTGTTGTCTTCAGGTGGGTCATTTGCTCTCTGCTGTTGTCTTCAGGTGGGTCAGTTGCTCACAGCTGTTGTCTTCGGGTGGGTCATTTGCTCTCTGCTGTTGTCTTCAGGTGGGTCAGGTGTCCTTTTCTGCTGTCTGCAGCATCACATGCTATCGCTCTGTGGCATCCTGTCACGGCACCGAGGGAGCTTTCTCCTCCCCTCTCCGTCATCCGGTCATCCTGCTATCGCTCTGTGGTGCCATCATGGCATGGCATCATGGCATGGCATCATGGCATGGCATCATAGCACGGCATCATGGCATGGCATCATGGCATGGCATCTTGGCATGGCTTCATGGCATGGCATCATGGCGTGGCATCATGGCGTGGCATCATGGCATGGCATCATGGCATGGCATCATGGCATGGCATCATGGCGTGGCATCATGGCGTGGCATCATGGCATGGCATCATGGCATGGCATCATGGCGTGGCATCATGGCACGGCATCATGGCACGGCATCATGGCATGGCATCATGGCAGGGCATCATGGCACGGCATCATGGCACGGCATCATGGCACGGCATCATGGCATGGCATCATGGCACAGCATCATCACATGGCATCATGGCATGGCATCATGGCACGGCATCATGGCGTGGCATCATGGCGTGCCATCATGGCATGGCATCATGGCATGGCATCATGGCGTGGCATCATGGCACGGCATCATGGCACGGCATCATGGCATGGCATCATGGCAGGGCATCATGGCACGGCATCATGGCACGGCATCATGGCACGGCATCATGGCATGGCATCATGGCATGGCATCATGGCATGGCATCATGGCACGGCATCATGGCATGGCATCATGGCACAGCATCATCACATGGCATCATGGCATGGCATCATGGCACGGCATCATGGCACGGCATCATGGCACGGCATCATGGGATGGCATCATGGCATGGCATCATGGCATAGCATCATGGCATAGCATCATGGCACGGCATCATGACACAGCATCATGGCACGGCATCACGGCATGGCATCATGGCACGGCATCATGGCACGGCATCATGGCACGGCATCATGGCACGGCATCATGGCATGGCATCATGGTACAGCATCATGGCATGGCATCATGGCATGGCATCATGGCACGGCATCATGGCACGGCATCATGGCATGGCATCATGGTACAGCATCATGGCATGGCATCATGGCATGGCATGATGGCACGGCATCATGGAGCTTTTCCCTCCCCTTTCCGTCATTCCCACGTCTCCTCTACGTGACCTGTTGCCTTTGCAGGGAGCTGCGCGCATTGTTCGGAGTGGACCCCTCGGACTACATGCTGTCGCTGTGCGGCGACAACGCACTGAGGGAGCTGTCCTCCCCGGGCAAGTCTGGCAGCGTCTTCTACCTCTCCCACGACGACCGCTTCATTATCAAAACAATGCGGCGAGCCGAGGTGCATGTAAGTGTTGGGGGGTGTTGTTCGAGTTCAGTGCGGTGGAGTGCGGTGCCAAGGCTAGTAGTATTAGGATTACGGACCACAATATTTCCCCACCAGCATTACGGACATCAATGTCCCCCCACCAGCATTACGGACCTCAACATCCCCCCACCAGCATTACAGACCACAATATCTCCCCACCAGCATGACGGACCACAATATCTCCCCACCAGCATTACGGACCACAATATCTCCCCACCAGCATTACGGGCTGACATTCTATGACAATCTGCTGTCCTCCTGTCCCCCGCTACCCGCCCCTCAGGTATCTCCTGCGCATGCTCCCCCCCAGGTATCTCCCAGCACGCTCCCCCTCAGGTATCTCCTGCGCATGCTCCCCCTCAGGTATCTCCCAGCATGCTCCCACTCAGGTATCTCCAAGCGTTGTTAGCCATGATAGAAGGGAGCAGCAGTGTAATCGAGACTTTTAGCAAAAAGATTGACAGCGAAATACACAAGTTGCCCGTATAATAGCCGAGATCTCAGAAAACTGAACTCAGTTCCGATTCAAAAGATTAAAGCAAACATGTTTTGACGTCTAAGGTAAGGACCCTAGAACATCTTCATCAGTGCAGAATGGAACTATGCAAGTGAGTAAGAGAAGCTCTTAAGCAAGAAACCCCTCGACGGTACCAAAGTCTAGGCATGTAACAACCAAGGCTGAAATCTGGGCAGCCAATCCTGAACACCCTGGAAAATTCCTGGGGTCAAGTCTTCAGTCCTCGAGGTGATGTCGTGTAAATGTCACAGTTCGCCAACTGGTAGCTTCGGGAGCCTCGCACGCACAAGTAACTTTTGAATGTTACGCCCAGCCTTCCATGCAACAAAAATCCTCTGTGTATAAAAACCGCGTGATAGGAGTCTAGTTTTGAGGCGCCTCAAAACTCCCTCCCTCCTTCATCTCTCCCCCCTTTTGAGGCGCCCTCAAAACTCCCGCGTGATAGGAATCTCCGAGCATCTCTTCGTGCCTCCCTCCCCCCTTCAGGTGCTGCTGCGCATGCTACCCGCATACCACGAGCACGTGAAGCAGCACGAGCACACTCTCCTCACTAAGTTCTTCGGCCTGCACAGCTGCAAGATCTACAAGCCTTCTTCTGTGAGTCAACCCTTGCACGTGAGTCAACCATTGCACGTGAGTCAACCATTGCACGTGAGTCAACCATTGCACGTGAGTCAACCATTGCACGTGAGTCGACCATTGCACGTGAGTCGACCATTGCATGTGAGTCAACCATTGCACGTGAGTCAACCCTTGCACGTGAGTCAACCCTTGCACGTGAGTCAGCCCTTGCACGTGAGTCAACCCTTGCACGTGAGTCAACCATTGCACGTGAGTCAACCATTGCACGTGAGTCAACCATTGCACGTGAGTCAACCATTGCACGTGAGTCGACCATTGCACGTGAGTCGACCATTGCACGTGAGTCAACCATTGCACGTGAGTCAACCCTTGCACGTGAGTCAACCATTGCACGTGAGTCAACCCTTGCACGTGAGTCAACCCTTGCACGTGAGTCAACCATTGCACGTGAGTCGACCATTGCACGTGAGTCGACCATTGCATGTGAGTCAACCATTGCACGTGAGTCAACCCTTGCACGTGAGTCAACCCTTGCACGTGAGTCAGCCCTTGCACGTGAGTCAACCCTTGCACGTGAGTCGACCATTGCACGTGAGTCAACCATTGCACGTGAGTCGACCATTGCATGTGAGTCAACCATTGCACGTGAGTCAACCCTTGCACGTGAGTCAGCCCTTGCACGTGAGTCAACCCTTGCACGTGAGTCAACCATTGCACGTGGGTCAACCATTGCACGTGAGTCAACCCTTGCACGTGAGTCAACCATTGCACATGAGTCACCTCTTGCAGCGGTTGTGATAGTGTGTGTGAGTGCATGCATGCGGCATGTGAAGTGAGCAGCACGACCACATGCTCCTCGCTAAGTTCTTTGGCCTGCACAGCTGCAAGTTCTACACGCCGTCCACAGTGAGTCAACCCGTGCCTGCATTGTCTAGATGTGGGTGTGTGCCGAGGTCCTTCCTGTGCATGTGTGTCTGCTCCTCGTTCCTTCGGCCTGCACAGCTGCAACATCTACAAGCCGTCCACGGTGAGTCCCCCTTTGCAGCTGCCGCAATCGATTCTGTGCGTGCATGCGTGTGTGTAGTGTACGTGCATGTGTGCATGTGTGCGTGTGTGTACGTGCATGTGTGCATGAGTGCGTGTGTGCACGTGTGCATGTGTGTACGTGTGCGTGTACCTCGCCCCTTCGCCCTGCACAGCTGCAACACCTACAAGCCCTCCACTGTGCGTCAACCCGTGCCCTGATCGTTTATATGTGTGCGTGTGTGCCGTGATGGTTTCGTATGCATGCATGCGTGTGCCCTACCCCTTCGGCCTGCACAGCTGCAAGATCTACAAGCCCTCCACGGTGAGTCGATCCTCACCTTGAGTTTCCCATGGGCGATACGATATCTTCGACTTGAATGTGCACCTGCACTGCACACCATTTTTGAGGCGCCTCAAAAATACGATATCTTCGACTTGAATGTGCACCTGCACTGCACACCGCTTTCCCTCTCCTACCCTTCGCCCGCTTACACACTGCTCCTCGCCTTGCTCCCCTCAAGTTTCTCTTTGTGGCCATGAGCAATCTCTTCAACTCCCACATGCGCATGCACCGCTGCTTCGCTCCCTCCCTCCCTCCCTTCCTTCCCTCTCAGGGGGCGCACCGTGATTCGCGTTGTGGTGGTGGGCAACCTCTTCAGCTCGGACGTGCGCCTGCACCGCCGCTTTTACCTCAAGAGCTCACCGTTCCTCCCTCCACCGCCTCCCTCCACCGCCTCCCTTACCGCCCACTCACGCTTTGCTCCCTCCCTTCCCCCCCCTCAGGGCCGCACGGTGATTCGCTTTGTGGTGATGGGCAACCTCTTCAACTCGGACATCCGCTTGCACCAAACCCCCCCTTCCCCTTTTATCCCCTCCCCTTCTCCTCCCCCCCCTCAGGGCCGCACGGTGATCCGCTTTGTGGTGATGGGCAACCTCTTTAACTCGGACGTGCGTCTGCACCGCCGCTTTGACCTCAAGGGGTCCTCCCAGGGCCGCAGCATGGACAAGGTGGCCATCGACGAGACCATGACGCTCAAGGACTTAGACCTGGACCTGGCATTCAGGCTGCACGGGGGGTGGAGGGAGCTGCTATTAAGGTACGCTCAAGGACTTAGACCTGGACCTGGCATTCAGGCTGCACGGGGGGTGGAGGGAGCTGCTATTAAGGTACGCTCAAGGACTTAGACCTGGACCTTGCGTTCAGGCTGCAGGGGGGGTGGAGGGAGCTGCTATTAAGGTACGCTCAAGGACTTAGACCTGGACCTTGCGTTCAGGCTGCAGGGGGGGTGGAGGGAGCTGCTATTAAGGTACGCTCAAGGACTTAGACCTGGACCTTGCGTTCAGGCTGCACGGGGGGTGGAGGGAGCTGCTATTAAGGTACGCTCAAGGACTTAGACCTGGACCTTGCGTTCAGGCTGCACGGGGGGTGGAGGGAGCTGCTGCTGAGGTACGTGTTTGGCATGGTTGGTACGTATGTGCTTCTGGGCCCCTTGGGCATCTCCCAGTGTCGCAGCATGGACAAGGTGGCCATCGACGAGACCATGACACTCAAGGACCTCGAGTCCTCGACCTGGACCTGGCATTCAGGCTGCACGGGGGGTGGAGGGAGCTCTTGCTTAGGTACGTGTTACTGGCCTGGGTCCACTTGACTTAGAGCCTGTCTTAGCCAAATGGCGGTGCCTGTGACTGTCTACGGTCCCAGCCCGTCATCTCTTCTTCCCCCCCTTACACCTCCCCCCGGCGTTTCCCCCCTCTCACTCAAATGGCAGCGGACTGTCCCTTCCTGCAGTCCCAGCGCATCATGGATTACAGCCTCCTTCTGGGCGTGCATTATGCACCACTGCCACATCTCTCCCTCCCCTCCCCCTTCCCCCCTCCCCACTCCCCCTTTTTGCAGCCAAATGGCGGCGGATTGTCACTTCCTGCAGGCACAGCGCACCATGGACTACAGTCTCCTCCTGGGCGTGCATGATAACCCCCGTCTCTCTCTTCCCTCTCCCCACTGGCTTCTCCTCCCTTTCAGTCAAATGGCTGCGGATTGTCACTTCCTGCAGTCTCAGCGGACCATGGACTACAGCCTCCTCCTGGGGGTGCATTTCCGAGCCACTTCACATCTCTTCCCCTGCCCCCCCCCCACCTTATCCCCCCGGTTTCCTCCCCTCCGTCAGTCAAATGGCGGCCGACTGTCACTTCCTGCAGTCACAACGCATCATGGACTATAGCTTGCTGCTGGGCGTGCATTTCCGCGCCACCGACCCGCCCCCCCCTATAGTCACAATCGCTGAGGGCAAGGTCACCGGGGCCGAAGCCTTCCTTGCTCCCTCCTCCTCCTCCCCCGCCCTCCCGTTCCCCCCTCTTGATCCCCCCTTGGGGGCCCCCAAGAGGCTGTCGCTGCTGGTGCCTGATGGGGTGGGGGTTGGGGGGGTGGGGGAAGGAGGGGGGAGAGGGGGAGCAGGGGGAGGGCTGGGGGGAGAGAGTGTGGAGGGGAGAGGGGAGAGTGTGTATACTCCTGGGTCGGAGCCTCAGCCACTCCCTCCTTGGGCGAGTGAGGGGCAAGGAGGGGCCAGAGGCGAAATGGGAAGCGGGCACCAGGGAGGGGCTGCAGTGGAGGGTTGTGAAGGAGGAGGAGGAGCAGGAGGAGAAGGTTCGGTCTTAACAGAGGTGGATATGAAAGGTGGAGCAGGAGAGAGAAGAGGGAGGAGGTTTGGCAATCCGCTTCGGAAGCCTCGTTCGGCCCCAACCTCGCATGAGAACCTCGCTCTGCTCGGCCCTGCCGAGCCTGGGAAGCCGAACCAGCAGGGGAGGTCTGGGTGGCAGGGGGCGAGGGAAGATACGGGGAGAGGAGGGAGTGAGGCAGAGTGTGGGAGCGTGGTGTGCTCGTTAGGGCAGCAGGCAGAGGCAGTGGGAGGGGAGAGAGACACGGATGGGCACACAATTGGAGACATGCTGACTCCTTCTCTTCACGGGGGAACGAGTCCCCCTCTCCCTATCTCTCCCGCTACTCCCCTTCCCCCATCCGAGTTACACCCGTCCTCAATGCAACCACCGCCACCATCATCACCAGCAGCAGGATCAGCAGGATCAGTCCCAGCAGGAGCAGGGGGGCAGTCTTCCTGGGTGGGCCGGTTCTCCCCGTCCTCGCAAGCCTGGCGCCGCCTCTTCCGCCCGTGGCAGCAGCAGCCGTTGGCGCGGTACACACAGGGCGCAGCAGCATACAGCTCCACACAGGGCAGAGAGGGCAGGCAAGGCAAGGACAGCTCCCTCCGTTCCCTCCACTCCATGAGGGCCCAGCGGGCGTCCACGAGTGACGGGGTGCCCATTGTCCGCCACTCCTCCGACAACGTCTCCCAGCTGCTCTCTCAGTCTCAGCTGCTCTCTCAGTCTCAGCTGCTCTCCCAGTCCGTGCACCCTGTCAGCCAACCCAGCCCCTCGCTCCACCCTCTCACCCACCCTAGCTCCTCCTCCTTCGCCCCTCAAGCTGCTGAAACCACTCCCAACTCCCAGCCCCATATCCCTGAGGCCTCTCAAAATAAGTCTGACCTAGGGCAGCCCCCTCCGAATACAGCAGGGCAGTCTGGTATTCCGCACAGTGGTGAGATGACCTGCTACTCTGTGTTCGCCCGGATCAGCCACACGCATCCCGACCCGCCCCCGCTCACCATCCCTCCCTCCGCCACAGCACCTGAAGCTTCCTCAGGTGCTTCTCCAGGTGCTACCAACAGGGCAGCTCCTGGCAGTATCCCTGGCAGCAGCCCCAGGCCTCCCCTTGCTTCTGCCGCGAAGCCTCCTTCCCCTCGCTTTGGTCTCTCTGCTCTAGTGGGCGCCCTGCGCTCTCCCAACCCCAAGAGGCACAGCAACCCGAAGCGAGTGGCTGCCGTGTCGGTGCCAACAAGCCCGTGGCTGCAGCCAGTGCTGGGCAAGGCACAGGTGCAGCCCCAGCAGGAAGAGCAGCAGCAGCGGCAGGGGCAGCAGGGGCAGCAGCAGCAGCAGCAGGAGCAGCCCAGACGGCCGGCTGAGCCCTTGTCATTGGCACCTCAGCAGCACGTGCATCTGCAGCAGCAGCAGCAGGGCCGGGGGACACAGCCGCTGCTGGGGCAGGGAATGGCAGCAACGGCTCTGAGGCTGGATAGGCGGACCAGGCGGCCCATCAGAGACCCCACACGCGCAGAGGCGTATGAAGTGGTGCTGTACTTCGGCATCATTGACATCTTACAGGTGCGTATGGGGGTGGATGGCTCTGGGGACACCTTACGAGGGCATTGTTGGGTGCAGTCGACTTGGAAGACAGGCGTATTAAGTGGTGCTGTGCTTAGCATCCCCAACCGCTTAAATCTCACCAACCCCCATCCCCCAACCACCCCATCCCAATCATGCCCTCACAGGAGTACGACTAACGACTACATGAAGAAGGTGGAGCATTTCTACAACTCCATGCCCTGTGAACCACAGGGCATCCCCACCGCCACTACGTCTCACTTTGGATCCCCACCCCATGCCACTCAAACCCCCACCACCACCACCCCACCACCCCGTACGGCCCTCACAGGAGTACGACTACACCAAGAAGGTGGAGCATTTCTACAAGTCCATGCAGTACGACAGCCACTCCATCTCCGCCGTGGACCCCGCGCTCTACGCTTCGCGCTTCCAGGACTTCATCAAGCTCACTTTCCCCGACACCTCCGACTGACTGATACGTACAATAACAGTCTGCTCTGCTGTGCAACTGAGTTGATCCAACAGCCATGTCAGCAGTGGAGCCCGCGCCCTATGCCTCCCGCTTCCAGGACTTTATCAAGCTCATGGTCCCCCACACCTCTGACTGATAGCTACCGGTCGGGTCTGCAACTCAGTTGACCCAACAGCCATGTCAGCTGGTGCCCCGTGCCCTCAGCCTCACGCTTCCAGGACTTTATCAAGCTCATGGTCCCCGGCCCGGCACCTCCGACTGATTGATCGCTAGCTACCGATGCGGTGCACTGTGCGGCATGCTTACAATCATGTGTCCAGGCGCTTCCGACAGATATCCCGTTGCATAGTATTTGGAAGATGAGATTTGTGTACATGCCACTGTTCCCGTGATGAGGATGTCAGGTGTGTACTGATACAAATGTATCAGCACTGTAGCGTAGCTATCCTCCGTGTACATAATTGTTTGGCTGTGATTTTGAGCCCTGGAATCATATATGTAATAGGCATGTATAAGCAACTCAGAGTAACATACGCACAATATGAAGCTACACTGCAGACTGCAACATTTCATTTCACTCCAGTAATCTATCCTTCTTGAGCTACCTTCGCGATCGATTGCGTTCATCTCATCCCCTTTCTCGCCTTCCAAGAAACACACCAACCTCCTGGCCCTCTCTCATACTTTGAGGGCAAAACCCAGCCCCTCCCCTGCCAGCTTCTCCACACTCTCCACAGCCGGCTGCTCCAGAGCCGCCTTCGCAATTGCCTTGTTCTCATCCCCGCTCCCGCCCTCCAAGAAAGCCCCCACCACCTTCCCATCCTTCACCCAGTAGGCGCCAAACTTGGCAGGAGCAGCATCTGCCTTCCCGGCCGTGAGCCCATAGTGCACAGGCTCGCCCACGTTTTCCCCGTAGAACTGCCAGGAGAGGTCGAAGGAGCGCGAGTAGAAGTACGGCAGGTAGGAATAGTCTGCCACCTGCTCGCCTGCCTCTGCTGCCTTGATTGCCTGGTGTGGAGGGGGGGAGGTGGTGGGTGGGATGAAGTGGAAGGGGGTCAGGGGGTGGAGGAGTGAGTTGACTAAATTGTCTTCTGCTGCGCAAGTACTACAAAAGAGTAGTCTGTCCCCTGCTCGCCTGCCCCCGCTGCCTTGATTGCCTGGCAAGGGGGGAGGGAGGTGGTGGATGGCACGGAGGGAAGACGGGGTGGGGTTGAATGAAGAGGGGGGAGGAGGGAGAGGGTGTGTGGAAGCATTAGGCTACAAGCATCAACAGCCGGGGAATGCTGCTTGAAATAAGAAATCACCACATCCATGCCTAACGCCCATACCTTCACGGGCTGCGCCAGTGACTTCCTGGCGTGGTCCACATGCTCCACGCCATTCTCTCATCGGCGTTCTTGAGCATGGGGCACGATTGTTGAGGCATCTCATGGGGAGAGAAGAGCTGCACTCATATCACACCACGCACCTTCACGGCCTGCGCCACTGACTTCCTGGCGTGGTCCACATGCTCCACACGCCGCTCATCGCCATACTTGATCATGGGGAACGTGGCAACGTCGCCCACTGCATATACGCCGGGGGCGTTGGTAAGGAACCGAGCATCCACCTGAGGGGAGAGGGGGAAGGGGGGGGGAGGTCGTGTGTAAGTTCACCACGTGATCACAGGGAATGTGGCAACGTCGCCCACTGCATATACACCTGGGGCGCTCGTGAGGAACGGAGCACCCACCTGAGGGGAGAGAGGGAGAGGAAAGGCGGGGTAGGGGGGAGTCTTTGGAGTCACCTAAGAACATGGTGGTTAGGTGGATGGACAACTTTGATGCCCAAACAATGGAAGACAAGAACAAATGAACCAGACAAGTACGGGAACTTGATTTTGCAGGGTGTTTTTCAGAATTCTCAAAAACACCCTCCAAACAATGGAAGACAAGAACAAATGAACCAGGCAAGTACGGGAACTCAGCCCCCTCACCTGGATTCCCCCTGTCACAGTCAACCCCCTCGCCTTGATGCCCACGTGCCAACCCCCTCACCTTGATGCCCACGTGCCAACCCCCTCGCCTTGATGCCCACGTGCCAACCCCCTCGCCTTGATGCCCCCTTGATCATCTACCCCCTCACCTTGATGCCGCCCTTGTCGAATGTGAGCTGGTCTTTGAACAGCCCCACGTTGGGCCGCGCGCCCACGCCCACCACCACCAGATCGGCGTCCAGCGTCTCCCCACTCTTCAAGGTCACACTCTTCACATGCCCCTCCGCGTCCGCAGCAAAGGCCGTGGCGACAGTGCCCTTGACAATGGTCACGCCCTTGCCCTCGTAGTAGCCCTCATAGAAGGCCGCCAGCTCAGGGGTGAACAGACGCGGCACTGAGGAGAGGAGGAGAGAGGGGAGGGGGCGGGCGGGGGAGGGGGGGAGGAAGGGGTGAGGAGGAGAAGGTCTTGAGAAGAGGTGGTTTATAAGCAGTGACGCCCTTCCCCTGGCAGTAGCCCTCATATATGGCGGCGAGCTCGAAGGGTGAACAGACGCGGCACTGGGGGGGAGGAGAGAGAGGGAAGCGGGTGGCGGGGGGGGATTGAGGGAGGGGGAGGGGGGTAGTTGGCCTAGAGTCAAGTTAGGGAGAGAGAGGGAGAGAGAGGGTAACAGGACTTACTGCAGAAAGGCTCGGGGAAGACCATGGTGGCCTTGATATCGTTCATGGCGAGGATGGCAGCCAGCTCCAGCCCGATGTACCCGCCGCCCACCACCACGGCCTTGCCGCCCTTCTTGGCCTGGATGGCCGCGTACAGCTCGTCCGCCTCCTTGATCTCCCGCAGGTAGTAGATGCCCTTGGCGTCCGCGCCGGGGGTCTTGAAGTCCGTCAGCTTGATGGTCTGAGAGGGAGGGGAAGGGGTGTGACGAGGAGGGTGGACAGGGAGGCAAAGAGCCGAAGCAGGGAGGCAACAAGGGAAAGAGGGAAGGAGGGAGAGAGGGGGTGAAAAGAGGAGGGTAAAGCCCACGACCACGGCCTTGCCGCCCTTCTTGGCCTGGATAGCCGCGTACAGCTCGTCCGCTTCCTTGATCTCCCTCAGGTAGTACATGCCTTGGCGCCCGCGCCAAGGGTCTTGAAGTCCGTCAGATTGATGGTCTGAGAGGGAGGAGGGAGGGGTGGAAGGGTGGGGAGAAAGGCATGGGGTATGATGAGGAGGAGGGGAGGGGCAGGGAAGGAGAAGAGGGATGAAGGGAGGGAGGAATGGAGGGACGAAGAGGGGATGGAGATATGGCACACAGGGTCGCAGACCGGCATTGCAGCGTTAACTGGATGCATTAGAGAAGTGATGATATCACATCAGCACCGGTGGCAATGATGAGGTTGGTGAAGGCAATTGTGTCTCCAGATGCCATGGCGAGCTTTTTACTTCGAAAACGGGCTGCTCAGGAGGGTGAATGACTCACATCGGCGCCGGTGGCAATGATGAGGTTGGTGAAGGCAATGGTGTCTCCAGATGCAGTCGAGAGCTTCTTATTGCGGGGCGTCAGAACCAAAAACTGTTATAGGGGTTGTGAACTACTCACATCGGCACCGGTGGCAATGATGAGATTGGTGAAGGCGATGGTGTCCCCAGATGCAGTCGAGAGCTTCTTGCCAGCCAGGTCAGCCGACACCACCTCCGTGTTCAAGATCAGCTCAATGCCTGGGGGTAGTGAGATAGTGATGGAAAAAGAGTGGGGGGTGGGGTGGGGTGGGTTGAGGGGTGGGGGGTAGGGGAGAGAAGGAAGAGGATTGAGTTGGTGCGCACATGTCTACAGTCTCCTCAACGCGTTTACTAAAAAAAACTTGCACAAATTTTGACATTTCACCAACATTCGTTTCGTTCGCTGTTGGAAGGTCAATGTCTTTCTCGAATCCTGGCAAGAATTACCGCATCTTGATGGCATAAAGTCCTCTAGAAACATGCCTCTCGAGCTGCTCGACCCTCTTCTATCCCCTCCTTATTCCTATCCCCTCGCCACGCACCTTTCTCCGAGTACCATTCGGGGGCCTGTCGCTCGCCTCCGCCGCCAACGCACGTGTGGAACCCAGGCAGTCGTGCAGGCGCTGTTGCGTTGGCCACAGAAACAACCGAGATTTTAAACAGCGAAAAGATTGGAAGGAAGATGAGTGACGGCGAGAGGACTTAAGAAGGACGAAAAGGGTGAAGGGTGAGACGAAGAGAAGGATAGAGAGAAATCGCGAGCAAGGGGGTTGGGCGTACATTGCGGGAAGAGGTAGCCTTTGCTCAACGCCGGCCGCTCATAGGGAACCACCTGCAGGGTCAGCCAAGAGAAAACGGCGACGCGTGAGAATACTGCGAGATGCGACCTCAAATCGATGGCATAAAAAAGCAGTAACTAAATAGGCCATTCCAGTTAAAGCCCTGGGTCCGGATTGTCCAAAAGTTAAGCAGTTGAACCGGGGGGGAAGTTTGGTTGGATAGCGAACCCCAAAACATTTTTGCCAACCTTCGCGCCCCTAGTAAAAAGTTCGCTACACCGCTTCAAGTGTTTTACAAACCCCCCTTCTTGGACAATCCGGACTGCGGGCTTTAAGATTTTGAAGGAAAATAGGCATTGAATATCGCCGATAAGCTTTCAGAAAAAGCGTCGAAGCTCGCGTACCGCTTCTCGCGACACGATGGCAAGCTCGCCAGCCTTCAGGCCCTGCTTAGCGAATTCTGCCGCTCCATAACCCTGAAAATGCGGAGTGGAGGAATCTCAATGAGCAGAGTCCAACAAGTCATGTTCAGCATAATCTTGATGCACGTTAAGAATGCGCAAACATCTGACGCCGCGAAAAATACGGCAAATTTTATCGAGATCCTCCGAGAAGCAACGAACTTACCGCAGCAACGCCGCCTCCGAGAATGACATACTTGAACGACTTCTCAACCATCTTCGCCTGAAGAATTCCCGCGAGGGATACGAGCCTTCGCGTGGCAATCGTTGCCTGCGCAATCGTGGCTGGAATACAGCGAGAATGTATTCCTTAGCGAGTCACACCGTCAGCGTATGCTGCTGAGGAGGTTGTGAATCAGGCGAGTTACTGCTGGCTGCTGCTGTGAGAAAGGAAATAAGCCTTGAAATTGGCTAACATTGGGAATGTCCTGATGCTTTGTACAAACATTGGAGCCTGGGCAGTGACTTGGGATTTGCTTCTCACAGGGCTGTGGTGGCGAGGGGAGAAGAGAACCCTTCGCATGGCATGGCCTAGGGGGAGCAAATCCCAAGGATTCTCCGCATGCCCCACTTTGGCTCGCCTGCGCGAGCGATTGCGAAACTAGTAACCGGTGTGACGCTCTTACTTTCGCGACATTCTGGAAGGAACTAAGTGGGGTTCGAGGAAGTCACAGATTTAGCTGACTGGTCTCAGGCTGAGCCAGTTACGACGCTCCACATAAGCATGCCATAAGGAGAGACCTTGAAGACGTGGACGGCACCGACCACACACTCCCCACAAAAGCGACCTGCTTCACGAAGGCTGAAAAAACGACACGGTGTTACATTTCCGCAAAGGGCGACGCTGGCGAAGGAATGACGGAATGTCAAGGCCAGGAATGAGTGGTTCCGAAGCCCCCAGCATGTCGCAGCACGTCGTGAAACTGTCCCTCTTCGTCCGCCAATCAGCGGCCATCTCTGAACCTTCCGCCACGTCAGACATGAGGCTGATCAGATCTATCACATCAATCTGACTCACATAGTCACAAAACGTCGCATTCCGATACATTCCGTTGGATCACACGCCCTGCTATCACATTCCGCCAAACTCCTCTTGCCTGGCCTTGCTTCAACCCTTAGGGCGTGTCCAGCGCGTACGTTTACAATTCACTTTATACGGTTCAATATGGTTTTCAGAGGTCCAACGTGGTGAAGTGCGAAAACCGCTCCTGATCGCGATAGATCCTACTGAACCGTGATCCGTGTACTGTAAACGTACGCGCTACACACGCCCTAACAGCAGGCTCCATCTGCAAATACAAACCTTTTCAACATTCACCAGAGACGCGTTTGCCAGCATCTAGCATCCAGCATCAGAGTTGAGAAGAGGCTCCCTAGCCACACTCTCATCCCACCATGGCATTCGCTTGCGCTCCTTCGGTCGCCCTGGCACCCGCCGCTGTCGCCGGCGTTTCAGCCAAGAGCTCATCGCGATCAACTCCGAACGCGGCTCTGGCCGTTCCGCTTTCCACGTCTTTCCGCGGGCTTCGGGTCACTTCAACGAAGAATTCCGCGCGAGTTCCTCTCCAGCCGCTCCGCAGCAGCGTGCGAGCCGAAGGTGACTAACTAAGCCCGCCGAACGCTGTAGGTGTGGCACGTGCCGTCACTCCCAATGTTCTTGCAGGGCGGGCGACTATCGCAGTTGCTGACCATTCCGTGCTGCTGAATCTGTTGCATGCCGTCTGACAATCGGCAAATCGGCACACTCGCTCTCACTCTCACTCTCTTTCTTCTTCTCTAGCGCCCACCAAGCGCTGCAGTGGTGATGGCGCCCGCCTCCGAGATCGCCTTCCCAGTCACTCTCTCCACTCTCCAATCTGGCTCCAGACTCGTTTGAACGCCCCCGCCGTCCCTCCATCCCTCTCCCCTCTCTCATCCCCCCCTCTCCCCCCCCTCTTCCCCCTCCCCCCCACACATGTGCAGTGGTGACGGAGCCCGCCACCAAGATCAACTTCCCCGTCACACTAGCAGCTCCTGGCGGCTCCAAGGATCTCTCGCTGCTGGGAACCGGTGAGTGCTCGCACCAGTGTTCGGGGGAGGCAGGGACCTGGGAAGGCAGAAACCTGGGAAGGCAGGGTTTGGCCGAGGAACATCGGAGCCTAGATGCGCATGAAGGTGTTCCCACTCTTGTGACTCCATGCCACATGTGCTCCACTGCGGTGTTCGCATCTGATTCTGACTGCTTTGTGTGTGCACCTCTGGCCGCTGCCGCTTGCTTCTGCTGCTTGCTGCTGCAGGTGTGCGCGAGAAGAAGATTGGCCCCCTGGCAGTGAAGGTGTATGGGGTGGGTGCGTACGCTGATCCGAAGCTGCTGGACGTGCTGGCAGGCTGGAAGGGCAAGGCGGCAGACCGTGCCTTCTTCGATGCTATTGTCGCCAGTATGCCTCGATCCCACTCAGCTCTACGGCTCAATTCATGGCTCAGTTCCCTCCCTGTTCCACTCATTCCAAGCGAATGGCCTCCTAAGCAGCACCTTGTACTTTCTCTCTTCACTCAACTCCAGTTTCCTTTCCTCGTGTGGTGCCCCTTCTGGACTTCCCATCACTGTACTTGCTCCTCATGCTACACTCCACTCAATCCCTGCTCGCCCGCTTCTGCTCCCTGTATTGTCCGACTCTGTTTGTCCCTGCAGCCCCATGTGAGAAGGCCATAGTCATTGTGTTGGCGCGCAACGTGGGGTCGGACCAGTTCTGGAACGCCCTCACTGAGGAGCTCGCCCCACGCCTCACAGCAGCTGGAGAAGGCCATGGTGACTTGGACGAGTTTGGCAAGCTCTTCAAGGACAGGTCTCTCAAGAAGAACACTGGCGTTTACATCACGTGGTGTCAGCCATCTACACTGCAGGTATGCCCCTAGTAATTGCTTTCCTTGCAACGTTCTTCTTTGAGTGGTTCCCTTCTTTCTTCCTCCAAGCTGAACCTGCCATTCCCTTTTCACTAACACGTTGTTTGCAAACATTGCTACGCAGGTGGCATTTTCGGATGACGTGACTGCTGGAGGAGTCCCCTCTGCAGCTTCCGCCACTTTTGAGTCGCATGGGCTTCTTGCGGCCCTCTTTGATATCTATTTGGGTAAGGAGCCTGTGTCACCGTCTTTGGTTGGAAGCATTGCTACGATTGCATCGTGAAAGCATATGACACGTCTCAAATGGTGGTAATTGTTTGAAGTCAGCCCTTGTATTGGGTCGAGTTTACAATGTTCACGAATTTTTTCGGTGGCCAATGAAATAAAATCATTGCATAGATATCAAGGGAAACTCGGTGGGAAACAGAGGGCCGAGGGCTTTTTTTTTTTTTTCTTCTTCTTCTTCTTCTTCTCAACTATCGTGGTTCACGTCCACAATCATGGTGAGGGTTCTTTCATGGGGAACTCATCTTTCATGTGGTAGGTTCATTTTTAGAAAAGCAGGAATACATATTTCATTCACGGAGTTAGCGGTGTGGACACTCACTTAGTTCGGTATACGCTGAGCTCGCAGTGCAGGCCCGCCCCCCGCAGCCTTGGTTTTGTCGCATGAATCTGCTCCAAACTAGGTGGTTTGCTCCACACAAAAGTGAACTGCACTGGGACGAGAAGACGAGATCCCGTTCTCCCACAAGCCGAATAGATTCCGGTTGGCAATATAGTTCAGAGAGGACCGTGATTGCCGCGTTACGTTCCCTCGCTCAAGACTTTACACTACGCACATTTGTCGCGGCTGCGGTTTTAGTTGCAAGAACCGCCCTCTTCCAGATCCTGAGCAGCATCATGAACCCCGAATAGTGCGTCTCCGTCATTATCGTTTTGCTCTAGGGAGCAGGCGAACGTTTCTTTCAAGGCTTGTGAATTTATGATTGGAATTTTCGTTGTCGTCACTGATGCAGTGACTACCTCTTCAAGCTGTTGCTGATTGGTGATTCTGGAGTGGGCAAGTCCTGCCTCCTTCTACGATTCGCGGTAATATATTTAGACCGGGCGAATTCCCAGTTTTTTCAGGGGAACTATCCCGTTTATGTCCATCCACTCTAAGCACCCGTTGTTTCGTTGCAGGACGATTCGTATCTCGAAAGCTACATCAGTACAATCGGAGTTGACTTTGTAAGACTTGAAGTCTTAGTGTGGTCAATCTGGACACGTTACGCTCATAGCACTTGCTGACTGTTGACCGCACTGCCTTTTTCAGAAAATCCGTACTGTCGAGCTCGACGGCAAGACTATCAAGCTTCAAATCGTAAGCGCCTTTCCGGATTGGTCCAGTATTCTCCATGCTCTTGCGTGGCTCATGGAAGCTGAGAAAGTGATTGCGTGTGGCTATGACAGTGGGATACTGCAGGCCAGGAGCGTTTCAGAACCATCACAAGCAGTTACTACCGCGGTGCACATGGCATCATTGTGAGTGGCAGCTTTCATATCGTCTTGAGCACGCTGTTTCCCCTCGTTTTGGCGAAGATGGCACGAATCTCACTGGGTTATCCCTGCAGGTTGTGTACGACGTCACAGATCAGGAGAGCTTCAACAACGTGAAGCAATGGTTGAATGAGATTGACCGTTACGCCAGCGAGAACGTCAACAAGCTTTTGGTTGGGAACAAGTGTGACTTGACGAACAAGAGGGTTGTTGACTACCAGACTGCCAAGGTGAGCAAGACCTGTGACTCCTCTATAGCCTGTGACTTCTCAATAGCAGCAACCAAAAGTTACGGCAGCTATTGTGCCAGCGTGTTCTCATCCGCATGTTGTTCTGCAGGCCTTCGCAGATGAAATTGGCATCCCTTTCCTAGAGACTAGTGCTAAGAACGCCACAAACGTCGAGCAGGCTTTCATGACCATGGCTGCTGAGATCAAGAACAGGTATGGGTGGATTTCCGTTGTAAATGTTTTCCTTTAGTGATCCATGTCAATCTTACAGAGCTGTATGTGGTTGGTTGTGGCTGCAGGATGGCAAGCCAGCCAGCCCTCGGCAACAAGGCTGGTGGTCAGACAGTGCGCCCTGGAGAAAGCAGGCCATTGCAACAGAACAGCAACTGTTGCTAGTTTATAGAAATCATCGCGCCATGCTTTACATCAGCTGTCTAAATGAAAGCACATATTCAACGGGTGGCATAGGATAGGATGCATTGGGCCCAACACGGATCCCTTGTGTCTCTCAAAGCACGCTGAAGACAACCAGCCAAGCCACGTTGATGATTTAGCTTTGATCCAAATGGACGGAAGTAATGAGGTGAAAGTATGGCGTGCTCCGCTGATGATTGTAACAGCACGGGTAGCATCACCTGTCGCCACCGTCGCACGCAAAGTTTCGGTTCTTGAGTGTGGTTACCCGAAGTTCGCCATCCCCTAGAGCACTCCTCCCCCAGCTACAGCCAACCCCAGCACACTCAGGAGATAGCGAAAAGCCTGACCTCGCCTGGACAGCACTCCAGACGACGACCCCAGACTTTCTGATTCCTTGTTCAGTATCCGCAAGGCCCGTGAATCCGCCACCACTCCAGCACGCGGCGTTAGACGGCACTCGATCGCGAGGATGTTTCGCGGCGTATTTGGCCGGTATGCACCCCATCGCATCTGCTCCACTCCTCGAATTCCTTTCCACTGCCAACTCACTCCCCCAACTGCTGAAATTCTCCGGACAACCTTATTCCTGCTCTCTGTGTCCCCGACTTCACTTTACTCCGGAAACTTGCGCTTGCAGCCTCCCGTTCGCCGTCTCCTACTCAGCTTACTCCCTGTTTTCCCTGGTAATCACCACCATACTCCCTCCTTCCTCCCTCCCCTTTTTCCCTCTTCCAGCGCGCCAGACCCTCCGCCAAGCCAGCCGAGCCCCGCGCAAGCTCCCCCCGCGCACACCAACCCGCTCTCCGCGCACTCCTACCCTTCCCCCGTCCCCAACGCTCCTGGTTCCGTGGAAGCCGCCGCCGCCGCCTCCGCCGCTGCTGCCGCCGCTGCTGCTGGGGGTCCGCGGCAATATCAAGAAGCGGGGGACTCGGGGAGGGCCGCCAGCGGCGGTAGCAGGGGAGGGGGAAGCGTTGGGGGAGCGGGGAGCTTCGGGGGAGGGGGGAGTTACGGGGGAGGGGGTGGGGGAAATCAAAGGGGATCTGTGGGGAGGAGCGGGGGAAGAGGGGGAAGTTTTGGAGGGGAAGGAGAGGTGGGGGGAATGGGAGTACACTCAGGTAGACTCCCCTCTGTGGGTATGGCGCAGGGAGGAATGGGGGGGATGCAGCAGCCGATGTTTCCTGTGCTTGAAAGCAAGAGGTGAGAGACGTGAGAGGTTGAACGAAAAGCGGGGAGAGAGTGAACATAGAGTTTCTCTACTACATGCAGAGAAGAATATAGTGTTTGAAACCCAACGAGAGAGAGACGTTGCAATGGTTCAAACACGTTCCTTAATGGTTCCACGTGCCAGTGGTTTCGTCGTTCCCATCGTTCCCCGTACCCTGTGGGTATGTATACCAATTTCTGCTCTACTTTCCCTTTCACGCCCTCCCCTGCGCCCTCCCCCCCCTCAAAGCCCGGAGGAGCTATTCAAGCTTCTGACAGACCCCAAGGCGTACCAGCAGCAGCTTGAGGAGATGCCGCAGCTCAAGGAAATGACCAAGGTGAGGGGAATGACCAAGATGAGGGGAATGACCAAGATGAGGGGAATGACCAAGATGAGGGAAACGACGAAGATCAGGCTTGAGACGCCCCAACCCAAGGTGAGGCAGGCCGCAAGGTGAGGCAGGCCGCAAGGTGAGGCAGGCCGCAAGGTGAGGCAGGCCGCAAGGTGAGGCAGGCCGCAAGGTGACATACATACGTCACCTCTTGCTTGCATACTTGTGGTATTATTTTCCGATTTCAATTGACGACCTGTGTGCCCTTCTCTCGTATTATCAACCCCGTATACAGGTGGTGGATGATCTCAAGAAAGGCAACGAGGAACTCGCCAGTGAGTTGCTGTGCCCCTGTGCACAATAAAATGCTCTTTCACTTCAAACTGCATGCGTGCTCCATTCTTTGCTTTGCTCTTGCGAGCTCTCTCAGCCTGGCCAGTTTCCATTACGGTTGACATTTTAGTCTACTTGAAAATGCATCTGTACAGTAATGTCTCATGGCAGCACATCTTTCCCCCCTCGTGTTGGTTCAACCCCGTTCCACTTTCATCGCAATTAATTCCAACGCAGGGTCGACACTAGAGATGGAAGCTGACATGTCAGAACTACGAACACAGGTACATCCTCATTGTTTCACCCCACGCATATGCTGACTTTCTTCACTCTCAACCTATTCTGGCAAGTTGCTGCTCTCTGTTGCCCGGTCCTTTTCACATCTCGATAACCTGCTCCACTCAACCCCCTTCTCTCCCAGTGTCGCATTATCCGGGGCACAGAGCTTGCTTCTCTGGAGGAGAGGCTAGCACAAATGATAGCGCAGCAGAGAGCACTCACAGACCGATGGAGCCCGGCAGCACTCGTGCAGCAGCTGAAAGGTGAACTTTTTTTGGTAAAGAAATCAGGGTGTTTATCATCTTGATAGCCTGTATGTGCGAGAGCAACAAGTCTGCTTCTAATTTGTTGCTTGGAATGGAATGCTTCCTTGTTGGTCTGTGATTCACGTCCATTGTTTGTTTGGTCGTGCAGAGAAAGCGGAGGAAGTGAATCAGGAATCGGAGGATCTGAGGAGCAGGTTCCTTGCAGGGGAGGTGGAGTTGGGTCAATTCATGAGGGAATATCGGAAGAAAAAGGAATTGTATCACCAGCGCATGCAGACATGCTATGCTGCTTTATCTTCTCTTACGCTTGATCATCATAGGCATTAACTGCTGGCCGTGCCATCAGTCGCGATGGAGAATTCCTACACTTGACTAGAATGTTAGTCCTTGTGCAAAATATAGTGAGGTTAGTTGTGTGTGCCATTGAGTTTGGCGAACAAAGAAACAGGGAATGCGAAATGTACGCGAAGCGAGTGAAGCAGCCTTGGGAATGGTTGGTTGGTGAGAATTCGGCATTCCCAATGGCTACTTGTCTTGCTCAGGGCGTGGAACATACGGTTCCGAAAAGCATGTGCCCGAACTTCCACCGCACTCAACAACGCAATGTCCTTACTGAAACACGCCCAGAACGTTGATAAACTTACTGTACCGTTTTGACTGTTCGAACTTTCTGAAGTTCAGAACTGTTCCACGCCCTCATAGCCAATGCCTTGAGTTTTCCAGTTGTCAGTTTTCAGTTGTAACCTTCGGTTACCTAATGACTAGGTGCTACTAGAGCATCACCATGGCCTAATCGGTGCAGCTTCCAGATGCGCGCTACGGAATTGCTATCATCCGCATTCGGCGGTGATCGGAATCTCGGTCGCGTCTCCCGTCGGTAGCCCTCTACGGTGATTCGCGTTGTATCCTAAGAGCGGAATATCAAGATGGTCAGTAAGCCCTTCCCTGAGCTCTGGTGGTTCTCATTGTTCCGTCAGTAAGCCCTTCCCTTAGCTTCTCTACGTCGTCTTCAAGGACTGTCTGGTCCGACATTCTGGTTCGCCTTATTATAGTAGTAACAAAAAGCATCGTTACGAGCGACTAAAAAGCATCGTTTCCTTCTGATCACTGGTCATCCTAGATAGTGTGTCCAGCAAATCCCTCAGAACGGCCATGTTACGCTGCCGATGCTTTCTCCCTGCGGTGCATCTCTACAGGGAACTCCCTGGCGATTGCTGGCGATCCTTTTCGTCGTCCTCGTCGTCGCGTCGCCAAACTTCGCTATCGCGAAGAACGCCAAGGACTCGACAGACAAAGGTTCAGACAAAGGCTCGTCCGAGGAGAATCTATCCGCGTTAGAAGACAGGATCTTGGAGGCGGAACTTACTCAAGGAGATATTCTCAAGCAAGGTGCACATTCTCCTATAAGATGCTTTCTACAAAACCTCCTTTCCGTGAATGTGAAGCGACTGCACAGCCACGGCACCAGACGCATGCGTTGTTGGGTTTGGTGGCGTCGTGATGACGTCCAGTGGCGTTAGCAGTTTGCTGACGTGGCTCGGTGCATGGATGTGTGTGTGTGCAGGTCCGTGCGAGGACGAGGCGGGGCGGTTCTGTGCGGACGAGGAGGTGGGCAACCGCACCCTGGAGCGCTGCCTCAGCATGCAGTACACGCTGCTGCAACTCGCCTCAACGCCTGAAGGCAAGTGCCACCTGCCTTAGCACTCAACCTCGTTCTTTCCCACCACGCCCTATCCCCTGCCTCTTCTCTTCCCCCCCTCCTCCCCCTCTCCCCCCCTCTCTCCGGTTCGTTCCTAGTCTTTTCTCCTTTTTCCTTTCAGCCATTGCATTTCTCGTCCAGCCTGGTTACCTATTGGCCTGGCGTGCCTACTTACGCCTCTTCTTGGTGTCCCCCTCTCCCGCCCTCAAAGCCACCATCGCGGACAATAACTTCTCTGACCAGTGCCTGGGGGTAGTACCTATATGCCTGGCGTGCCTACTGACGCCTCTCCTTGGTGTGCACCTCTCCCGCCCCTCTCCCGCCCCTCTCCCGCCCCTCTCCCGCCCCCCTCCCACCCTCACAGCCAACATCACGGACAACAACTTCTCTGAGAAGTGTCTGGACGACATCCGCAACTTCAAAATACAAGTCTACAAGAACATCTCCATCGACAAGGAGTGGAGTGAGTATTCCCTGAGTTTGCTCAAAGCTCTACAAGAACATCTCCATCGACACAACGAGTGGAGTGAGTATACCCCCACCCCCCCAACCCCCCCAACCCCCCCCTCTCCCCGCTCCTCCCGTCCTCCTCCCCGTTGCCCCTTTTTGCCGTTCCACAATCCACTCGCATTCTTTCCCACCACGCTTCCGGCGAGCCTTTGCTGCGCTGACCATGGCAGTGGAGGACTGCAAGGAGGACGTGGCATCTTATTGCGATAACAAGTTCCTCTACCCTTCCGTATGCCACTCCCCCGTCCCTCCCATCATCGCAGTGGAGGACTGCAAGGAGGACGTGGCGACCTTGTGCGATGACAAGTTCCTCTCTCCGTTCCTGACCTCCCCGTTTCCTTCCCTCCTCCTCCTCACTCATCGCCTGCACTCTTTACCACCCCCCCCCCCCCCTCTCTCGCAGTGGAGGACTGCAAGGAGGACGTGGCGACCTTGTGCGATGACAAGTTCCTCTACCCCGGCGTCGGCAGTGTGCTCGCTTGCCTGCGGTAGGCCCTTGGCAGTGTGCTCGCATGCCTGCGGTAGGCCCTTGGCAGTGTGCTCGCATGCCTTCGGTAGGCCCTTGGCAGTGTGCTCGCAAGCCTGCGGTAGGCCCTTGGCAGTGTGCTCGCATGCCTGCGGTAGGCCCTTGGCAGTGTGCTCGCATGCCTGCGGTAGGCCCTTGGCAGTGTGCTCGCATGCCTGTGGTAGGCCCTTGGCAGTGTGCTCGCATGCCTGCGGTAGGCCCTTGGCAGTGTGCTCGCATGCCTGCGGTAGGCCCTTGGCAGTGTGCTTGGATGCCTGCGGTAGGCCCTTGGCAGTGTGCTCGCATGCCTGCAGTAGGCCCTTGGCAGTGTGCTTGCATGCCTGCGGTAGGCCCTTGGCAGTGTGCTCGCATGCCTGCAGTAGGCCCTTGGCAGTGTGCTTGCATGCCTGCGGTAGGCCCTTGGCAGTGTGCTCGCATGCCTGCAGTAGGCCCTTGGGAGTGTGCTCGCATGCCTGCGGTAGGCCCTTGGCAGTTTGCTCGCATGCCTGCGGTGGGCCCTTGGCAGTTTGCTCGCATGCCTGCGGTGGGCCCTTGGCAGTGGGTCTAGCCTCTCCACTGTCTCCCATGCATTCCCCCTCTTCGGGCTGCCGCTCCAATGTTCCTCACTCTCACACAAACTCTCCCCTCTCCAACCTCCCCCCTCTCGCCCCCATCCCCTCCCCCTCCCCCCCCCCCCCCCCCCGCGGGCTTCTATCCCACAATGACAGGGAGGCAAAGGTGGGCGAGCGTCTATCGGACCTGTGCAAGAACCGCGTGTTTGAGGCGCAGAGGGACGCCGCGGCAGACATCGTCCTTCATTGCTGCCCTCCCTCCTCCCCCCTTCCCCTCATACATTTATCCCCCACCATGCAGGGAGGCGAAAGCCGGTGAGCGTCTGTCGGACCTGTGCCGGAACCGCGTGTTTGAGGCGCAGAGGGACGCCGCGGCAGACATGGCATTCGACCCGCAGCTCAACCAGACCTGCGCTGCCGATGCCCAGCGGCTGTGCAAAGGGGTTCCCGCAGGGGAGGGGCGCGTGCAGGACTGCTTGGTGAGGGGGTGTCCAAGTGTGGCTGGTGACAGTGTGTGTATGGAGGTGTGCAGCTTACCGTGTGTGCGGTTGAGCGGTGGCTGCCAGGCAGCTCAACCAGACCTGAGCTGCTTGCGCTCAGAGTCAGAGGCTGTGCAAGCAAAGGCGCGCCGGCAGGGGAGGGGCGCGTGCAAGGCTGCCTGGTGACTGCATTGAGTGTAGCTGGCTGGTTGACTGAGCGCTCCTGGTTGTTTTTCCAACAATTTTTCTTCCTCCTTCCAACTTTCCTCAACCCTTACCTTCCCTCCCTTGCCCTGCCAGCGTCAACAGCGCTCAAGGCTCAGCTGGGGCTGCATGTCCGAGCTGTTCCAACAGCTTTGCAGCCGACTCAAAAGCGCTTCCTCCCCCGCCCCACCACTGTTGCTTTAACAGCGTCAGCAGCGCACAAGCCTCAGCTGAGGCTGCATATTCGAGCTGTTCCAATAGCTTTCTAGCCGACTCAAAAGCACTTCCCCTTGACCCCGCCCCACCTGTCTTGCTCCAACAGCGTCAGCAGCGCACGAGCCTGAGCTGGGACTGCATGTCGGAGCTGTTTCGACAAGAGGTGGAGGGGTCAGGGGACATCCGCCTCAACGTGCGCCTCTTCAAAGGTTAGATACTTGGTGTGACGCATGGTGTGGAGCACGGTGTGTGTGACACGTGGTGTGAAGCACGGTGTGTGTGACACATGGTGTGAAGCACGGTGTGTGTGACCCACGTTGTGAAGTGCGTCATAGCAACAGAGTGGTCTGGCCTGGGACTGCATGTCGGAGATTTTCAGTTGTAGGAGCGGTTCCGGCAGGAGGTGGAGGAGTCAGTCAGCAGGGGACATCCGCCTCAACGTGCACCTCAAAAGTGAGGTGCATGCCGAAACGTGCAACCGTGCATCGCCTGTGCTATGCACTCACGCCACCCACCCAGCTCAAAGGCCTCTCCTCCCCTCTTCATATCACATCACACCTTGCAGCCTGCCTGGAGGACAAGAGGCGATTCTGCCCCGACGTGCCGCCTGGCGACGCCCAAGGGATAAATGTCTTGATCTACTCAGCCATTTCTCTGCCTGCTCCCTACCCTCTCCCTGCCCTCTCCCTACCCTCTCCCTGCCCTCTCCCTACCCTCTCCCTGCCCTCTCCCTACCCTCTCCCTGCCCTCTCCCTACCCTCTCCCTGCCCTCTCCCTACCCTCTCCCTGCCCTCTCCCTACCCTCTCCCTGCCCTCTCCCTACCCTCTCCCTGCCCTCTCCCTACCCTCTCCCTGCCCTCTCCCTACCCTCTCCCTGCCCTCTCCCTACCCTCTCCCTGCCCTCTCCCTACCCTCTCCCTGCCCTCTCCCTACCCTCTCCCTACCCTCTCCCTGCCCTCTCCCTACCCTCTCCCTGCCCTCTCCCTACCCTCTCCCTGCCCTCTCCCTACCCTCTCCCTGCCCTCTCCCTACCCTCTCCCTGCCCTCTCCCTGCCCTCTCCCTGCCCTGGCACTTTCCCCTTCCCTGCCCTCTCCCCGCCTCCTCCCTGCCCACTCACACCTTGCAGCCTGCCTGGAGGACAAGAGGCGATTCTGCCCCGACGTGCCACCTGGTGATGCGCGAGTGAAGGACTGCCTGGAGGAGCACCGGCTGGAGGCAGAGTTCTCCAAGGGATGGTGAGGGGTGAAGAATGGAAGGGGTGAAGAATGGAAGGGGTGAAGAATGGAAGGGGTGTAGGCGAGTGTAATTGGAGAGAGTTAGAGGAAGGGGGGTGTGCTTGAGGGGAGAGAGTGAGGTTGGTGATGCTCGAGTGAAGGACAGCCCGGAGGAGCACCGTCTAGACGCAGACTTCTCCAAGGGCTGGTGGGGGGTGACTAGAGGAACGGAGGATTGAAAGGGAGGGGAAGGATGATGAGGACATGGCGGCTAAGGAGGAGTTGAATGTGTGGGGTGGGGTAGTTTCGCCTTATTGACGCCCTACTGAAGGACCGCTTGGAGGAACACAGACTGGAGGTAAACTTTCCCGTAGGCTAATGATGCGCATAGGATGAGGGAGAAGGAGTGAGGGGGATGGGGAGAAGGAGTCAGGGGGATGGGGAGAAGGAGTGAGGGGGATGGGGAGAAGGAGTCAGGGGGATGGGGAGAAGGAGTCAGGGGGATGGGGAGAAGGAGTGAGGGGGATGGGGAGAAGGAGTCAGGGGGATGGGGAGAAGGAGTCAGGGGGATGGGGAGAAGGAGTCAGGGGGATGGGGAGAAGGAGTGAGGGGGATGGGGAGAAGGAGTCAGGGGGATGGGGAGAAGGAGTCAGGGGGATGGGGAGAAGGAGTCAGGGGGATGGGGAGAAGGAGTCAAGGGGATGGGGAGAAGGAGTCATGGGGATGGGGAGAAGGAGTCAGGGGGATGGGGAGAAGGAGTCAGGGGGATGGGGAGAAGGAGTCAGGGGGATGGGGAGAAGGAGTCAGGGGGATGGGGAGAAGGAGTCAGGGGGATGGGGAGAAGGAGTCAGGGGGATGGGGAGAAGGAGTCAGGGGGATGGGGAGAAGGAGTGAGGGGGATGGGGAGAAGGAGTCAGGGGGATGGGGAGAAGGAGTCAGGGGGATGGGGAGAAGGAGTCAGGGGGATGGGGAGAAGGAGTCAGGGGGATGAGGAGAAGGAGTCAGGGGGATGGGGAGAAGGAGTGAGGGGGATGGGGAGAAGGAGTCAGGGGGATGGGGAGAAGGAGTCAGGGGGATGGGGAGAAGGAGTCAGGGGGATGGGGAGAAGGAGTGGGGGGGATGGGGAGAAGGAGTCAGGGGGATGGGGAGAAGGAGTCAGGGGGATGGGGAGAAGGAGTCAGGGGGATGGGGAGACGGAGTCAGGGGGATGGGGAGAAGGAGTCAGGGGGATGGGGAGAAGGAGTCAGGGGGATGGGGAGAAGGAGTCAGGTGGATGGGGAGAAGGAGTGAGGGGGATGGGGAGAAGGAGTGAGGGGGATGGGGAGGAACTAGAGGTTTCCCACGGCGTTGCTTCCATGTGCTAGCTGACGTGCTTGTCCGCACGCTGTCTTGCGGCTAACGCTCTGCCTGAACGATTGGGGTGGCATGGCATGGCATTGCATGGCATGGCATGGCATGGGATGGCATGGCATGGCATGGCGTGGCATGGCATGGCATGCTGTGGGTGGGCATGACATCACATGGGCGTGTGTGGGCATGACATGGCATGGCGTGGCATGGGATGGCATGGCATGGCATGGGATGGCAGCAAGGTGGAGTTTGAGAAGATGATGGAGCGGCGGGCAACAGACTTCAGGCTGGACTTTAATCTGCAGAAGTACTGCCATAAGGACATCACGGAGGTATGGGCACAACAAGAGCATAGTGGAGAGGCGTGCTGCCACAAGGACACTGCGGAGGTGAGAGAGAGTGCTGCGTCATGAACATCACGGAGGTATGGACACAACAAGAGCATAGTGGAGTGGAGGTGAGAGGCACAGAGGTGCGGACAGTGGGACGTTGTGAGTTGAGAGGAGAGGAGTGCTGTCACAGGGACATCACGGAGGTACGGACACAAGAGCATAGTGGAGGTGAGAAACACAGAGGCGTTGCCACAAGGGCATCGCGGAAGTGAGAGGAGAGAGGTGCTGCCACCAGGGCCGAGTGGAGGTACAAGGACAAAGTTGAGGAACTCCCTCCACAGGATGACGGGTCACTCCTGCTTACTCTGCTTGTGCCACTACTTTCTCCCTGCTTCCTCATGCATGCAGACGTGCTCCCAGGGTCTTTGGAGTCGACTTGTAAAACCAACCCTTCTATTCCGCATCCTTCCAACCCAACAATCATTCTCGCCGTGCCGTGCCGTGCAGACGTGCTTTCCGCCCCTTCGTGCCGTGCAGACGTGCTTTCTGCCCCTTCATGCCGTGCAGACGTGCTTTCTGCCCCTTCGTGCCGTGCTTGCAGACGTGCTACCAGGATGCATCCGACATGTCAGGAGCGGGCGGCAGTTCGGACGCCAAGGTGATCCAGTGTCTTCAGGACTACAGAGACGAGCTCAAGGACCCGCGCTGCAGACAGCAGGTGAGGAGGATGGTCCTGAGTGGGGCAGCAGTGCCAGCCAGCCAGGAGGTGAGGTTTGTCTTGGTTGGGTGGCACTTGCAGCAAGCAAGAGGGCAGCTCGGACGCCAAGGTGATAAGACCCGAAAAATGAGATGTGAGGCCTGCTCATCTCATCCCATCGTCACCTCTCCTGAATCTCCTCTGTCTGCCTCCCACCCCCCATTTTTCTGGCCTCCTTTCTTCTCGTCCACTCCTTCTCACCTCAGGTGCATCTGCTGACCAAGAGATGACTTTTGAGTCAACTCCGTGTGTAATGATTCGATTTTTGAGTCGACTCAAAAGTCTTCTCTCTTCTCGTCCACTCCTTCTCACCTCAGGTGCATCTGCTGACCAAGAGAGCCGCAGAGGACATTCGCTTCGACCGCGCTCTGGTTGAGGCTTGCAAAGGTGTGTGTGACTTTCGCATGCGAGTCGGGCGTGTTGTTCCCTGGCTAGGAGAACGCTTGCAGGTAGAGCATGCTTCGACCGTGCTCTGGTTGAAGGATGCAAAGGTGTTGCATACAACAGCAGACGACTGGCAGGTGCACTGCCAGGCGATGCGCAAAGGCCACAAGACGAGGGTGTCTATGCATCTGCAGAACTCTTGCCCACGGCCCCCTCGATTCCCACAATACTTTCACAAGTTCCCGACACCCCATCAGTTCCCCCGCTCCCCCCCCACACGCCCAACACACCCAAACCACAGACGACTGGCAGGTGCACTGCCAGGCAGTGCCCAAGGGGCAGGGCCGCATGTTCAAGCGTCTGCAGGACAACCGGGCGAGGCTTAAAAGTGATTGTGTATCCTCCATATTTCTCCCACGATCCCCACGTACCTTCCCCCCTCCCCCCTCACCGACAGACGACTGGCAGGCGCACTGCCAGGCAGTGCCCAAGGGCCAAGGGAGGGTGTTCATGTGTCTGCAGGACAACCGGGGGAAGCTCAAGGGGCCCTGCAAGGAGGCGCTCTTCAGAGAGGTGCGTTGCGGTGGAGATGTGTTGGGTGTGTGTGGTGATGGGTAATAATGCTTTTGACATGGTGAAGCTCAAGGTGCCCTGCAAGGAGGCGCTCTTCAGAGAGGTGCGTCCTGGTGCAGAATTGCTGGGTTTGGTGAGGGTTAGGAAGGCAATGGTGGAGGGTAGTGAGGTGAGGTGGTGAGGTGCTGGGTCTGGTGGTGGGCGGTGGTGAGGTTGCAAAGTCGTAAGGTATGATTGCCAGTCATTGTGTTGCTCCCTTCCCTTCCCCATCGTTCCTCTTCCTCCCCCTTCGTTCTCATACCTCTGTGCAGGAGGTGCAGTTCTCAGAAGACTCTGGCTTCAGGTTTAGGATCTGGGAATAAGTAGCCTTTAGCAATTTTGGTGTGTATCTGTCCTCTTTCTCCCTTCCCTTATCGTCCTCCCCTGTTCCTCTGTGCAGGAGGTCCGTTTCTCAGAGGACATAGACTTCAAGTTTGGCATCCGCAAGGCGTGCAGCGATGAGCTGCAGCGCCTGTGCAAAGGTTGGTTGGTGCAACGTTTCGTGCTCCATTCCCCGCCAGAATGTGCAGTGCAGGGCGAAACAGGTGCAAAGGTTGGTACCACGCCCCCCCATCCTTCCGCTCACTTTCCTTACACATGCACCCGTTTTGCGCTCCCCATTTTGGTAGAATCCACGCCGCTTGGCAGTCATGTGTGTAATGAGTCTTTTTTTGTGATGTGTATTATGATAGACTCATTACAAAAATAGACGCATTACACACCATTTTGGTAGAATCCACGCCGCTTGGCAGTCACCACAAAGCTCCCCTCCCCCTCCCTCCCCTTTCCCCCCTGCCCCTGTAATCTCTCTCTCATCGCACACCCACTTAATCCGCCCTCGAGCAGACAAGGAAGACGCCATGGCATGCCTGCAGGAGCACGTGGGAGATGCCGACATGAGCAAGGGGTGCAAAGAGGCGGTAAAGGACGACCAGCAGCACGCCGCAGAGGGTGGGTTGAGAGTGTACTGAGAGTATGTAGGGTGGGAAAATGAAGGGTGTTAACATGTGGGGGATGCGGGCATGAGCCAGGGTTGCCGAGACGAGGTGAAGGACGATCAGCAGCATGCCGCAGAGGTTTAGCTTTCCAATTGCCTCTTATTGTGTTCTCCCTCTCCCCCTCTCCCTCTCCCCCTCTCCCTTTCCCTCTCCCTCTCCCCCTCTCCCTCTCCCTCTCCCTCTCCCCCTCTCCCTCTCCCCCTCTCCCTCTCCCTCTCCCCCTCTCCCTCTCCCCCTCTCCCTCTCCCTCTCCCCCTCTCCCTCTCCCTCTCCCTCTCCCCCTCCCCCTCTCCCTCTCCCTCTCCCCCTCTCCCTATCCCTCTCCCTCTCCCCCTCCCGTTGCCCCTCCCCCTCTCCCTCTCCCTCTCCCTCTCCCTCTCCCTTTCCCTCTCCCTTTCCCTCTCCCTCTCCCTCTCCCTTTCCCTCTCCCTCTCCCTCTCCCTCTCCCCGACCCCATCCCCGTCCCCCTCCCTCTCTCCCTCTCCTTCTCCCTCTCCCTCTCTCTCTCTCCCTCTCCCTCTCCCCCTATCACTCTCCCTCTCCCCCTCCCCTTCTCCCTTCGCCTCTCCCTCCCCCTCTCCCTGTCCCTCTCCCTCTCCCTCTCCCTGACCCCGTCCCCTCCCCCTCTCCCTCTCCTTCTCCCTCTTTCTCTCCCTCTCCCTCTCCCTCTCCCTCTCCCTCTCCTCCTCTCTCTCTCCCTCTCCCCCTCTCCCTCTCCCTCTCCCTCTCCCCCTCCCCTTCCCCCCCCCACTCCCTCTCCCTTTCGCTCTCCCCAGCCCCCTCCCCGTCCCTCTCCCCCTCTCCCTCTCCTCCCTCTCCCCCACGCCCTCCCCCTCCCTCTCCCCCTCTCCTCCCTCTCCTTCTCCCTCTCCCTCTCCCTCTCCCCCTCCCCTCCCCTCCCCATCCCCTCCCCCTCCCCCTCCCCCTCCCCCTCTCTCTCCTTCTCCCTCTCCCTCTCCCTCTCCCTCTCCCTCTCATTCTCTATTCGTCATCCATTCCGTCTCTTCACTCTTTCTACCCCTCCCTTCTCTCCATCCCGCCCTCCAATCCCCATCCCCCAGACTACCGCCTCAACTTCCGCCTCGCTAGAGAGTGCTTCGCTGACGTGCAGAAGCTCTGCATGCACGCCTGCGACGAGGCAGCTGTTGACCCCCCCTCCTCCTCCACCTCCTCCTCCCCCGCCTCCCTGCCTGTCACGTGTGGCGGTGCCACGCTGCGCTGTCTGACGGGCGCTGCCAGCAACATCTCATCTGCCACGTGTCGCGACGAGGTGTTCCACTTCCAGAAGCAGGAGGTCGCTGATGTGGCGCTGGACGTCCCCCTGCAGGTGACATGGCAGCTGATTTGCGTCGGTTTCAAATGCCCTGTCATCTATGACCTGCCCTATTAAGATGCGGGTGGATTGCATGCTGAATTGAATCTCACATCTCACATGCCCTCTCATATCATGCATGCCTGTTCCACATGCCTGTTCCACATGCCTGTTCCACATGCCTTTTCCACATGCCTGTTCCACATGCCTGTTCCGCATGCCTATTCCGCATGCCTGTTTCTCATGCCTGTTCTGCATGCCTGTTCCGCATGCCTGTTCCGCATGCCTGTTCCGCATGCCTGTTCCGCATGCCTGTTTCTCATGCCTGTTTCTCATGCCTGTTCCGCATGCCTGTTCCGCATGCCTGTTCCGCATGCCCGCTCCGCATGCCCGCTCCGCATGCCTGTTTCGCATGCCTGTTCCGCATGCCTGTATCACATGCCTGTTTCGCATGCAGTCCCTCATCTCATCGCCCCGCTGTTCCACTCCACCCCAATTGCTTTACAATGAGGATGTGAGAGTGGTGGTTGGGGGGGGACATCAGACTGGCTGTATCACCTTTGCGTTGCACATATCATGCCTCGCCCCCCTCTTCTGTATCGCAGGCAGCGTGCAGGGAGGACGTCAAGGAGCGGTGTGGCGGGGAGAGGGACCACAGCAAGGCGCTGGCGTGCTTGAGGCAGAACAGGGACGCGCTCTCAGAGGGGTGCAAGGAGGAGGAGCTGCGGTTCAGTGAGATGGAGGTATGGCTTAGGGGCCGTGAGTTGTGCCTTGGAACACACCCACGATTTTTGAGGCGCCTTAAAAATCGTCTCATGTCACGCGAATTTTATATGGGGAATATTTTCATTGCATGGAGGTGTGCACATAATCGTCAAAAGTTACTTGTGCGAGCCAAGTTACCAAGGCTTATCGACAGTTCGGAAGGAGACCCCCCTGAAGGCTGACACCTGCAACCTCGGGTTTTTACCCACTGCTGTGTTGGCGAATGCCCATTGATAAGCAATATGGACCCAGTTGATAATCTTGAGAATTGTTTTCGAGGGTGTGGGTTTGTACTTAGCTCATGCCTAGGCCTTTGATCTCTTTGTGAGAAACTGAAGTGATGATTGTATTAGGAAAGGAGCGGGTATACATAGGTGAGGAACAGGAGGGGGGGTTTGGTTGGGAGGTGACAACGATTATTGGTGACCCCAATAAGTTGAGTTGGCCAACTTATTGGGGGTCCAATAATCCTAGCCAAGATTATTGGTGGGTCCAATAATCTTGGTTGGGGTTATTGGGGGTTCCAATAATTGGGAGCCCAACCAATTTGGGAACCCAACAAGGTTGGGAACCCAACCCCCAACTTGGGTGTATACACCCTGGAGGGTGCTTATAAGTACCTAAGACAATGAAACGATGTAGGCTAATAGAATGAAGGGAGAATATTATAACACTCTTATGTCCAGTAGCACTGATGAAGGCTCAGCGGGTTTGATCCCCGTAAGCCGAAACATGTTTGCGACCTGGTAATTTTGAGTGAAGGGTTTTCGAGCAAATCTCTTGCCTAGGATTTTTTACTCTTGTTCTTTCTGCTCAAGCGACTAACTTTGCACTGCTTCTCTCCCCAAGACCATGAGTGACGACGACCCACGTGTTCTTGAAACGTGCTGTATGAGGGGTGCAAAGAGGAGGAGCTGCGGTTCAGTGAGATGGAGGTGTGCTTGCATTGGGTGTTCGGACATGCCTAAATATTCGTGTGAGGTGCCTTGGAACCTGATAAGGAGGAGGAGGGGTCCTGCTGTCAGAGGGGTGCAAGGAGGAGGAGCTGCGGTTCAGTGAGGTGGAGGTATGCCTGATAAGTGTTTGAACGTGCCTTCAAGAGCCTGTGAGATGCCCCGAGGCACATTTGACAGCCCAGCTGCACTGCACCGGTCCTCACCTGTTGTTGACTATTGCTTTCACCATTCTCTCTCTCCAACCACCAGGCGTCTGACACCAGTCTCACTCCCTCCCTCATGATCACCTGCAGCTTGGACCTGCACCAGTTGTTCCATCACCATCACCATTGCTCACACCGCATCCCACCACCCCAACCGCTCTCCCCCCCTCCCCCCCCCTTCCCCCCCCTTCCTCCCCGCTCCTCCTTCCCTCCTCCATCCCTGCTCCCCCCGCCAGGCGTCTGACATCCGCCTCACCCCCACGCTCATGAACGCCTGTGGCTTGGAGCTGCACCAGTTCTGCCGTAAAGTGCCGCCCGCTGCTGGCCAGGCCTTCCGATGCCTGCAGCTGCATGTGCAAGAGGTACAGATGGGTGCTGCACGTGCAAGAGGTACAGATGGGTACAGATGGGTGGGGTGCATGCAAGGGGTACAGACAAGTGCTGCACGTTCAAGGGGTACAGATGGGTACAGATTGGTGCTGCACGTTCAGCAGCACCGTTCAGTCTCAACTGCTCACCCATCCCTTTTCTCCTCCATAGCAGGCCAGGATGAGCGTGGCCTGTCGCTCAGAGGCCGAACTGCAGACAGCCCGGCAGTCCAAGTAGTACAAGCTGGGTGCAGGGCTGAAGCAGCAGCGCTTCTCTCCTCCTGTTCCCTCTTATGCACTTCCCTCTCCTCTCCCCTTTTGAGTCGACTCAAAAGCAGACTCATTACGCGCGGTTTCTACATTCACAAAATACCTGTTCCCTCGTATGCACTCCCCTCTCCTCTCCCCTTCCCACCTCTTCCCCCAATAGGCCGGGATGAGCGTGGCCTGTCGCTCAGAAGTCGATCTGCAGACCGCCCGGCAGTCCAAGTACTACAAGCTAGACGCAGCGCTGAAGCAGCAGTGCGGGGAGGACGTGGATCGACTGTGCAAGGTGGTGGACGAGGGACGGGAGGGGCATGCGCTCGTGCTCAAGTGCCTGGCGGATTACCACTCGGACCTCTCTGCGAGCTGCCAGACAGAGGTGAGTGTGGTGTGAGACGTCTCAAGGAAGCGTTGAAGCAGCTGTGCAGGGAGGACGTGGATCGGCTGTGCAAGGTGGTGGACGAGGGACGGGAGGGGCATGCGCTCGTGCTCAAGTGCCTGGCGGATTACCACTCGGACATTTCGGCTAGCTGCCAGACAGAGGTGAGTGTTGAGAGGACGTGGAGGCTAAATTGGTTCTTAAGAATTCTCAAAAACCAATGCTTACCACTCGGACCTTTCGGCTAGCTGCCAGACACAGGTGAGTGTGTTGAGAGGTGGAGGCTGTAGCGATTTTGCAAGGTGGTGAACGAGGGCAGGGAGGGGCATGCGCTCGTGCTCAAGTGCCTGGCGGATTACCACTCGGACCTCTCTGCGAGCTGCCAGACAGAGGTGAGTGTGGTGTGAGACGTCTCAAGAAAGATGCAGCGTTGAAGCAGCTGTGCAGGGAGGACGTGGATCGGCTGTGCAAGGTGGTGGACGAGGGACGGGAGGGGCATGCGCTCGTGCTCAAGTGCCTGGCGGATCACCACTCGGACCTTTTGGCTAGCTGCCAGACAGAGGTGAGTGTTGAGAGGACGTGGAGGCTAAATTGGTTCTTAAGAATTCTCAAAAACCAATTCTTACCACTCGGACCTTTCGGCTAGCTGCCAGACCGAGGTGAGTGTGTTGAGAGGACGTGGAGGCTGGAGCGATTTTTCAAGGTGGTGGACGAGGGCTGGGAGGGCCGCGCCTTGGTCCTCAAATGCCTGGCGGACTACCACTCGGACCTCTCTGCGATCTGCCAGACAGAGGTGAGTGTGGTGTGAGGATGTGTCGAGCTGGACGCAACCCAGAAGCAGTGCTCCAGTGAGTGGTCCGGTGGACCAATGGACCAGTGAGTGGTCTGGTGGACCAGTGAGTGGTCTGGTGGACCAGTGAGTGGTCTGGTGGACCAGTGAGTGGTCCGGTGGACCAGTGAGCGGACCGGTGAGGGGACCGGTGAGTGGACCCAGCGAGCGGACTAGTGAGCGGACCAGTGAGCGGACTAGTGGGAGGACCAGTGAGCGGACTGGTGAGCAGACCAGTGAGTGGACCATTGGTCCAGGTGGACGATCACTCCGACCTCTGGTAGCTGCCAGAGGTACGATTGTGTATTTTTGGAAGCTAATCCGCTGGAAGGCTTTTCTGCTGGGGAACCAACCTGCTGTAATTACTGCCTTTTCTAAGAAACCATGGATAGCTTTTACGTATGGTTATCATTCTTCTCCAAACACCGTCCACCCTGGCAAGCCAACCAACCCTCCCTTTTTCAGGTTTCCTAAGCAGTGCGCATGGCTCTGTGGATGTAGCACCCATGGATCAGAACCAACCAAGGGCTCTGATTCCTTCTCCTTCCACTCTGGCTTGCCGTTCCTCTCCCTCAGGTGTCCTATGCAGTGCGCATGGCGCTATGGATGTACCACCGTGGATCGGACCTCACCAAGGGCTGCGATGCAGTCATCGACTCCCGCTGTGCCAACTACACCAGCAGCAGCAGCAGCGGTGGTGGTGGGCGCAGGGCGAGTGTATCGGGGGCGGTGGTGGGGCAGTATGCGCAGTGCCTGATGGACCAGCCCAAAGAGGCGCTGGGGAACGAGTGCCTGCCGCTGGTGGCGCTGGTGGGGAGGGAGGGGGGGCATGTGGGTGGGGAGATCAGCAGCGAGCTCCTGCAAGAGACTCTCAATAAGATTGCCATGGTGAGTTGGTGGGGGTCCCATGGAGAAGGGAGAGGAGAGGGAAAAAGGGGGGGGGGGGGGGGGGAGGGAGAGGAGGGGGGGGAGGGAGAGGAGGGGGGGAGGGGGGGAGGGGAGGAAAATGTGGTTATGGAATGAAAGACTTTCTAAGCAAGAGTTCTAGTTGCAATTGGTGTGCGTGCCTTGTCTTGAAGATCGTCTTCAGTACGGGTAGGAGGTTGCCTTGCTTGTGTCAAGATTGCCCCCTCCCTCCATTCCGTTCCCCATCGCCCTCCATCTCATGCTGCTGCTGCCGCTGCCTTGGTTCTCCTTATCTTGCACCCAGCTCCAGCTCTCCCAAGGCAGATCTTCGGCTTCCCTGCCTCCTGGTTCTGAAGGGCTTGTATTGACAGGATGGTTGGCGTTTGTCGCAGTCACTGCGCTAACAGCCCTCCTCTTGGCTGTGGCCTACATAGTCTACCGCAAGTACTTTGACCCCACTCGCAATTATACAGTGATGGTGAAAGCCGGGGACGTGTGACCTAGGATTGTATGGTGATTTAACGTTTTCATAACGTTACTAGTTTTTATAATCCACGTTGTTTTGGCATATATGTACAGCCTTCCCCTATTGGTGGCCTGGGCCAAAGACTTCGTTGGTGTCGCTCATTTCGCAATTCTCCGAGCTGGCTGAATGCTTGGCAAAAGCCACGTGTTCCGGTACGAAAATCGTCATCTGGGCAGGCGCTTTCGGGGCCGGCACGCCCAGGCCACACCTGCTGCACGCATTGACCATGTGCCGTCGCGTACATCCACACCCAGAGTCTATCTGGCGATTCTTGCTGGAAGGCCACGTCAGACGGCAGCATACAGCTTTGCACCTCGGGATTCCCTCTGCGACTGTCCGATCGTCGCTCACCCACTGACTTGAGGTGATCGTCGATCGTCGTCGCTCGCTCAGGTCAGGTCGCCCCATTTCCGTCAGATCGCCCACCATTGACCAGGCCGAGCGGCGGAAAGGTTGATTCGGCCAAATGGACGGTGACGCACTGACGGTGACGGAGGCAGGTCCCTGGATCAGGTTTCCTCCGCCCATCCGCTAACTCTGAGGCAGCCATGATTTGCCTCCATTGCCTAGCTTCCCTGACTCCATTCCATCACTTATCATCCAGATATTGGTGTGAGGGTTTTGGTTAGCTTGAGGCTGGTGGGTGTCTGGTCGTGTCTCAGGTGTGGTAGGCACGTGTGTGCATCACGCCTCTGCGGCCAGTCCAGTCTACTCCACCAGCAAGCCATACAGTACCCTTGGATCTGGCGCTTTGGGCTTTCCCATAGGGCCAGTGACTCGCTGTGGTGCATGATAGGCGCTGCAGCTTATCTCTAGTGCGGCTGCTTGTGCTTCGGTGCTTCATTTTTGGGTGCTCGCTCGCTCCGTTTTGGTCTGTCTTTCTTAGAACGATTCCATCATGGAGGGCGGAAGAAGATTGATAGCGTTGGTGCTGCTGGCGGGGCTATGGAGCACGGTAGCAGCCACGGAGTCAAGCAGCAGCTCGTCGCAGGTGAATAAGCACGCATCAGCCATATCATCTATCATAAAGCGCAACACTTCGCGCTGCATTTCCCGCAAAGCAAAGGACAGCCCGCACTAACACTCAGCGTCTCGTAAAACGCCTCGTTATAAACGCCCTCGTTTCAATGCCATCAGGGGAGCGACAGCACGAGCGCGCTGACGGCGAACAAGGCGACCCTAAGTGTCTCGTGAATAAATGGCTCGTTAACGAACTGTCTCGTGAATGAATGGCTCGTTAACGAACTGTCTCGTGTTTACTGCATTGTTCTGTTAATGGTGCCGCCAGGCGAGCGACAGCACGAGCGCGCTGACGGCGAACAAGGTGGGCGCGTTGTTCGTTTTCCTGGCGTCGAGCTTCCTGGGCGTGTTCGTGCCGTACTTCATCCCCGTGCGCCAGAACGTCCTCAAGTTCGGCGTGCTCTTCTCCACCGGCCTCTTCATCGGCATGTCGCTGCTCTACCTCACGCCCGAAACCGAAGAGCTCTTCTCGGAGCTCACAACCAACAGTACGTCACAAAATTTTCCGGTTCCGCGATTTTCGCTCCATAAACAGAGAGCCCTGCTGTGGTAATGCGACGACTGCGCGTGTGTGCAGGGATCCGCGTACCTGGTGGACGTGAGCGTCTTCCTCACGTCTGAGACGTCTCAAATCTCCTTTTCCTTGCGCGTGTGTGTGTGCAGAGTATCCTCTGGCGTACCTGGTGGTAGTGATGGGCGTCTTCCTCACGTGGCTCTGCGACCTCATCGTCAAGACCGTCTGGCGGAAACGATCCGTCTCCGACGACCCCGCCAAGGTCCGTGAGCTCGAACTAATTCATTGGCGTGCTGAGCTGACACATACTCAAGCAGATTCGTTCGCGTGCGTGCGTTTCGTACGGTCATGGATATGTGGCTGACGGTGGCTGATAAGTCTCCCTGATCGTTCAAATTGGCCAGGAATCCGATCCAACGGTGGCTGGAATCCTCGTGGGCCAGAAGGTCACGACGGAGGGCGACGAGGAGGCTGCCGGGGGGGCGGCAGCGACGGACTACAGCACGCTGAGCTTCATCGACGTGGCGCTCATCCTCTTCGCGCTCTGCTTCCACGCCGTGTTTGAAGGCCTCGCTGTGGGCCTCGCCTCCACCGTCTACGACGTGTGGCAGATGGGGTCCTCAATTGCCGTCAACGAGGTGAGTGAACCTCACTCACACGCTGGGTTTGATTTTCTTTGGAGAGAAAAAAGAAAACTGTTGTGTTTTTTGCGATCTGCTGCTCATCTTGTCCCTCTGTCTTTTTCCTTCCCTGTGGCATGACTGCTACCGGACAGTTCTTTGAGGGTTTGGCCCTTGGTGTGACGCTGAGGGTTCAAGACACTGAGAGAAGCGCCGTGAAGCACCTTCTCTTTGCCCTATGTGCCTCCATTGTCGCTCCCCTCGGCATCGCCATCGGCATCGTCCTCGACGAAGCTGGTGATCCCACGGCTCGCGAATGGGTCAAGGCGTTTGGAAACGGTATGGCGGCTGGAGTCTTCTTGTTTATTGCCCTGGGCCACCTGATTGCCAAGGGAATGAAGCCTGGGGCGAACGACAAGCCGTGGCTTGTCTTTGTCAAGTGGTTTGTTGCAGGCCTTGGTCTGATGACCAACGCTCTTCTCCAGCTTATTGGAAAGAGCTAGCTGCAACTGTGCATACTATTTATTACTCTATTTGCTTCATCACCTGTAAATTGTGAAACGATTGGAACATTTTTATAGAAAATCCCCGGTGTACAGTGCGGGCTTGATGTGCGGTGCTACGCTGTACTTCCACTGTTATGAATTATAACTCAGAGTTGGCGCAGAATACTACAGGGGAACGTGATTACAGAATGTTGATAGAAATGAGGCCTAGGGAATATATAGGGCGATTGACCAGTGTTGAATGTCGAGGGCTGGACCAGTCAAGGGCTCGGTAGTCCCGAGGGTGACGGGGTCAAAATGGGTTCGGGGCGACTCGGGATCAGGTTGGGGCCGAAAAGGTCGACGGGGGCTGGTTTGGCGCGAGAACCAAGGGCCGAGCCTGCGGACCCGAGAGGTTCGCGTGTACTCGCTGTTGCGAGCCCCCGGTGTACAGTGCGGGCTTGATGTGCGGTGTTACGCTGTACTTCCCCTCCATTTATCCGCGTAGCCAGGGTTTTCCCGCCAAAACCAGCAGAGCACAGAAACTGCCGAGCTTCTGATTCTGAGCACCACTGATGTGACCTGACCAGTGATTGCTGCTGTTGCTGGTTCTTCAGGTTCGAGTTCAGTAGCCGAGCCTTGTGACTATTGTTGTTGGTCTTTCCTGCTTGAGAGTTGGCATGGTTTTCGTAGCGCATTAGTTCAGCCTTAGCGATTAGCAGTTCCGCTGATTGGCGCTTTGATTTATTCCGCCTTGCGCTTGAGTTTGTTTTCATGAGCTTTAATTCTAGCGAGGGCGCGTGTCTGAAAACACCAGGGTTCTTTGTCGTGTCTCGGTTTATGCCTGGTCACTATGTTTGAGTCGACTCCAAAATCGACTCATTACACACGGATTATGCCTGGTCACTATGTTTCATATCGCGACCCTTCGACTACCAACCCTCGTTCAGTTGACCTTAGCTAGCACGGTAACCGTAGGCTAACACGCTGACCCACAGGCTGACACACGCCAACCCACAGGCTGACACACGCTAACCCGCAGGCTGGCACACGCTAACCACAGGCTGACACACGGTAACCCACAGGCTGACACACGCTAGCCACAGGCTGGCACACGCTAATCTTTCTACGACGCAATGACGGCGAGTGCCGACAGCGCAGGAGTTGGAGGTCAGCTGCAGGTGTCGGTGGTCCAGGGCCGACACGTCAGACAGCCAGGCGAGGACGCTGACTCGCCACGTGGCACCATCGTGTCCGTCCAGCTCGGCGGTCATCAGGTTAGTTCATCTGTTCCTCCTGGTCGTGGCAGATTGTATTGCCTCGGGTGGTTACAGTATTGCCTCGGGTGGTTACAGTAGTGCCTGGTCATGTTCGTAGAGTGCTCTCTCAGGTGTCAACAAGGCCACAGCAGCATCGACCGCCTTGCTGCTTGCGCTTCTTTGCACGATCGTCGCATCTTGTCTCCCCTTCATTCCATCAGAAGCACCTGACCGTTCAAATACCCGTTCACCCTCTTTCGCCCTTGTGCCTCTGCGCTGCGTGCGTCAGATCCGAACGAAGCCCAAGGCGGGTGCGTCGCCCAAGTGGCTACAGGACTTCAAGCTCCCCGTGGAGTCGACCCTGCTCTTCTGGTGCCAGCAGCACGAGTCCACGAAGCAGCATGTCACTCATAAGGAGCCGGAGACTGGGAATAAAAAGGAGCCAGAGACGAAGGAACAGCATGAGAATAAAAAGGAGCCGGAGAATGGGAAGCAGCCTGTGGATCACGACCACACAGGCAACGGACCATCTCTCCTGGTGAGTCACCAGGAGGTAACCTATGCCCCTACCTCCCTCTTTTCCTCTCCTTACCCCCTCCTTCCCCCTCTTCCTCCCTTCTCCCCCCTTCCATGCTTCCTCGCTCCCCAACTTCCTCCCTTTTCCAGTTCCCTCCGCATCTCTCCCTCCTAGCCTCACCTATTCCCCTCCCCCACGCAACCCCCTCTCGCAGATAGAGCTCCTCTTAGCAGACGAAGCTGCTCCCACCCAATCTCAATCCGCCATGTCAGCGTCTGGCTCGGCATCCGGCCAGTGCCTCGGCCGAGCCTGCGTGCCGCTGGCAGGGCTGCTGGGGGGGGCGACGGTGGTGCGGTGGTACCAGGTGGCGGACAACGAGGGCTGCCTCGTGGGGGAGATCTGTGTCGTCTCGCGCTTCCTCCGCCCCTCCGCCTCTGGCTCCTCCTGCTCCTCTGGTCAGTGCCCCTCTCGCCCGAACCCTTGTTTCCAGTGTCCTCCAGCCAGTCTAGTTCTTGTCAACCGTTCTCTGGCGGTCACCGCTCCTCTGCTCAGTACCTCTCTGGTCAGTTCTCGACAGTGTATGTGGTGGTGTCAGGTGGTGGGGTGCGGTGGTGCCAGGTGGCGCACTGCGGTGGTATAGATGCTTGACTAGCGGAATGTAAACGCTGGATTTACGCTGGCCCGGGCAGGCAAAAAAAATTGCCCGGGCAGGGGTTAAAAAATGTTGGAGGGGTGGGGGAGATAGGAGTTCAAAGCCACAATTTCACATTGATAAAAAAACAGCCATGACAGGATTTAACATGCACAAGCCATGTCTCAACCACGATCCAACAGACCCCCATTCCCAAATCCGCCAAGTCAATGGAACTAGCCACTCTTCCCCCCTTCCTGTCTAACTAAACACCATTCTATGCTGTCTCTTACACCACCCACTCCTCATCCCCATACTCGTCGTGGACTATGTCGACGGGGTTCTAGGTGTAGGGGAGTAGGAGAAAGGAGAATGGGTGAGAGAGAGCAAGGACTGGGGAGAATATGCGAGAGAGCGAGGAGAGAGGAGAATACGTGAGGTTGGGTTTTCTAGATGTAGGGGATTTCAATGCGGTGAAGTGGAGGGAGTTCGGGGACCGGGTTTCGCGACTTTGGCGAATCTGTCGCTGAATTCGCCGCGTTGAAATTCCTCGCAACTTTTTTTCGCAATTTTTTTGGCGGGCTGCCCTGGAAATTTTACCCAAGCGTTTTGCGTATCTGCCTGCATTTAGTGTCTGCGTATAAACGCCTGCGTATAAACGCTAGACGCTCCCCTTAAAAAGCGTTTATGGCAACATAGATTGTAGCCTGCTTTCCGGAATGACCCCCTTCCCCCCTGCTGCCCTACTGCTGCGCCTTCCCTGAATGGCCTCAGGAGCAAGAACGCCCGTAGGCAGTGGCGCCCGGACCCCTGGAGGCTCAAATCTAGCACCCCCACTCAAGGAGGTGAAATACCCCTCAACCCCTCCTGCTGCTGCTACTGCTCATGCTGCTGCTGCCACCACTGGTGCTGCTGCCACCACTGCGGCTTCATATGTTCCGGATGCTGGCTCTGATGCAAAGAAGAGAGGGGAGGTACGGGTGCCTGACAGTGGTGTGGGGGAAGTCAGACATGGGAGGGACGCTGCTCCCATTGACGCAACAACAGGAGGAGAAGCAACAGCAGCGGGGCGAGGAGGAAGAGGAGGACAGGCTGTAGAGGTACGAGCAGGGGGGGCGGCGGCAGGAGAAGCAGCAAGTGGAGGCGAAGGTCGGTCAGGAGAAGGGGGAGGAGGAGCAGCAGCAGGAGAAGCAGGGGGGGAAGGATACATGAAAGGAGAGGCATCTCACAGCCAACGGCCGGCACCTCCTCCCTCCTCGTCCGCAGTCCCTGCTAGCTCAGCAGCCCGCAGCAGTGTGGGCAACACGTTAGCAGCAGCAGCAAAAGCAGCAGGGGCTCGAGGCATTTCTCACGGCCGTTCCCACCAGCAGCAGCAGCAGCAGCAGTCGCCACACAGCAGCAGGAAGGGAGGGAGGGCACGGAGACGGAGGGCAGGGGCGCGGGGGGGGAAGGGGCAGGGGGGAGGGGAGGGGGGAGGTGTGTGGAGCGCGGGGCAGGTGCTGCTGGGCGTGGCAGGGGCGCTGTTTGGCGTGGCGGTGCTGTCAATGGTGGTCAGGAGGAGACAGAGGAGACTAGCACTGCTGCATGAGGTGCGGCGGGGCTTGGTGCATGAGGTGTGGATGGTGGATGAGGTGAGGAGGAGGCATGAGGTGAGGAGGGAGGAGGCATGAGGTGAGGAGGAGGGGGCATGAGGTGAGGAGGAGGGGGCATGAGGTGAGGAGGAGGGGGCATGAGGTGAGGCGGGGCGATGAGCCCCTCCAGCATTGGTAACCCGTACTGTGGGATCAGTTATTCTTCACCTGTAGCCTTAAAGGTGAAAATAGATGTTTGCTTGTTTACATGAAATTACTGCTTGTCCTCCGTACTTTCTTGCCTTCCAACATGGCTTCTCCCCTAACCAGAACGAGCCTTTTCCCAGCCCTCCCGTATGCATCCTATGTTACGTAAAAACTCCCTCTGCTCCCCACTTTCCGCCTCTTTCCCTCCACCTCTCTCCTTTCGCCTCTCCTCTTTTGCCTCTCTTCCTTGTACTTCCAAAAAGTTGTTCGGTCCAAAAGAGAGACACAATATACTCCATTGCGTCTTGTTAGTCCAGTCAAATTTCTTATTAGTTCTCCCGTCTCCACCTCTTGTCCTCCACCTCTTGTCCTCCACCTCTTGTCCTCCACCTCCTCCCCCCCACCTCTTTCCCCCCACCTCTTTCCCCCCACCTCCCCTCCAACACCCCTCAGGTCCAAAAGGGAGAGACCATGTGCTCCATTGCGTCTCGCTATTGCGTGAATCCCGATAAAATTATAGATGCGAATGTGGCTGAGGGGATTGACGATCCAGACGTTATATACCCTGGTGATGTGATTCTCATTCCTCCGACTTAGCTGGAGGTGCAATGGGGTTGGAGTGGGCTGGATTACGTTGGTACCAATCCAAGGCCGTTTTTCTCAACGTTCTACTTCTACTGCCTCTCATCGGGTTTGATAGGGTAGGGTGCAATCTACATCTCCTAATAATGTTTTCAAGGGTGAGGGTGCCTGCCATGGGTTGTAGTACCGGTACTATGTTAAGGTCGGGAGTTTAGTCCAGTAGTCGGTGAAGTGTTGCTATATAACCCAGTAACATGTCTGTAACAGAGATTGTGCTAAAGAGGGATTATCTTATTCCCAGGTTAGTAAGCAGCTGGCACCCCTTCCATTTGCTACCGCACTACACTTACCAATCTGGTTCTTATCTAGATGAACAGATCTCCCATCCCTCATAATCCAAGCACACACTATGCCCAACCCCTAACACTAACAGCAGTCCCCACCCCACTTTCCCCCTTCCCCAATTCCCTTGCCCACTTTCGCTTTCGCTACAGCCTTCACCATTCTTCCCCTCCACCACACCAAATTCTGACTCTTCAGCCCACCACCTACCACTCCCCTTTGCACCATGTGCTCCCTCTTCCTCTTCCCCCCATGCACGCGCCACCATCAATGCCCACCACTACTCAGCTGGCAGGATGGTCAACGGACGCATCATGTCATTGTCCTCATGATCCAGGATGTGGCAGTGCACCATATGCACAGGCCCCTTCTTCCCTCATGCGCACGGCACCATCACTCATTGCACACGGCACTGCCACAGCCTGCTCCTACTTAGCTGGTAGGATTTTGAACGGGCGCATCATGTCATTATCCTCATGGTCCAGGATGTGGCAGTGCACCATGTACCCGGGCCCCTTGCTGGCATCAAAGCTCAGCTGCTTTCCCATCCATGGCGCAAAGTCCACCACCAACGCTGTCACATACCCTGGAGGGGCCCTCGTGGTGTCCTTCAGGCCCCTCTCGTTCTTACTCGGTGTAACCGCCACCCCTGTGTAACAGCTACCGGCACGGACGCTGCACTTGCCCGCCTCGTAGAGCTCCTTGTTAAACGGGCGGCGGAAGACAATGCGATGTGGGCCGAAGTGGATGTGGATGGGGTGGGCGTCTTCGGAGAGGTTGATCAAGTACCAGAGCTCCCGGGTTCCAAGACTCGGCGTGATGTCCACCTTTTCAGAGTAGTGCTTCTTCTCTATCAGAGCTGTCAGCGGCTCTCCTGTTGCCTTGTCCTCCACTTCCGAAAGTGTGATCTCCCGCACCTTGTCGATGTTTTTTAGGTCCAGCGCTGGGATAGAGTTAAGCATTGGCGGCACTGTAGAGCTGTCTTTTGCAGAACCACCCTCCACGTTGAACTGCATGACGTACTGTAGATCCCCCGTGGGTAAGTCACCCCCGGGGTAAGGCGCAGGCGCGCGGTTTTTCACCCGGACAACTGCACCGGCGGGAAGCTGGCTGAAATCAATGATGATGCATGCCCGCTCCCCGGGTGCTACAGTGATCCGACGCATTGGGACAGGCCTGTTGAGGTACCCGGCTTCAGATGCCACCTGGACGAAGGGGAAGGTGATACTGGTGCGGGTACCTTGTGTGCTCATGCCGCTGGTCTGGTCCGAAGCTGGAGCGGAGGCCCGGAGGAAGAGGTCGAGGAAGCGGGCGTTGGCGGCATTGATGAGGCGGAAGCGGTACTTGCGGCGCTGGACAGACATGTAGGGAGTCACCTGGGGTGGGGGGTGTGCACGCAATGGGCCATGGGAGACTGATGTGAGGATTGGAAAACTGCTGGAACACAGGGCGTTGGTATGGTGTTGGCTGCGTTGATAAGGGGGAAGTGGTACTTGCAGCGCTGCCATGTAGGGGGTCACCTGGGGTGGGTAATGGGTGGTGATGGGATTGGGATTGGAGTATTGGTGTGAGCACGGGGACATGGGGCATTGTTATGGCGTTGACAAGGGGACGGTTTGAGAAGGGGTTATGTGGTGGAGACTGTACATGTAGGAGTATGGTAACCCGTGCCACTGTAGCAGCAGCCCTAGCTTGCTAATGACCCTCCGCCCTTGCTGATGCTGGGGACTTCCATTACGGACATCCCTCCGCCCCGTGCAACAACCTCAGGAAACATAACAAACACATACCTTCCCATTGACAGTCATGAAGGCCCCAAAATACTCGGGTAACCACACAGGATGCGCCTTCGTGAGGCCCTTTCCCTCCATAAACGTGTGCCCGTTCCACAGAAATGAGCGGTCCTGGATCACCAACGGCACGTCAAACCTGCCCACGGGCAGGTTAAACTTCTTCTCCTCCTGGGGATTGGACAGAATGTACGCGCCAACGAGCCCAGCGACCATGTTGAGTCGCGTCATTCCCAAGGTGTGGTCGTGGTACCACAGGGTACTGGGGGGCTGCATGTTGGGATAATGGTTGTCGTGGGATTCGAACTGGGGACCTTTCTCTCCCGCATGCGTGTACCAGGCTTCTGGGTGGCCGTCAGAGGAGCTGGAGACCTGCGCCCCGTGCAGGTGCACGGCTGTAGGCGGGGGGAGGGGCGCGGGAGGGGTGGGGTAGAGAAGGAAGATAAGTACAGTACTTGAACATCATGGTAACTCTACACCATAAAGGATGGGATCCCTACATGTTGGAAACGAGATACAAATTACAATGTCAATGTGCAATTGGAGAAGGCGCACGTACTGATGGGGACGCCGCCGAGCTTGAGCTTGGGAGCCATGAGGGTGAAATCGACGGGCATGATGTGCTGCTGGTCCGTGATGTTGTTCTGCCACGTCACGTGCAGCGCGGACCCCACACGCGCCACGATCGTCGGCCCGGGCACGCTGGCCCACTTGCGGGAGAGCCCGAACGCGTACACGCGTGTCGCGGGCAGATCGCGATGGAATTTCTGGCAAACAAAGAAGTCCCGATACAAGGAAAGAATGACGCTGTAACGAAACGGGTTATGGCGATCAAGCCGCAAAGTGCAATTCAAAAGAAATAAAAAGAAAGTCCAGAATCGTCAAGAGGGGCTCTCAGCTCACCCGTTTCACGCTAAACGCGCCGATAGTGAGAGCAGCGGCGCCGTTCGAGTCTTTGGGGAGCCAGTCCGCGTTGACGACGGGAGGGATTGGCAGCGGATCGACGAACTTCTTCAGCTTCTTCCGCAACACGCGCTTGCGGCTGATCGTCACGTCCCGCGACGATCCCTTGCCTTGCGACGCCATCCCGTGTCCCCCACCGCCGTTCCCGCCGTGATCCATGCCGCCATTGTCGCCCTGATCGCCGCTCATGGCGGAATTGGCGCGCGCGGGAAGGGGCGGGCTGAAGAGGAGCAGCGCGAGCAGCGCGGAAGCCACTAGGAGCCGCCACGCGCGCGGCGGATGTCGGCAAGGATCCGAGTTTCGTCGAGCCATAAGAGCGGCGTCACGAAACCTACTCCGAGAAAATAAGATTTACGGAGAGTTGGTACGCGATTTCCGGTGAAGAGGAGGAGAGAATTGGGAATATGGCCCATAAGGTTGAAAAAATCGGGATCTGCCAGCAGCAGCCTGCTGGTGGAATCAATCTGAGATGAGATTGATGGGTGATTCTGCACTGGACCACGCGAGGCCACTGTTGGTGATTGATTGAACATCCAGCGCCGTGGCACCTCTTTATCCCGCCTCGTGATTCTCCAACACCGAGCCCCGACGAGAGAGATGCGCGAGTTGCGAGGGCACCACGGCACAGTACAGTTCGAGCGCTGGAGCGACAACCCGCGTGCGCAGTGGCCGTCCTTGCTGCAGCCTGTGTGGGCGACGGGGAGTTGACGCCAAGGGGATTTTCGGAACGGTATTTGTCGGGGTGGTGGCGCCGGGGAGCACACCACCCCACCGCTTTCCACGCCGCTGCCTAGCGCTAGACCGCGCGCGAGCCAGCCTAGGGGCTGCCGCGTGGAGCGCGGATGCAGGCGTTGGCGGCGCGAAAGGCGCATCTTCTTGACGCGCTCGCATGATGTGCGCGCACAAGCTGATCTTGCTGCCGGCCGTAAATTTCTCGGGGAGAATGCAGACCAGTACTCGGATTTCTTGGAGGTGAAATCGAGGGGGCGGTTTGCGCTCATTGAGCGCGCGGAGAGGCAAAGAGCGGCGCAGTGGGCGGAGCGCGTTTTGTCGCCGCAAATTGAGAGAACACGGCACCTACGAGCGAGAGACACGTTGACTAATTCCTTGAGATTAGGCAATCTGGCAGGTGGGGCGCGATCTAACGGCTGAGAAGTGTGCTGCGTGTAGGGCAGGCAGATCCTGCAAGCTGGGCACGCAACGCTCACGCGGAATAGGCGCAGCAGGGTGGCTGCAAAAGGCAGGGGTGCGTGAATAAAATGCTTCGCCTGTGTGGAATGTGGGTGGTTGACTGGCGCTGGACACGCATATTGCAGGTTGCGATAAGAGTAGAAATGGTTGCTGGTTGCCTTGTTGTGCGGTACCAGAGCATTCGATGGGGATTTTATCAGGTACAGTGATCTACATTGCGGTGGTCTGGCTGAGAGCACACGATACACCGCTATAAGCCTTTTTCGTCTAAGACGCATGACATACTACTTGTTTCTTTGAGTCTCCGTATCGAAAGTTATTCTATGGGTCTGCTGCTAAAGAATATCACCATCACTATTTGGTTCTGCCGTGACCATAACGATGCAGATCCCCCTCGCAACGTGGCGGATATCGACAGGAGATTGAGAGGACGTGGAAGCGGACGCGCAGCGCATCTCAGGCCACCAAACCTCAGACGTGGCACAGACGACACGTAGCCCCTAGTACTCTCCACCGCAACTTCGCTTGGGCAGGCAGGTACAGTACTGGCACCAGAATGCCCGTTTCGCAACAGTCACGTGCCCCCTCGATATCCACACACCCCCGTGTCACGTCAGCCTGGGTTCGCCAGCCAACTGCGTGAGTCTCAGGTGGCATTCAATCTGGAGCAGCATATGCCAGCTATTCTGCACATTGGTTTCATCGAGCTGACTCATGAATTCTGACTAGGGAATCCGAGTTTTATCCCGGGCATCCGATCTTCCTTAACCCTGCTCAACCGTTATCATCCGTTTTTTTATCCGTCTAGAACACAAGACATCTTACTCAACCGCGATCAGACGAACCTTGGGAACACCCACCCCAATCCCCCTGCCTGACTGTCCTACAGTGTAAATTCGGTCATAAAATTCCCTGGCATTGCACACTCCTGAATCGTTCTAGCAACGACTCCCCGCTATCTGCTGTCAGTGCTGCTCGTCCCTGCTCCAGCCATGGCTCTCTCCTCCATCGCAGCCACGTCGGCTCATGTTACCGCCGCGCCGAGGCTGACTGCTGCTGTCAGCCAGGACAACGCGCTTAGCGCCGCTGGCCTCGTGCCGCTCAAGCAGCGCACTCTCCGGGTAAGCCCGCTCGATCCATGGCTCCTCGATCCATGACATGGCAGCAGATTATTGCTGAATGGCATTCAAGAATCCGCTCCACGCACATTGAGCATGGATGTCAAAATTCGATGTTAATTCCTAGTCGCAGCGACGTGTTCCATCTGTAACATTGTTACACCAATTCCTGATGTCGAGTGTCGCAGACCGGATTCCTGGGCGACGCCGTTCGTCAGCATGCTCAGGCTCGCGTGTCGGCCGTCCAGGCGCCGGCCGGCAAGTCAACCGGCCTGATGGTGACGGCGCGCACGTCAGCCGTGAAGCAGTACGAGGTGGAAGTCGACAAGCCTCTCGGGCTTACCCTTGGCGATAAGCCCGGCGGCGGCGTGCAGATCACGGTATGTGTGGCGATGAGGTGTCACTCTGTATCACACGCAATCTCGATTGCACGTGCTTCGCGCTCTTCAAGCGAGATTCAATCTCTCTGCAACGCCACGCTCATCCCCCCCTCCTCCCCCCCCCCCCCCCCCCCCCCCCTCTCCTTGCCCTCTCTTACCTCCCTTCGTCCTCCTAACCCTAGGGCGTCGCCCCCGGCAGCAACGCCGCGCGGGCGGGCATCAAGACGGGCGACCAGGTGATCTACACGAGCAGCTTCTTCGGCGACGAGCTGTGGCCGTCCGACAACCTGGGGTTCACGCGCACCGCCGTCAACGCTAAGGCTGACTCCGTCTACTTCGTGCTCGCCCGGGGCGGCACCGTCGACGTCAAGCGCCTGCCCAAGCGGCCGGCGCCCTCCCGGTTCGGCCGCAAGCTGACGGATGCTCAGAAGGTGCGCTGGCGGATGGGGGATAGATGGGGTAGAGGGCAGAGGGCAGGGAGTAGAGGGCAGAGGGCAGGGAGTAGAGGGAAGCGAGGTAGGCGATGGAAGGTGACTGCCCTAGAGGCCAGCGCCCTCCCGGTTCGGCCGCAAGCTGACGGAGGCCCAGAAGGTGGTGCGAGGGCGGATGGGGGATCGATGGGGTAGAGGGCAGGGGACAAAGGGCAGGAGATAGAGGGCAGAGGGCTGGTGTCAGAGCAGAGAGCGGTGGATAGAGGGCTCCCTCCCGTTTCGGACGGAAGCTGGCGGAGGCTCAGAAGGTGCACGAGAGCAGGCAGGGAGGTAGGGAATAGAGGGCAGAGGGCAGGGGACAGAGGGTAGAGAGGCAAAAGGCAAGCGACAGAAGGCAGAGGGCAGGGGGTAGGGTATGGAGGGCAGAGAGGTAGGGGATAGAGTGCAGAGAGGCAGGTAATAGAGGGTAGAATGGTTGTATGCTGAGGAACGTGAGTGGACATGACCAGAAGGGGAGGGCAGGGTGTCTTCTAGTGCTCCTCCTCCTCCCTGCGTTAGTTATTCTCCTCTGTCCTGTCCCCGTACTCCCTCTCCTTCTCCCCACTTACGTCTCCTCCTCCCTCTCCCTCCCTCCTCCCCCCCCCTCCTCCTCCCGCCATGTCGCACACATTGAATTCGTCAGGCCCGTGCGACGCACATCTGTTTGGACTGCGGATACATCTACACCCTCGGCAAGCCATTCGAGGACCAGGTATGTCTACAGTGCGGGAAGGTGCTTATTGATAAATGGGAACAGCCTAATACCGAATGGAAATGCAATATACACGAACATTTCAATAAGAAGATTGGGTGGTGTGAAGCAACCGTGCGATCAGGTGCATGTAGGAGCCCTCAACTGCAATACGTCCAGACATTGCAATGTTATCTCAATCACTGTTTTCTCAATCACTGTTTCTGCCTCTCTTCCCTCTCACCGTGACACATTAGAGGGGTTCCCCCAGTTTTCATCAGCCATGAGCACTTACACTCCTCCTTTTCCTGTCTAACTCCCTCATCCACTTCCACTCATCCTTTCCTCCCCTGCTCCCTCTACTCCCTCCATCCACTCGAACCATCGCAGCCCGACTCCTTTGAGTGCCCGCAGTGCTCAGCACCCAAGAAGCGCTTTGCCCGCTACGACCCCGAGACTGACCGGGCCATTGGCGGTGGCAGCACGCCCATTCTCTCCCTCATCTCCATCGTTGTTGGTGTTGCCGCCATCGCTGCTGCTGCCTTCTATGGTTTCCAATGAGAGAAACTGGGAGATCTTGGATGCTGAGTGGTTTGCGCAGGATCTCTGTACAGTAACAAATGCCCTCTCGGTACATAGAATTGGAAGCATTTACTACCATGCCTTGCAGTTACTATTACTGTGTCATCTCAGGTTGTGATACAGGGCCCCATCTTCCACTTCAGTTACAGTCTGCAGATGAGTTGAAAAAAAATTGGAAGAAGAGAGGCGGTTGGTGGAAATGAGCATATAACAACAGAAAATTGGACAGGAAATTGGTAAATCCATATAGCTGACATAAGTATCTCAGAAACCAGCTTCCCAACTTACTAATTCTGCTGAAATTTTGGAAATTTCCCAGCTCCAAAAGTCATCATGACGCTGCATAGCCAACCTCCCCCAGCCCCTCTGTTCACCTCATTCAACTTCTCCTCTCGGCTCCAACCCAATCCCGTGCCTGCCGAGTAAAATTGCATGCGACACAAGCAACCTCAACAAACAACACCAATGGCTTTCACTTAAAGCATCTGCCCACCTCAGTGGATATCCTCTGCAGCTTCTCACCTCCGATGCCCAACCGGACATGCTCTGCCAGCTCACAAACCTGCCCCTTCCCTCCCACCCCTCCCTTCAAACCACCTTGCAGCAACCTTTGTAGGGGAAAGCACCCTCCACTCACCTCGTTGAACATCTTCTGCAGCTTCTCTGCTCCAATGCCCAGCCGAGCATGCTCTGCCAGCTCATACAGTTGCTCTTCCTCCCCACCCACCCCTCGAGTGCCCTTCACCATAGTCACATATCTGGGAAGCAACTCCACGGGAGACGTTGGGCATGAGAGGTGGGAGAAACGGAACGTCAAGTGCCCTTCACCATTGTCACATATCTGGAAGCAACTTTGTGGGAGTCAGCGAGAACAGAAGTTTACAGAGGGAGGGAGGGGATAAGAAATGAGCTGGGAACAGAAGTAGAAGGGATTGAAAACGAGACTGGGGAAGAAGGGAAGGAAATAAAGAGACGGGTGAATGAAAGAGATGGGCGAATGAAAGAGGAGGAAGGCAATGAAACGAAGCAAGCCCCTTCGCCTGCTTCCCTCCCTTCTCTATCCCGCCTTTCCCCGCCTCTGTTTCTCTAGCCGCTTTATATCCTCTTCCACGTTCCCAAACTGGGGGTGTCTCGCACCCCTCTGCGCACCCTGCCAACTCCCCTTCTCCCAGGTAGCCCCCTCTCTTCCCGTCTACGTCCCCCTCGCTCCCCCCCCCCCAACCCACCTCTGCTTCTCCAGCCGCTTCATATTCTCCTCCACATTCCCAAACTGCGGGTGCCTCTCCTCCCCCCTGCGCACCCCCAGTGCCCCCAGCAGCGCCCATAGCTTGTCTGCGTGGGGAATGGGGGGGAGGGAAGGGATGGGGCCAGGGGATTGGGATAGTAAGTGTCTCTCATCCCCCCTGCGCACCGCCAGTGCCCCCAGCAGCGCCCACAGCTTCTCTGCATGGGGGGTGGTGGTGGGGGGGTAGAGGAGGATGGAGGGAGGTGTGGGAAATGACGGGTGAGAGCCACCAGGGATGGTACGGCATCACATGGGACGGGGCTATATGGCATGGCATGGCATGGCATGGAATGGCATGAGATGGGATGGCAAAGCATGGCATGTCAACGCATACAGTACCTGCGGGGATACTTCCTCCGGCCCCCTTTAAAAGCGCGCACACTATGGTAGTAAATGCACTGCCTGCTGCTTGCTCTGGCGTATCCACGAATCGCGACAACACCGCTGCTGGTAACCGGCTCAGTAACACATACTCCTTCGTCCCCCCTCCCCCTCCTCCCCTACCTCCTCCCCCGTCCCCCCCTTCCTCTCCGCCTCCCCCCTCGTCTCGTCCCCCCTCATGCCCCCCTCCCCCTCCCCCTCTCCCCCTTGTCCCCCTCTCCAGTTCCTTCATATCGAATCCCAGCGCAGCGGGGAACCGCGCCTGAGCCTCCTTTATAATCACACCCGGCAGCCCGGGCACGCGCCTCCCTGCCAGCTGGGCGGCGATGACCTTATTGAGCTCGTCCCTCGATACAGGCACGCCCGGGTGGCTGCTGTTCTTGAAGACCATGTGGCGCATCACGGCGCCGATCGCCTGCTCGCGATCTTCGCGGGATATGTGCCCGGACTGCGACCCACCTGCTGGTTGGGACACCATCGCCTCGCTGACGCTACAGCCGAGCTCCTGCTACAGCCGAGCTGCAGCTACAGCCGAGCTGCTGCTACAACCCTGGAGTTGCTACCGCCGATATGCCAATGCAAATCCACTGTGAATGCTGTCAGCATTGCCCCCCCGACCAACGCTACATCGACGCTACAGTCGCATATCTTGCCGGCGCTAAACGGAGATTAACGACGACGGCAGCACCCTAGCCGCTAGCCGTGAGAGGGATGTGAGGGAGGGATGGAGCGACAGGAAGAGAGGCACTGATCAGGCGTCGGAGTCACGAACACAATCGGGACGAGCAACCAATCGGGACGAGCAACCAACCGGGACTTACGCTGAAGGAAGAACCGAGAGAGACTAGCACTAGTAGGCGAGGCAACTGGTGGTACCTTGGGAATTGGAGAATGTGGCGAGGTCGGGCGAATGAGTCGCAAATTTCTCTCAAGCGGCGCCTCTCGTTGCGAAAGCCTATTGGCGAAACCGTTTGCGTAACGTAGCCTGTTCAGGGTAGTGCCATTATTAGTGCAAAGCAGTTCAATACCACAAGGTTCAAGCACGTACGAAAAACTGTTATAGCATTCAACACTCTTGGCAAATAGAAGGAAACAAAATTTATAAGGCACCCAAGCATGTAATTCTTCAACTTCATGGTCTTATGAAGTGCTGATCCCCCCTGTACACTTGAATAGTTGGCCAAAGCCTACCTACATGGATGGGAAGGGGAAAGATAGAGGAATGCACAGTGAAAGAGCATCCAAGAGAGGGCATTGAGTGGGATAGAAAAGGAGGGAAACAGACCAGAAATTTTAAAAGAACGGACAATCAGACACCAACCATTACCAGCAGCCCCACTTTACTCCTCAAACTCCCCCTTCCGTCCCATCCATCCCGGCCTTGTTACGTTTCCTGCTGCTTTCACGCCGACATTCTCCCTTCTCCTCAGACTGCTCTTCTGGAAGGTCCAGCACAATCCCGCGCCGCATCATGACTTCCCGTGCAATGCTGCAGTCACACTAGTGCTGCACTGTGCTAGTCAACTCACTGGCGACGAGTCGACGACCCTAGCGCTCTCGTCACCCTCCCCTTTCAGCCACTTAACACCGCTGCTGCGGCAGCATCTGAGGATTTGACACTACCACGATCTACAGAAGCTCACCTTATTTCCAAAACTCCCCCTTCCACCTCTTGTTGCCTCTCTTACTCCCCCCCTGCCGCCGGGTCAGCTTCTCCGCTACCATCTCTGCTGGGAAATCAACCACCAACCCCCGTTGCCTCATCTCCTTCTTTGCTCTGCTGCACTCACACCAGTGCCTCACGGTGCCAACCGCCTCATCCACAACAATCCTTGCAATCTCATCCTCCTCCCTCCCCAGCAGTTCCAGCACCTTAGCTGCGATAGTCTCCGGTGCCTGCCGGACGTCGTCGCAGCAGTCCCTATCGCTGTTTAGCTGCACGATCAGAATCAGGCACCCCTTGTTCACGACCGAGCATAGCACCGCGAGCTCTTCATCTGCGCCTGCAGCCTTTGCGGCAGCCAGGGCATCGTCCCTAGGGCCACTGCCATCACAGTCGGCTAATACCAGCGCTTTAGACGTCACCCAGACGGTTGCTAGGGAAGCGGCCATAGCGGCAGCATGGATAACGGCGTCCTGCCCTGACTTCCCTTCCTTATAAGCTGACTCCTTTCCAACAGCCGCTGGAAAAGCCACCTGTATCGAGAGCGTTGCGTCAGTTGCCTTGAGACCTCGATAGAACCGGAGAATGTTCTGAAATCTGCCACAAACAATACAAGCACACCTACAAACATGGTTATATCCTTATAGCAATTACTACTCAATTCTTTCCTTGAAAAACAAGGAGAGGGGGGAAAAGACCCTTACGTTTTCCTGCGTTGGCACAGGTGCTGCTTGAATATCCAGGTCCCCAGCCCCATAGGCAACTGACATGCCACATCAATCTCCCCCTGCCACGCAGCCACCTATGCCTCTGTCACACCGCACCTGCGACCCACGCCCCCATCATACACCGCCAACGCCATCGCCAGAAGATACATCACTTCCGAAAAGTCAGAGAACGTGCCGAAGTCCCGCCTCCTCCCCCCCAAAGTCGGCTCCATGAACCAAGACGTAGGGTCCCCGTACCAGTTATGATTCTTCCCCCTGATTCCAAACCCCTTCCTCTCCTTCGTCCTCTGAGGCTTGCACTGCCCCTGCCCCTCCTCACAGCCTTGCTCTTCCGCTGCCCTCCCCTTCCCCCGCTCTGCTCTTCGTAGCTGCTCCAGTAACGGCTCAAACGCATCCGCCATTCTCCCCTCCTCCTCCTCCTATGCCGCCCCCTCTACCAGCACAAGAGCTGAATCCCACGCGGCAGCAGCTATACTTGGTGCTGCATGACTGGCACCGGCTGCTCCCCATTTCGCCAGAACGCCAGCCCGAGACGAAGAGCCTGGCAAGTAATCCTGCTCCTCCTCTCCTTCACTCTCTCCTCTGCACTCTCCTCCGCTTTCACCATCACTTTCTCTGTCACTGTCATCTGAGTCAAGAGCGAGAAACTCTACCCCATCAATCTCCTCAATCCCCTCACCGAACTCCCTCTTCGGCACCTTCAGTCCCCGCCCTTCCGCATCCAGCCTGGCATCTGGCCCTTTCCCTTTCAACGCCGCATTCACACCTTGAGGACTCTACACGGCAGGAGACTGCTGAGGCTGCCGGCCATCAGGGGAATCAGCGTGAGCCTTGAACCGCTTTGGAGTCCCCAGGGCTGAAGTCTCTGCCTGCCTAGGAATCACCGCTTCTACTGACGTCCCTGCCTGCTCTGCATGCACCGCAGCTGGCCTCTTGCTTTGGGAAGTTTTTTCGGCTACTCCTTGCCACCGATCTTGCTTCTCTTGCTGCGCCTGCTGCCCTTGCTGCTCTTGAAGTCTCTCTAACACGCTTCCCATCTCCTCTCCCCCACGCGCCTCAGCTGCACCCCTACCCGCTTGAGCATTCATGCCTGAAGGAACCTCCGGACCTCCTCCTCCTCCTCCTCCTCCTCCTCCTCCTCCTCCTCCTCCTCCTCCTCCTCCTCCTCCTCCTCCTCCTCCTCCTCCTCCTCCTCCTTCTCCTTCTCCCCCTCCTAGTCCGGAGGATTCTCGCTGTGCGACAGCCAGTTGTTCCCTCACCGCTGCACCCACCGCGGCGACCACTTCCACTTTCAGCCTCTGCAGGATAACGCTTTCGCTGTCCTCCCAGTTGTCACTATCACTCACACCCCTGCTGAATCGGGGTCGTGCCGGCCGCTCCACGTCGTCCCTTAGCGCGTCAACCGAGCCCGCCAACCGGTCAAGCATCCCTCTGGTCATCTTCTCAACCGACGCCTCCATTGCGCGTGCCGTTCTCTCAAAGGCCGCCTCCAGTCCCTTGGCCATCTTCCTAAACAACGCCTCCAGTGCAGCGACCCTCTCCAGCACATCCGCGTGCATTCTCTGGCTGCGTCTCACTGCCTCCTCCTCGCCCTTCTCCTTCGTGGCCCTCATCTCCGCCATCTCCCGCTCCAGCCTCACTATTTCCAGCGCCAACTCCTGCAGATTCTCCAGTAGCAGCTCTTCCACTGTCCCAAATGGCAATGGCTTCGACCTGGTTACCATTCGACCTGGCTACCATCCGCTTGCCGCGAGAATGAAAAGCCGATTAGTTGGGAGTTGTGAAGGATGGACGCTGCCGGTTACCGTGACACCCCCCCTTGCTGGGATAGGCGAAGGACACGAGTGCATCTGCAGCGCTAGCACGAGCGCCTTTGATACCAAATCAAACTCAGTCACTAACCACTCAGTTAAAAGGGCTTTTAAATAGCAGGTCGGTGCACCCATAGACCCCCAGGCTCTGCACCAGTGGCCCTTTCTCAAGGATCTTCTCAAGGGTAATGTGAGAGTACGACCCCGTTACACTATTTTCCCCTTTCCATATTTCCTTTCTATTTCATTCCTCTTTTTATCCTCATTCATTTGGTCTTTATCTCATCTCATTTGGTTTCCTATTCCTCCTTTTCCATTATCCTTTGGTTTATCCTATTATTATGATTATATCACCGACCAGGCTCGGGATGTACTGGCGCGCTATATCTAGCGTAATCCTGCCGTAATCCCTTAAAGCCAATAGCCTCGCGTGGCTATACGCAGGGTGATTCTATTTCTAGAAGGGTCTATTCCCTTTGGATAGGATAAACCTGGTTACCTGATGTATTATGGAAGTATAAAAGCACCTTGTACTGATTGATAGTGCAAGATTGAGCAAACCTTTCCTCGGGACATTCGATCCTGTGACACTTGGTAATCAGAGCCAAGGTTTCAGCTCAACGTTTAACCGCTGGGCCCCCAGGAGCACGCGGAGGATGGAGTCGAAACTTCAATTCCTGTAAGTACAATGCACTTTCATTTAAGTTTCGACCACCTCTCGCAGTTGCACCTGGGGACCCCTTCGAAGGCGAGATGCCTCGCCGACCGTTCGATGGACTGCATCGACGGTGCCGATTTTTTTCGCGGGGGCAAACGGCCTCGACCTGGCGAGCGCGTCAGTTCCGGCGGAACACCCCCTGCGACTTTCGGAGTTGTTCGTAGTTCGCCACGACACTTGGAGTCGCGCGGAAATCAGCGGAGCTTCGAACGACGACATCCGTCCGATGGAGATTCGACGCTTCAGATCGACCGAGGCGAAACGAAATCCGTCTGAGCTATTTCGTGTTTCAGCGCGAATGGGAACGGGACCACGCAAGCTGTGAAATTCTTCGGAGCGTCCGATCGTTCGACAGCCGACATCGACGACCGAGAATTGCTGCAGGAAACGTGTCAACCCCGCCACAGAAAGCTGCTGAACGAGACTCAGGAACGTCTTCAGATCGCTTGGAGTTTGGACCGTCGGATCGACTTCTACTTCAACGGACGAGATGGAGCGCGCTTCTGCAAAACGGGAGAATGACGTCTAGAACCACAAATCAGCCGCCGTCGACACCGTTTTCTTCATCAGGCCAACCAAATTCGGTTTCCTCCATTTGGTCACGAATTTGGCGCGTAAATCATCTGCAAGGTCAGAAATCTACCAAATGATTACCTACTTGGTAATAGCTGCAAGCAGAAAATTGACAGGAGAACGTGGATCGTCGGATCGGTGCGGAATCAACGGCACGAATGCAGCAGAGACTACACTTATGGGAAATCATCATCATGGAGACAACATTCGTGACCAGCGACTGCACAATCGACGCATTTTCTAACTAGTGTCGATAACGATCGAGTTATTTTGACGAAGTCATCTTCGTTAAAAATGGATCGACATCAACACAGCGAGATCTTCACCCAGGAAAAACAATGGAGCTGCGTGAAGACATGTTCTCCATCCACGAGACACTTC